CACACGCCGCTGCTCGGCTCTGCTAAATCCAGCTCAGCGCAGTCCGATCCGATCAGGGTCTTGACCGGCAGAGGTAGGCCTGGGCCACCTGCTCGACACTCTCACCCAGCCATCTTTCAATCTATATGCCCATATTGGGGTTGCCTTTTTGATCACGAACAAACGCCAGTTCAAGATCTTGTATACTCTTACCTGTCTTTGTCGAAAGTCCGCACACATCATATCAGACGAGCCGTTTGGCTGCCCAGAACACACGACGCCCCTATCCCCTCCACATCCTGGCCCTGAGCAGCCTTACAATTACAATCTTTCACGACCTGCTTGTCAGCTTAGGGAAAAAGGCAGAGGAAAAGAAGCAAAACACACTCGTCAGCCTTTGCCCCCCAAGCCGCATAAAATAGGATACAGGCTCCCCTGGCTACCATAACCGACCCTCTGACGCAGCCAGATGCGAAGTTGAAGGTTTCTCGTTTCGACCTTGTCAAGAATCCAACAACAGAAGGAACTAGGGACCAATTTACGCTGCACATCACTCAAGGCAAGAAGAGCTCCAAAGCACCTGCCAATAACGAAAGGAAAGAAAGGAGAAAAAGAAGAGAACGAATAAGACAACCCCCCCCTTCTTCCGATACGGAACGATTTCCAAAACTTCAGCCCTAGCCTTTCTTTCACAACATCAAACCCCTGGCTCCAATACACTTACCTCACATCCAAGCATCGAATCTACTACTCCTGGACCAATCGGCACTTTTGATCACGATCCTGGCGTGGTAGTCTCGACTTCCTTGAGAACAAAGCCAGCACAAGCGTTATCACTGTAGGAATATTTGATTGCCAAATCAAAAGGCCGCACACGAGGTGAGCAAGCCATCTTCTTGTATACACTCCGCCTTTCCTCTTGTTTCTTTGCGCCCACATACTTCATGTCCCACCTCATTGGCCTTGCTTTTCTCGAAGGCCAAGGGCGCCTCCCGACTGTTATATTCCCCAAGCCTGATACTACCCACCCCACCGAATCTGCTATGGTGCGTCGGCAGGAGAAGACCGAGCTGCCAGGCGGACATCGGCGCTCCACAGTTGCAGTCACAATACCAGCTGCCCTCTGCTCGCTTTTTCGCGATAATTGTCCCAAAACCGGCCGGGTCAAATGATCTGCAGGTGTGGAAGACGTTGCATGGCATGTCATGGTGCATGCCACCGTCTGCAGGCGTCTGATTAGAGGTCCTAGTTCCCCTTTGTCCTCATTGGCGCAGCTGCTTGCGCGGAAAGCCTCCATGCTCCAGCGTGCGTTGGCCTGGGCGCTCACTCAAATTGTAGTGGATCAAAGCTGACATATGAAGGCAGTAATTAATCCAATACATGTTAGTACATGCTTTTCTTTTTCGTCAGGTGCCCTCTCGGCCGGACATGTCCTCTTTTCCCCCCTCCTCCCTCCACCGCCTCCTATGCTTCGGGTTCCTCCGCAAAAGAATCGTCGGGCTGTAGACAGCCAGCCACGAGATCGGGAGGCGCCGTTGCAGCAGTCATATGGGACGGTTCACATGGACACGAACAATGGAACGCTGCTTCTTTACGAGCTTTGGCCTCATCCTGTTCGTCCGAGCGTCTCTCCCTGTGGAGTAAACAAGGAGGCAGTGAGGGGGCAGGTCGCAGATTTCCGGTCAGATTGCCAAGCTGAGGTGAAGCCATCTCTCGGAATGGCCTGCTCTCTTTTTGGACCTCTGAGTATCCAGCACGGAACGAGTCACAAAGAATTCGCAAAACAGAGAAAGAGGAAAGAGGCAAACAGAAAAGAGAAGGGGGGGAAAGAAAGAAAAAAAAAAAGGAGGAGCAAGAAAGAAGGAAAAGACTCGGAATGCCTAGTGGCAGATACTCGACAGCAATTCACACCGTCTTGGTCACACAATGACTTTCTAAGCCTCATGGGCTGGGTGAGATATCAGACCTTAAATGAGACGCTGACGCATGCCAGGAAGACGAGATTCCACCAAATTACATCCGACTGCCAATCAGGCGCTGGGAATGACAAGCGCGAAAATACCACTTAAGGTTGGTCAGCCCACCTATTTCAAAACACTACACTACACTCTTCAGGACCCGCCTGCGGACGAAGCTCGACCACGGCATATGTGTCGTGGGTACTGACGGGGGACGGAGATCGTGGAGGCTCTGTCCCTCCTTCGGGAGTCCTGTCAAGCCACCGCGGGATGATGTTTTGAGCACTAACATGCCGCCCACCTGCAGCGACCCCAGCAAGAATCCTGGCTGACGCTCGCCCTGCGAGACGGGGAGAAGACAGGCCCAGTACCATCTGAATCTCATTGATTGCCTCCTTCGCAACGAGTCCTCCTCTCTTCATCGTGGAGAGGCGCCTCGCATGACTTCACAAATACCCAAGGTATAGATTAACCATCTGAGTCCTGATATCCTGCACTCTCCTCATGCACTCGTCCCCTCCCATACAGTCGCCACACAGTTTGTCCTTTGAATTTATTCATTTTTGTCATATTTACTTTCTTCCTTTCCCCACATGCACAAGCCACCAAGACGCCCACGTAGCAGTCCCCCCACCCGGAACCGGAATTCTCTTCAGCAGAGGTGGGCAAGAACAAATGTCCCGCGCCATCGGATCGTGAGCCAGGCCGAGATCGACTTTCACGGCTTGACGCCTACCGACAGAATAATCTTCGAATGACAGTCTAGACGAGAATCTAGAGGCGCGCGGGAGAGCACATGGCAGCGCCAGGTTCAACGACGTTTGAACGGTGAGTATGAGAATATTTCTCTATTTTTCTCTCTCTCTCTCTCTCTTTCTGTGTGCCCTTGAGATGGCCCGCATCACACACAATATTACATATTCTTCATCTGTCTCATTTTTGGGCTGTCACTTTTCTCCCCCCCCCCTGGGCCCCTCCCCCCGGACAAGCCAATCATGTGGCTCCCAGGGGCGGCCGGTGAAGGACGGCATCCACCCCTCCTCTACCCTCCACTTTGCTTGGGGAACTCAGGCTGGCCTGTAGCAGCCCTGGTTCTTGACAGGCTGCCCATGATGAACATGTCCCGAAAAGAACGAGCTGCATTGGAATGGATCTCCGACCTGTGTCCTGGTCCAGGGCAGGACAGGGCAGGACCCACGTCCAGGAAGGCGAAGAGCTGGTCGTGCAGTAGTGCAGCAATGGGGCGTTCCGTTTCCGAGGGAGAAGCACGATCATCATCTATACATCCTACAGACCCTGGTCACTTTTTTCTTCTTTCTTCTGATTATTGTTTTTCACATGTACCCGATACCCATCAGCGTGCCTAGGGGTCAGCATGTTTTGGGTTGCATCCAGCTGTAGCCGTACTATGCTGCTGCGGCATGCAGCAGCACACGCCACAGCTTATGCTCAAGACTGGGAACCTGCTCTGATCTGCCTGCACCGCAGAAGTCGAAGCCTCGCATTCCTTCACACGGGCATTGCCCTCTCCCTCCCTCTCTCCGTGTTTACCTCTCTACCTGGTCATTCTCGCTGCTGCCTTCTTCTAATTTCCCCCCTGCCCCTTCATTCCCATATACTCTTATTGTTGAGACCTTTTCCCGCTGTGAACATGACAGCTGACTCAATGATTGCTGACGGGAGACAGGTAGATGCAGCCGACAAACATTAAAATCCTCCGTCCCATCATATTATTACCACTGCTACCAGAGATGTCGTCCTGAAATTCCCGGATATGTAGAGCTGCGGCGAGAGACCGCGTGTCTTATTCTGTCTTGTTAACGTTCTTGGTTTTTTTTTCGCAACCTCTCGCCAGGCAGGTCGATGCTGACGATCTCGCGTCTTGATAGCAGGAATTTGCGCCGTCGCCCCCCTGTCCTGGGCTGGAGTATCTTGAAATACCCAGTCAGTCTGATATGCGGTACGTCTGCCATATGATATCACTTCCGTTTTTTACGATGTGGCCAGCAGCTGTTTCACTGCACTTCATTTCTTTTCTTTTCTCTTCCTTTTTCTTTCCCTCTTCTTTTCTCCCTCGATGAATCGAAAGTTCCATCGTTTGCACGACTATTAGCCGCCACCGGCCAGTCTTCTGGCTGGGTCCTCGTTCTCCGAAACAATCTATTCTGCAGGCTCAGAGCTCATTAAGGACCCCATCGTCTGATAACCCCAGAAGGGGATCCCAGTCTCGAGAAAAAGTCTAGACGGCGGGTGGAGCACTCTGACACCCCTGTTCAATGCACGAAAGCAATCCCACACCCACCTATTCATACACTCATACATACACACACACACAATCACACATGTACACATTCATGTACACACAAAAATATATGCACCCACACACACTCTCGGACGCAGATGCGGGAGGCAAGGGTAGTTCCCATTGCTCGAAAGTGTGCAAAATGCTACCTAGGCCGTCACCGGCCCCCTCCATTCATTGCCGCATATGGGGTTCGCATCAGCCCTCCCGATACTGTAGCCCATCTTTATTTGTATAACATGTTAGCTGGCAGTACGACAATCTGTCACACCGTGATGCCGTGCTTCGTTTGCATGGGGCAACAAGTTACAACATTATCGGTGCCAGGTTCTCACAGACTGACTGGTTACTCGGCGCTGGGAGCATTAGGGCAGCCTTGCTGATTGTGTACTACCCAGCAGGTACGGCCAGGACTCCAGCAACTCACCCTTAACCCTCGAGAGTTCAGCTCAACCTTCGCCGTCCGTCATAAATCTGTATGCTCCTGGCCCCACGTCAGCTTTTACCTCTGCACCAGCCTACCCACCTGACAGCGGGAGTTCCTTCTATAATCATAACCCCGCCCCCTTCCTGCCTACCATAGACCAGAGGCCTCGCCTTGGCTCCAAGTACGTGATACACCCCACCCAATGGGGCTCTGCTGACCAGCCTCTGCCCTTTGTCCTTCCCCTGCAAACTACACCACTATTGGGACATTCCAGAATACTTACCAGCTCTGTGTGTGATGTGTGTGTGGGAGTAGCACCTCCAACAACCCGGGCATGGCACATGCCCTCCGAAACACAACATTGCCGCACCCAGGTACACAATTGAGCACACGAGACGTCTACTCGCCACAGACGCCCACCTACAGCAGGAGAACAACCGATCACCCGCGATCTCCCCCATACTTCACTCCAGGTGGGCTCGGACGCCACCCCATTTCGTCAGTCCCGAGTCCCAACCTAGGTTTCACCAACCATCCAGGAACCATGGCCTATTCTTCCAACCAGAAGCAGCAGCAGAACATCCCGCCCCTTCAGGGAATGACGATGCATGGCACTCTGTCTTATTCGGACGCCCCAACCACACACATCAAGCCAGAGATCACGGGCACCATCGACAAGGGCTTCTTCCTGGCAGACAATGAGTGGACATGCTACCGCAGGAATTATTTCTCCTGCGTCTGCTCGTTCCACATCCCGCCCCCGACGCACCCTCAGGCCACCATGCATTTCTTGCCCACCGGCAGCTCGCAGACTTACCAGATCGCAGGCTGGGCCATGTGCATCTCGGCGGTGGTCGCGGACAACGACGCGCACACGATCGAGCTCGTGCAGCACACCCCCAAGCGGGACAAGGGCCCCATCGCCCCTCCAGACAAGATACGGCTAAACCCAAAAACTTCTCAGGCAGCGCATCACCCGCTTGGGCACTACGGCGGGCCTGAGATGGGGCTCGTGGGATCCTCACGCGCCTACGAGCAGTCCCTGTACGGGCAACCCATGCAGCACCAGTCGCTCCACACGTCCCTCCCCACGGAGCACACGTTCGAACGGATCCAATTCAAGCAGGCGACAGCGAACAATGGGAAGCGGAGGGCTGCGCAGCAGTACTATCACCTCGTGGTCGAGCTCTATGCAGACATCGGGCCACAGGGTCAGGGCAACGAGCAATATCTGAAGGTTGCCCACAGGAAGTCGGCAAAGATGATCGTCCGGGGACGATCACCTGGACACTACCAGTCCGAGCGGCGCACGAGCACGAGCAGCGGACCAGGCTCCGGACCGTCAGGGCTCGGCACTTACCCGTCAACCGGCTCACAGAACTTTGGTGGCAACTACGGAAACCTCGGATCCCAGAGCATTGGCACTAGCTACGGCGGCTACGAGACGAGGTCGGGTGATCACTATCGCAACCACTCCGACGCGATTCCCATGGAGCCTATGCTCAGCCAAGAGGAATCTAGGAGCATCCAGGAGCCCGAGAAGTATCAGTACTTCCCCACACCCATCCTCGAGCCCCAGCAGGACCCCCGGCAGCCGATCGAGGTATTCCACCACCCTACAAGCCGTGCTGGAGACAGCAGCCTGCGGGGTCTCGGAACTGGCTATGACCTCACGTCGAAGCTCTACGCGGGACCTTTGTTCTCCGACAAGACAGTGAGCACAGGGCGATTCGAGGGCAAGACGAGCTCGAGCGGCTACTACCCCACCATGATGATGCCACCGTCGGCGGCGGATGGCAGCTACAAACAACAATGGAGAACCTCAGTATCACCTCTGATTACATCGTCCACAGGTTAAGTCAGCACTGGAACCGCCTGCCACCACAGATAACATGCATGTTCTTCGAATCCTACTAGCTGCTGTCTGAGCGTCACGTCCACATGGACGACGTATGGTGAATTACAGGAGATCTCAGAAGGAAATAGAGCAGGTATAGGAAGTTCGAAAGTCCGCTACAACGCTTTACTTCTCTTCTTTCTTTCTTTCTGTGCAGGATGGGAAATAAGGATAAGGTAAATGCGGAGTGCTAGATCAATGGCGCATGGGACGGACATTCACAACAGGTTGGGAATGGGACCAGGCAAAGGACCGGAAACTGGACGGGATTTCCATTCGGGGTGAATGGGGATTTTTAAAAAATGGCATATTGGAAAAGGGATCGACCGACGGCATGGCATGGCATTCGTAAGGGATACCCGTTTGTTTTGTTTTCTTATCTTTGGCATCCCCCCCCCCCCTTCCCCCAATCTTCCTTTTGTCTTTCTTCCTTTCCTTCTTTCACACCCCCCACACCCCCTTCCATCCCCTCATAGGACGGCCATGTCTCGATTTCGGCACTTGCACTTGCAACAACACTCGCTTTTTGAAAACGGAGGTCCTTTTTCTTCTTCTCTTTTTTTCTTTCTAAGACTGGGTTTTGTTGATGCTGGATCTTGACGGGACAAGAAGAGGAGGGGGAGGGAGGGGAGAGGGGGCGCTGGGACAGTCGACGTGCGGGGGATAGGCATGATATTCTGGTTGATCCAGAAGCAACATTCGAGCGTTTACCACTGTGATGGGTTGGACTTGTGTGCATCCCACCACGATGCTCCGATACCTCGGATCAAGACTATTCTGCTCTATCTTCATTTTTTCTCTCTTTCGCTTTCTTGCTTATTTAATTTTCTCTTTATGGACAATTGCATCTCATGAACACATTCTCACACCTGCTTGCCTGCGTTTCCTATGAATCCAATAGTACGATTGTTGAAATGGTTACGAGCAAGTCTGTGTGGACTGGGGACATTGCCGTCAGCCACGCTCCCCTGGTTACACAAACCCAATAAACGATTGCTTACGGCGAGCCTATGTTGCCGTAAGGCTTGCTTACTTTTGTTACGTAGATCTAAACAGCGCCATTGTTTATTCTTGTTCCTCTCTGTGTGTCTCTACTGCGGCGCCTGGCCGGCTGTCGCTCCAACTTGCCTCCAAAGACGGTCTCCTGGAATGCGTAGTCGTGGACGTACATGGTACAAACATATGCGTGAGCACGGATACGACATGCATCTGCCCCCTTGAACGGGAAGATCTGGGGCCTTTTTCTTTCGGGAAGTCAGCTCGCATAGTGTTGCTAGCCTTGGGACGTAGCTGATCCGATAGGCTCACGAGCGAAGGATGGGAAAGGGACAGAAAGGAATGGGTGGGTGTGGACTGAGAGAATGGACATCATCCTGGGGAGCGGGAATCTGGCGGTACGATCGGCGCATGGTGGGGGGGGGGGGGGGGGAAAGACAAAGGGAGGATGTATTCAATACAGTACCATGTACATAGGTAAAAGATTTGAGAGCCATGTCCGAATGAGGCAGAGAAATTTTTCGTCGTCTTACTTGCAGGAGGATTAACCGACAGGCCGGTAATTCACTCCTTCTCCTCTCCTCCTCTATGGTCCAAAGTTGGACGGATTATCCTGCGGGAGGATGATTCACGTGAGAGCCTCGCCCGCCTCGTACCTACACCATGATGTTTGAATTTTCACTCCTCCCTCTCCTACCCAAAACACCGCCTCTGGATTAGTCGAGACGTGAGGTTCGAAATGAAGACAGCAAATGAAACGAATCGAGTGACGTCTAAATAAGGTTGTGGCTAGTTCCTCTAGCCCGCGGTCCATCGCGGCCACGAGCTCCCGGGAAGCCTAGATTGGTGAAATTTTTTTTTCTTTTCGAATTTTATTGATTCTTGTCGCTGCCCCCTCTCCTCCCCCCCCCCCCTTCTCCTAACCTGGAACGATGCCGGCGCGGCGGAACCCTTCATCCACAAGTCCTTCCTCGGACTGGAGGAAGAATCCAAGAAGCCGAGGTGCCGCGGGTGGAGAAACGGAGGCCAAGTAAAAATAAAAACAAAAATTGGGGACCCCTGGAAAAAAGGAGGAGGGAGGCAGAGGAAGGGAAGGAGACAGGGGTGGGGGGTTTGTTACCCGTGATGCTAATGAAGCGTTGGGGTTGACTTCGTCCCTTCCTCTTTCAGCAACGCTGCATCTTGCCTCAATTTTCATCATTATCGACAGTCATCAAAGGAATAAAATGTGCTTCTTTTCTTCCTTATTTTTCATCTCGTATTGATAAAAATGGCCCGCCGTGGCTTGGGTCTCTCTCTCTCTCTCTCTCTCTGTGTGTGTGTGTGTGTGTGGTGACTGAGACATTGGCGTATAGCTGTTCCGGAGGGGGCCTGCGCCACGACGACGATGATGCGTGGGGGGATGGAGATGGACCCTCCTGAGTACCTCGACGTTCAAAGGAGGGAATACGGTCTCTGAGAGATCCACTTCCTGCCCTGAGTTGCTGCCTAAGTACCTATTTTACGCTTTTTCCCCCTCCTTAGAATGACGTTGCGATGGCCGTCATTGCCGTTATCATCCTTGTGTTGAGGGACGGATAAGACGGCCAGACGGCACGGAAGGACAGGACCTTCTTCAGGGGTCAGTTCCCGCCCTGCTAAGCCCCTGCGCGGCCTGTAGTGGTGGTGGTAAGCCCTTCCAAATGGGTTGTTGCACTCCATCCCGCGATCATAGTCCAACATTTCACACCATCTGACAAGTACTCTTGACCACTGCACAACCACTCCTGCGCCCCCCCATTCGGCACGCACATGTCTTCGCATAGCCCTATCCACCACCAGGCCGCGTCTGAAAAGAGAGAGACTACTGTACATCTTATGTCATATGCAAATTTTCCTCCCCTCCCCACACACCCACTCATTCTTTCTTACCAATCCTGCGTACGTGAGGTGTGGTGGACCTTAACCTCAGCTGCTGACCATCTCACACTCCCTTCCCCCACCTTTGCCCTCCGCATGCCAGCACACCTGACCTAACGGGGAGCACATGCCATTGAGACTTTGGAACATGATAGGAGGGGAGGATAGGAAAGAAAGAAGACGGAAAAAGAAGGAAAATAGAGGGCGCGGGTACAGGTTACACAACCTTTACGGTCATCCTTCGCTCAGCCCTACCACCACCAAGTGTCGACATCATACAGCGTCAGCATCTCTACCGTTCTCACAAAGTTGACGTGATCACCCAAAGCTTTTTCAACGGTCTCTTTCGACATGGTGGATCGGCTTCGGTTCCGGTATCACTAAGCCCAGCCCACACCACCCTCCTCTTCCCCGAGCCGCTCTTTTCTCACCACTTCTAAGTACAATAGATGTTGTGGCACCTTCGCTTACTCCCCGTTCTTCTGCCTAGGATCTTGGAAGGGCAAATCCGCGTATCTGAGAAAATCTCTCAATATGCCACAGCGCTATGGGATTGGAAAGTAAAGGTACCACCGGAAGTCTCGGGGCAGGCTGAGAAGTGCGAGGTAGCAAGCATCCCCAGTACATGCCATGATGCTCGACATAGGAGACAAAGTAGCGCGACGGCTCATCATCCATGGGGCCAGATGATGGTGATTATGATGCACAATTTCGGACAAGCGGTCCCCCCATCATATAACGGTGGAGTTTTACGGCCCGTCTCTCTCGATGAAAGGCGTCCGATTTCTCGCGGCCGAGTCAGCCCTCTTGTTTCTGATGATACAGCCGCACAGCCTCACCGCTGTGTTAACACTGGTATTTCAGCTTTGGCCTTGTATCCCAATACAGGGCTATTGCGGAGAGCAACAGGTAATTCCACGACCGCCCCCCCCCCCTACCCCCAGGCGGCATGATCTGCATCGTGCAGCCTGACCGGTGTGTTTGTGCATGTCTACTTGGTAGAGGCGGCTGCAAAATTACAGCCAGTACGACAGTACCATGTCTACTTGCTGATCCTGAGGCTTCTTCGCCCGTATGACTGCAGCCGGGCGGACCCCCCCTCCCTCCACCTCTCTACGTCGTTGAATCCTCGCTATCCGTCTTCCTAGGGTGTGATCACACTCCCATAATTTCTCGCTTGTTCCTTCCGGCGCACGCACTCCACTCTTCAAGGAAGCGAGGTCGCTTTCTTTACAATTCGCCTCTGGCAGGGTGAATCCGGCACCAGAAAGGGGGTGGGGACAAACGACTGCGGCGTACGGTTTCAGTCCACGTAGGTTCCAGAGAATCCGATCGGGTCCGAGCCAGTAAGTTGAGGCATTTCCCACAAACACTTTGGTCAACAGATCCTGCAATCCTTTCTCTCTCGGCCGGTGCAGTGGAGAAAATCAGCACACGGGTACCCAAGTAATAGAGAGACGTGTACTTTGACGATGAAACAAGGTCACGTGGTAATGGATCGCCTAGTAAGTTCTGAGAAGGGCAAATTCTCCGTGGGCATGTTTCGAGAAGGTGGTTCGGTCTCAGACCCGGCTGTCTGATCAAGGAAGGGGCCGCCTCCTGTAGGGCTGAGGCAGAGAGGAGAGAGAGAGAGAGAGAGACGGACGGCGGCCCTTGGCTCAGATCCGGGGAATGTGACAAGTCACTTCACGGGCATGACGCGCAGTCGAGAGTCGTGTGCAGGCGGCGAGGCAAGGCAGGCGCAGGCGCAGGCTCGAAGCGACAGGATTCCCTCCTTCTCGCATATGCATGACACGGCCTTGCCCCCCCCCCCCCCCCTCCTCCCCCATTCAGGTACATCGTGGGCTCCATGTGGTTCTGCAGTTGCCTCCTTCGGTTCTGTCCGCTCGGAGTTTCAGGCCCCCTAAATCAGGCCCGTGAACTGATGTACGGCTGTTTGTCTGGCGTGCATGAGTTCTGGTCTGCGAGGTTCTCTGGACAGGGGGAAAGTCGGCCTCCTCCTCTCTCTTCCTGCGGGTCAGCAGGTGAGAATCTTCTCTCTTCCTCCAGGAGCCCGAGCCGCGCCTAGGCGCACACGAGGCTTGTTTGTATGAGGCCAGCCTATTGAGATAGGTTAGTTGAACTGGCGATGTACGTGGGCTGCTCGTAGCTTCGAGACCTTGTGCGTTTGCCACGCTGCATGCCGGTCCACTTCCTCGGTCTGCTGTCTCTGGGATGCCGCGCCACGAATTTGATGGTTTTTTTTTGGGGGGGGGGGGGGTGCGGTTCTTGGCCGAGATGGATGCGTTGATGAATGGTGCTGATCTGAGATTTCTCCTCTTTGTTGAAACCCCCGTGATGGAAAGTATCTTTTAGGGGCAGATGGGGTAAGTCACATTTTGCAGTGGGTTATGACATAGGGAAATGTATAGAGGACTTGCTCCTCGGTAGGTGAGGCTACACTGTACCTGCTTCCTCATGGTCAAGTTCGGTAGACAGCGAATGGTCTGCTACATAGGAAGAAGCCATTCGTCAGGTACCTCGATGACGGCCCAGAACAACTCGACGCGGCCTGACCTATGTAGATGTGATCTTTCGGGTCGTTCTGAACGCCCAGGGGGAAAAGCTCATCCGGAATAAGGCGCCGATGCCACATGCTTGTTGCTCAAGGATAGCGGAGCCGGCCGTCGTGGGCCCGTCTTGAGGCGTGCCTGGCCGCGGCTCTAAAGCTTTACAGGCGTTCAGAAGAACAAAAATATCAGTTGAACTGCTACTAGAACAGTACTCACATGGGCGCCATTCGAGTGCCATACAATCGACACGCGTCCACATCGGCGTCACAAACCATGCTCTCGTCCCGACTCGAGGGCCTGCTGAGTGGTTATTGAAAACCCCTGAATTTGAACCGCTTTATACTATGCTTCGTGTTGATGATACCTTTCGCACCATTAATTGACACAGTGCACTCTCCCGACATCTCACAAGATACAACTAAGCAAGGTGCCGAAGCGAACGTGCGGTTGCTGGAGGATGGGAGAGAGACAATCTCCCGGGTGACCATTTCCAGGAAATAATAGAAAAATGCATTGGTACACGTTTGGGGGGGGTTATGGGACAGCCGTTTGCTCTAGGTCGACTTGAGCCATCACGGATTCGACGTTCCGAACTCGGGATAATTACTCGAGATGAGGCTCGGGTATATGTTGAGAGACAAGAAACATTTTGAATAAATTCCTTTGGACTGATCCGTTTGAGGGTCACGAAACGTAAATCTGAACCTGTCGCAGACTTGATCAAGATTGCTTGTTCCAACGTGGGAACCCATCAATTGCCCTCACGTCCGTCCTGTCTATCAATGTACAGTTGGCCTCGACGATCCGGCTCTCGTGTCCCTCAAATCGCATCCCACCATCGTCTAGTGGTTTGTCTTTGCCTTTTCATCCGCCTCTGCCTGTTCCATGAATTTCCTGCGAAATAGAGTCAGCCGCTGCTCCTGACGGATGTCGCCTGCCACCGAAGAGAAGAAGAAGGGGGGTCCAAAGTACTTGATGAAGTCGGCCTCGTCGGAGCTTGCTGCGTTGATCGGGGGAGTCTGTGTGGTCTTCTTGCCGCCACCGCGCAGGGCGAGGGTGGTGCCACCGAACAGAGCGCCCAGAACACCCATGGCCAGCTAAATCAGAAGGAAAACAATCGAGAGTCAGCACCAATGGTCGTCATCGCCAGTGAAGGAGGAAGACCCGAGAGGATGTTCTCTTCTTCTCGCAGCCGCGGGCGTCACGGGCGATCGGGGCAGGGCGCAGGAGAACTGACGTAGTGGGAGCCGACTCTGGCGCCGAAGACGCTGTAGTATTGGACCATCTTGGACAATTGATCTGGGCCGGCTTTACAAGGAGAGTCGGGCTGTGGAGGTTGATGTGAAGGGAGGGGGGGTTAAGAGCGTGCTGTTGGGTGGGAAAACGACGCAAGACGTTTCAATTGACAAGCTCCCCGGCAGCTGCTGAATTTGCTGGTGCCTCAGGCCGTACCCGCCCCGACACCCCCGGGCACTTACTGCCCGCCTACAGGCGAGTATGTAAGCCTTGGCGGGGATGGTCGGAATTAACCGCAACGGCGCATCAGTCTTGCCAATGGTCCACGGTGGAGCTCCTGCCTTGGTCCCTCCCACCCGCTTTTATCCTTCTGGGGTCATCTATTCGATTCGCGACGCGACGTCATTTGCGACAATCTATCGTCCCCAACTTTCGCAACGCCTCGTGCAGACTCTCTTGAGGTGCCCACGAACACCAGCAGAAATTATCTCGGCGCCCACGACTCGCAGCGCCTTGCCTGGTTCGAGCTGTACACTTATCGTCCACCCAGCTTTCAAATCTCTCTCTAATCTGCACTGTTCAAGATGTGGTGGGGAAAGAGTTCGGACGACAAAGATCCCAAGGCCTCGTCGCCCTCCGTCAAGGAGACGCCAGCCGCAGCAGCCAGTGCAGCAGCTGATGCACAGAGGTACGACAAATCGTCAGCACCCAGGAGAGATGCCTCGGCCCCCTTCGATCCGAAGCTGCCAGACCATGAGAAGCTGCCTCCGGCGCTGCAGAAGATTATTGAGAAGTCGGAGAAGGAAGACAATTTTTTCGATGAGCTGGTCGACGGATAGTATGTTCCGTTTCGCACCGCTGCGATCACTTTCTTTCCCCCTCTCATATCCCAAGTCCCACACTGGCTTCATTGCAGTTGGAATTGCATCCAGCGCAGTGGCATTGGCATTCCAGTGACAGCATTTGCTGCCGGCCATGCCGAGCCGTCGACCATATTTAGCCATCGCTGGTCCGCCAATTGCTAACCCTGTACCTTTCTTGAACAGCGCCCCTGAATCCACCGAATCCAACGTTCGTTTCGCCGCCTATGCTGCTCGCGTGCGCACCATCCTCCTCTCTGCGCATCGCTATGTGGCCTACACGTCCGATATAGGCGAGTCCTTCCGGCCAATCGCCCATCCCTGGCTAGTACGCGGCGCATACGGTGTATCATGGGCCTACATCCTCGGAGATGTCTCCTACGAGGGGTACAAGGCCTACCTGCACAATCAGCGCGTCCTCAACCCGCAGCTGCAGCTCTCTGACCATCAGCGGAAGCTCACGGGTCTAGAGCCCGTTGCCGAGGTCCCCACAAATGTCCAGCCAGGCACCGTCTCCCCGCTGGAAAACTGGAAAACAGTCATGGCGCAGAGGGCCATCTTCCAGTCAGTGGCAAGCATGGGTCTGCCGGCGTTCACGATTCACAGCGTTGTGAGGTACAGCGGAAGGGCGTTGAAGGATGCCAAGAACAAGACGATACGAACGTGGGGACCCATTGGACTCGGCCTTGCTGTTGTACCATTCCTGCCCACCCTCTTCGACGAGCCCGTGGAGAGCGCGACTGAGTGGATCTTCCACAAGGGATTCCAGACCTTTGGCGGAGAAACATATGTTGGCGATGCGCCCACCACCGGCAGAGAGAAGGCCATGGTCAAGAAGCCACACAAGGAGAAAGACTTATGAGAACAGCACAGTACATTCGCTTTGGTCCTCGTAGATGAAGGTCTTGGTGGGATGGTCAGAACATCTCACACTCCTCTGGCGTTGGTGCAGAACATTTATTCCTCTCGACTTGAGAACAGCAGTCTGTTCATAGCATTACTGCCTCTGAAAAATGAAGATAATAGATCCCCTCCTCCTATTCGAGTGTCGTTACCAAAGCGCTCTCTCTCTCTCATTCTCTCGCAGTGGTATCTCTGATGATGATCCGAAATGTCCACCCGCTCTCAACGCCAGAACTCCATGGTGACGCTATGCAGAAAAACCTTGCCTACCGATGTAGGACCCCATTTCATACCTCAATTAAATCAGGGGTGGAAGGGCCAACACCCCTCAGGAGCACAATCGTATTGCCCGAGGTGAGGGCTGTGCCGACCTTCTCACTGAACTCCAACACCCTCCCGCCCTCCACATGGAACACCCTCAGCTTGTCCTCCTCCTTGTTTGACTGGTTGTTAATGTTTTCAATCTGCAGGCTCTTAGCCGCAGCATCCAGCACCCTGCCGATGACCCAGTCCTTGGAGTAAAAGAACTTGCCCTTGGGCATCTTGGCCGTCGTCGTCGCCGCCTCGGCCTCCACATATAGATATACCCTCTTCTCAGCCGCCAGCTTGTCATCCCCCTTGGCGGTCTTCTTCAGATCGTTGACGGCGACGACGCGCTGCGACGCAGACGTGGGCTTCGCCTTGGGAAGCGCGCGCCCCGCCGCCGCCGCCGCCTTCTCCCGGTTCGTCCTGGTCCACGCCTTGAAGTTGCTAAACGCCGTGTTGAAGGCCTTGTTCACCGCGGCGGTCGGGCGCGCGCCCAGGGGCTCGAGGTTCTTGCAGTCGTGGTCGTCCTCGAAGCGGTGCTTGAGGCAGTAGTCCCGGTTGCACCGGTCGCAGTGGACGCCCTGCACGAGGCTCGTGCCGACGCGCGTCTTGCAGTCGGGCGCGGCGCAGTCCTTCTCGGCCACCAGGCTGCGCATCTGCTTGTCGGCGCCATAGCTGGGCTTGGCGAGCTGGGCCTGCCGGCGGCGCTCGGCCCAGGCGCCCGCGCGGGCGCACCGGTGGGCGGACTCGGTCCGGTGGTCGAGGCAGAAGGTCTTGTTGCAGGACTGGCAGAGGAAAGGGAGGAAGTCGAGGAGGTTGCAGTAGTCGGCCTCGCAGTGGCTGCCGACGAGGGTGGCGTCGTACTGGGAGCGGTCGGCGAGCTGGGTCATGTTGACGTAGGAGGTCTCTTCTGGGGGTGGTGTGTTGGAGGCCATTTTTGGGGGGACGACGGCGAGGCGGCGACGAGGGCGGGAGAATATGTAGGGCGGATGGAAGGCAGATGCGCGCTACGTAAGTTGCGTTACGTGGATTAGCAATATGGTCGCCTGAGGTCGGCAAAGTGTGCGGCCGAGGCTGAGGCTGAGAGAGACTGGGCATAGGCGAGGAGAAGGAGAGGCAAGGCTGCTGACCAACACGTAAGTGAGGACCCCTATGAGAGCCCCCTGGAAGCACCTAGAAGGTGGGGGGGGGGGGCTCTCTAGCGGGGATGGCCCCTGTCGCGCTCTACATACCATACGAGGCTGAAAGACTGCCTACTAGAACTCGACAGTGGAACACAATACTGAGTACAAGATGTAGGACTTGTAGACCAGGAAGCCTTTTCACATGCCAATTCCTACCTCATTATATCTTTCCTATAGATGAGTACACTTTCCTTCTTTATGAAAAAGGCCCCTGATCAATAATGAAAGTATGAACATCCGCAATAAGCAGGGACCCTAACCCTGTCGCGAGGAGGCCTTAAAGTGCTCACGTGCTCGCGTGTCTTCTGAGCGCGCTTGCTTTCCGCTCGGGAATCTATGACGTTCTTATATGGACTCTTCTGATTGGCAGGGGTACCTCTAATCAACACCATCTTATGCATGAGTACAAAATGGTGAGACCCTCTTAAGCATTATGTCTTTTTCTGCCTAGCATTCCGGTCTACCACGATGCCACCTCATGTCCCTCGCAAGAGGCTACGGGAGGACTCTCCCGACAGGTCCGAGGGCAAGCCCAAGAAGAAGAGCAAGGCGCCTGCAGCGGCTCCGCCGAGGAAAGCAACTCTCTTCGACGACCTCGACGCGGCCGCTTCGCCTAAGACAAAGGGCAAAGCCTGCCAGAGGCTGGTGGAAAGCAGTGATGACAGCAGCTCTCTGACGTCTCTGTCAGATGCTGATTTCGAGGATGTCCCAGCTGCAAAATCCACGGGGCGGCCACCAAAGGTCGAGGAGGACGACCAGGCCGAGGAGGATGAGGACGATGAGGACATAGAGTTCGAAGATGTCTCTTATTCAACGACTCTCGCGCCCCAGGAGGCGACGGGCCTAAAGGATGGTGCGCTCGAGCTGACGTTATCTCATATTCCGACTGCCTCCTACACGGACTTTGGCGGGAAGCGAGGTCCTTCGAAGAATGAACGTCGGATCCGTGCTGCGACGCACTGCATGCATGTCCAATTTCTAATGTGGCACAATGCTCTTCGGAACACTTGGCTCTGCGACCCGACTGTGCAAGGCATCATGCTATCACATCTGCCGCCGGGAATGTGGGATGAGATTGAGCGGTTCAGACGAAACAGTGGGCTTGAGGCGCCTGATGTTCCTACGAAGAAATTGACCAAAGGAGGGTCCAAGGGCAAGACGAAAGGAAAGAGCAAGACTGCAGCCGCAAAAGCCTCGAGAAGAGACTGGGGTGCTGCAGCGGAGAGACTCGAAAAGGGCGCCGTCGACTTGAGCTTTGGCGATCCGCTCTTTCGCTTGCTCAAAGCCCTCTCGAATTGGTGGCGGAAGAGATTCCGCATCACGGCCCCCGGTGTCCGCAAAATCGGCTATATGCAGACTAGGCGTAGCACAAGCCTGATTAAGGGCTACAGGGCGGGCGGCACCAACCCCAAACGATACGGTGAGCGCATATCAGGTCTTGACTGGTTCCAGTTGCGAGCGCAGGAGTGCGCTGGGAGCCGTGATGTTGGCGCCCAGCTGTTCACTGCCCTCCTCAGGGCTATTGGTTTGGAGGCACGCATGATTGCGAATCTTCAGCCAGTTGGCTTTGGGTTCAACAAGCTTGAGGATGCCGAGCCAGAGAAGCAGGATGAGGATAGCGGGGCTGAGACACCAGTCCAGACGAATGGACGTGCCGGAACCGCGAGGGGAAAAGTCAACAAGCCACGCAAGCATTTGGAGGACAGGCTCTCTGGACAGCAGTCTCATCAACCTGGCAGGTCGCTCCGTCAAAAGGGTCGGGCAAGCCTCAAAGATGGCCCTGACGACGCACAAGATGATGACCTTGACCTGTCGGATAGCGACGATGACTCCATTATCGAGATCCCACCACTGAAACCACCCAAGAACACGACCACGGCTAAATTTGACAAAGACCTGGAATATCCTCACTACTGGACCGAGGTGCTCTCTCCGGCGACACAAAAATATGTGCCGGTGGATGCCATCGTGAAAAACGTGATCGGCACAAATAGGGAGCTTACCGAATCCTTTGAGCCGCGAGGAGCGAAGGCTGATAAGGCCAAGCAGGTCATGGCTTATGTTGTGGGCTTCTCAGACGATGGTACGGCCAAAGACGTGACAGTGAGGTATCTCAAGCAGCAAATCTTTCCAGGACGGACGAAGGGCATGCGATTACCCATTGAGAAGGTACCAGTGTATAATAAGAACGGCAAGGTGAAGCGATATGACCAGTTTGACTGGTTCAAGTCGGTCCTCCGCGGCTACGTCAGGGGCGGCGAGAAACAACCTCTCACAGACATTGACTGGGACGAGGAGCTCACCGATCTCAAGGCTGCGCAGCCCCAGCAAAAAGAAGTGAAGGATGGTGAAGAGACCCTACAGTATTACAAGCAGTCCAAAGATTTCGTCCTGGCACGTCATCTGAAGCGCGAGGAGGCCCTGCTGCCAACCGCAAAGCCAGTCAAGGTTTTCAAGAACAAGGGCAAGAAGGGTAAAGGCGAAGAGGAGCCCGTGTACCTCCGTAAGGACATTGTGCAAGTCAAGAGCGAAGAGACTTGGCACAAGCAAGGGCGCGCCCCCCTGCCCGGTGTCGAGCCGCTCAAGATGGCGCCGTACAGAGTCGCGACGACGAACAGACGGAGGGAGCTAGCGGAGGCGGAGGCTCTTGCCGGGCACAAGGTCCTGCAGCCCCTTTACAGCTACGACCAGACGGACTGGATCATCCCACCGCCTATCGAGAATGGTGTGATCCCGAAGAATCAGTACGGCAACATCGACCTGTTTGCTGAGCACATGCTGCCCGAGGGAGCCGCGCACGTTCCCTACCGAGGCGCAGTTCGTGTATGTAAGCGATTGGAGATTGATTTTGCCGAAGCAGTGGTCGACTTTGAGTTTGGCCACCGCATGGCCGTGCCCGTCATCCATGGGGTCGTCATTCCTGAGGAGCACTACGACAGCGTCATGGAGGAGCTGGCCAAGGACGAGGCTGAGAAGAAGCGCAAGGAGGACGAGAAGCGGAGGAAACTTGTCCTCACCACGTGGAAGAGATTTCTCATGGGCCTGCGCATTCGGGAAAGGATCCGGCGGGAGTACGGCGACGCCGACGGTTCCTACAACGTCTTCGGTCACAGTCGAGACCAGCCTGAGGAGCAAAACGAACAAGTCAATGGCGAGGAGATGGCGGGCGGGTTCCTGCCAGAAGGCTTCGAAGAGCCAGATGAAGGAGATCATGGTGCTGTGAAGGAGTCGAGCTTCTTCTTCCCGGCCAACGACGACGACGACGACGACGACGAAGATGATGCGGACGATGGACATCTAATCGTGGATCACGGAGAGGCTAGCGTGCCGATGTCTTTGACGTTACCAACACCAACGTCGGGTAGGAGCTTGGGACCAAGTGCGACTCGTGATGATACAGAGAAGCCCTCAAGGCGGCAAAGGGCTCAGAGAAGAGTCACACAGCTGTCTTCTGATGAGGAGGACCAGAGCGGTTTGGCCGGAGATGAGAGTGAGGATGTGGATTCTGACGACGAGTATGAGGGATAGTATTTGTCACGCAGCCAGCTGTTGATCATATATGAGCTGTCACCTTTTCCTGAAACCCCGCAGCTTGTAATCCAATACACGGCTTGAGCTCCAAGGGCCGATCAGTTTGCCACTGCCAAACTGCCATGTTCGCAAAAAGCAAACGTTGTGAGTGTAAATAATCGTCACCGTAAAATTCTCACCTTCTACAGAGCAATTCCTTTGTTACGCCTTCTTTGGCTGCCAAATGATAGCCTCGTCGTCTTAAATCTGCCCGGTGTAAGTTCGCGATGAGCCTTGTGGAGGCGCAGGTGGAAAGTTGGAAAGTTGGACTGCCGCTATGGTGGCTTTGTGAGATGAAACCATGCCAAGGTGGACTCAGCGGCTCAGCTACAGCGGGAGCCAGGGGGGTTCAGCCAAAGGCGGCCCAGGGTGGAGCGGGACCGTCTTAGCTCAATAACACAGCACAGCAGCCCAGCAGCAATGCATACTTATGCAGTGTACTAATGTGCCTGTGTGGTCAATATCTGGCGGGGAAAGTGGGACAGGCGGATGGATCAGGTGGCACACGGACAACCACTCAGCCCAAGGTTGCTGGGGCGGCCATGTCGTCGCCAGATCAGGCGTGCGCTGGTTCTCTCCTTTCAGTGACACCTTTCTTCTCTCTCGCGTCCCATCTTGTACTGCCCTGCGCAGCTTTACAGACACCGAAAAGAAAGACAATTGAAAATTAACAGACCAAGTACAGGCGCTGAGGGAGAAGGCCGTCGTCTCCTGGTGCGAGCTCGAGCTCGACTACCCTGGGTTTGGGGACATCGCCGTGCGGTGCGACACTAACTGGGTAGCTCGTTGCCACGGAGCTGCCACGCAGCCGTCATAAAGAGCTGTCCAGTCCTACGGCCTAGTCCTAAAGGTAGATCTAGGCCCGACCGCTTCTACGTCCGGCGAGAGCTGGCTCGAGCCCCAGAGGAGGAAGAGACGGGGAGGGGAAGAAGGACGATCCTCCGCTTTAGGCCAGCATGTATAGCATTGCGGCCCTCGACCCCTTCGTTCCTAGGTCCTCCTCCGGTGTTCTTTCGGTGCTCACTCGAAGCCTGCAAGGTGAGCCTTCACTGGTTTTTTTCTTCGTTTCGGTAGCACTACCCTTGGGAAGACGTCTCGTGGCCTTCAGGCCCCTTTTTGTAGCAGTGACTCCACTGCTGCTGCCTCTGTTGTACTTGCCATACGGGACCGTGTCGTGCCTCGAATCTTAGTTTGTCATCCGAGACTCGAACCGGGTTCAAGGAAAGAAAGAAAGAAAAAGGCTGGCAACCCGTCACAGGCGCCCAGAGGAGACCCAAGATTTCACAAAACTTGTCCTCGATATACTCGATCTAATGTCGATGCGAGGGCTGTGAGGCGGCTGCGAGAGCCTGATCTGTTATTATACATCATCTCCCATCTGAATCCCCCCCCCCCGGCCTCATTACCTGCTTTTTAGCTTGTATCTGGGAGCACGACGTCTACTACTATAATCTCATTTTATCTTTTCGAGACTTCCATTCCGTCTGAACCTTCACCTCTATTCTCACGTCTTCAAGTCGTCCCCAGGCGTCAGCTCCAACATCAGTTTCACTCACCTCCTTCACCCCCAATCCACCCTGGTGCGTAGCCCAGACTAATCATGCAATCAAATGGAAGGCTCGACTCGCCGCGTTCCCCCGAACCCTGGCAGGACCGTACTTGGCACCTGAATCAGTTAATCCCACTGGGCGGGAGCGGGGATCGCGAGGCAGTAGCGGCGGCGGCGGCAGCAGCAGCAGAAGAAGATCAAGAAGATCTCGCCGTCTATTTCAGGCTCCTATCGTTGCGCCCCCCAGATCTCAACCCAGTGTTACCTCAGCTAGTTGCAAACCAACCACCTCAACGCGTACCGTTTCTTGACCAGACATTTCTTGACGAGATGGAAGACTTCGTTCCCCAGCCAGACCAGTCTGCAGAGGCCGAGATGGACACCCTAGACGCCGTGGACGCGTGCTTTGTATCTAATGAAACAAAGTCTACATGCCGTGCACTAGTGCTCTCGATCTTTCCAGACATTGACCCTGACCACCTCGACGTCCTTTGCGAGGAGCGGCAGTGGTCTTCAAGTGGCGTCCTCGAGCACATCCTAAACCAGCAGGAGGACGGCATCCAGTATCCCACGGCTCTGAAGGCCAACCTCAAGAGAAAGCGCGGAGATGAGTATGACGTCCAGAGACAGGAGAACACCGCCAAGAGGTGGGATAACGAGTGGCGCAGAAATGAGCGTAGGGAACAGTCGTACTTCAAGACAAGGTGCGCCTCGACCTGGCTTCGACTTTTTACTTCCCCTTTTGTGGAATCAATGTGCCACCCCGTACTGACTTTTGCGCAGCAACGCCATCTTGACACAGGCTTTTCCACAGTTGTATATGGACGACATGCGGAAGTACATGGATCAGCATGGCAAGCTTCTCTTTCCCACCTTTCTCGGCCTGTCCAGAGCCGTGGCCGAGTGGGATGACCAGAACCCCCCTTTCCAGAAGAAGAAGACTAGGGTCTGCAGACACGCTCGTTGCCCCTCAGACGAGGAGATCAAGCTCCGCATCCAAGCAGCTATGTCTGGGGGCGAGCGGGAGGCGCTGGAGGAGTTCCGTGCCGCCCGCGCCCTCCAGGCGAGAGAGGCTGCAGAGGCGGAAACAAAGAGGCGCAAGGAGCAGGAGGAGATAGACAACTTCGAGACGGCAAAGGGCGAGGGAAACATCGCCGACTGTGGATGCTGCTACGTCGAGCACGCACTTAACAGGATGGTGCACTGCGATGGCGAAGAGCTACACGTGAGTGGTCTCCAGTTTTCACTGACGCACCGATCGTTTTGTCTGACTTGCACTAATTGATCTGGCTTATGATCTACAGTGGTTTTGTCGTGATTGCGCCCGTATGATGGCCGAGACACAGATAGGCCTTGGCAAGCACACGTTGGCTTGTATGTCCACCGATGGCTGCTCAGGCCAGTTCCCGTCTCATCAACGGGAGATCTTTCTCGACGCCCACTCATTAACGGCACTGGACCGTATCGAGCAAGAGGCCTCTCTCCGAGATGCTGGTATTGAAAACCTCGAGACATGCCCGTTCTGTCCATTTGCGATGGTTAGTAGCCTCCAGCGGGCCTAAGATCCCATTTATCAAGCTTTCCCCTTTCCTCCTTTCTTCTCTCTCCCCTCCATCCCTCCGTCCTCCCCCCCCCCCCCCCCACACCCTCCCTCTCTCTCTTTCCCCAAGTTTCTTATGTTGTTCTTTCTCTATCATGATTGACTCTAACACATCGTAGGAATACCCACCCTTGGAGGAGGACAAAGAGTTCCGATGCCTGATGCCTGAGTGCAAGGTGGTGAGCTGTCGGGCCTGTCGACAAGAGACTCACATCCCAAAGACTTGCGAAGAGGCAGCTCTTGAGCGAGGCCATTCAGCTCGCCACGCGATAGAGGAGGCCATGTCAGCAGCCTTGATACGGACATGCAATAAATGCGCAACACCTTTTATCAAGGAAAACGGCTGCAACAAGGTGGGCATAGGAACAGCCACAGTCTTGGATGATTATATTACTGACAGTTGCTAGATGACCTGCACAAAATGCCGCAACATCCAGTGTTACACTTGTTCCAAATCCTGTGATTATACACACTTCAATGACACTGCACGAGGGGGCAGAGTTGGTCAGTGTCCCCTCTTTGACAAGGAGGGGACTGATGTCCGTCATGCTGAGGAGGTGAAGATTGCCGAGCAGGAAGCCCGCATGAAAGTTCTTGAGGACAATACAGACGTGGATGCTGCATTCTTGGAAATCAAGACCTCTGAAAGAGTCCAAAAGGATGAGCAACAACGACTGACAAATGGTAAGTCTCCCCTGGCAGAGTATGGGGGCGGGTGGGAAATGGACATTGTGAGTCTTGATGGCTGCTGTACTAACACCCATCTCAGATGCATATAGGCATCACCCTGTTGTGGATGCTGGCCAGAGAGCAGGGATACGCCAGCGCATGCAGCAGGCGATGCATGAACGTAGACGGGCGTTTCGGGCTCAGCGATTAGCCGCTAGAGACGCACATGTTGCGGCCGCACAGCCTTTCCCAGCACCGTTCCACGAGGCGCCCCCGGCACCGCTGCAACCGCTTCCACCCCCAGCAGGTGCAGCTTTTCCTCCACGACAGAATCCAGCAGCACCGCCCGTGCCATTACCTGGACGGCAGGCTCCGCTTCCCAAGCTAGACGACGTTGTCCCTGCAGCTGCCCGGCCTGGGTGGGCAGCCTGGAATGGCATGGTGCCAAGGCTGGATGAAGCCATCGCGAATGTTGCCCCTGGTGTTCGACAAAGTATGCCGTTTTACGCACCACCTCCCGGTCGAGGCCCGCACGGAGTCGCTAATGAGTACCCTCATAGGGCTGAGAGGGTTGGGCCGCAGGACGAGCCGCTAAACAATCCCCCCGCATGGCTAGGTGCCAACGCATTCGCCCCGCCGCCACTTCCTATGGAGGCAGGTTACATACTGGCCAACCACCCAAGTCTGGTCCCTTTCTTTGATCACAACGCCCCCATGAACTTTCCTGGTATGCCGGCCGCGGCAAACCCGCCACGTGAACGGCAAGCACAGAGCCCGGCTCAGCCAGTACCTCAACTAAATCCGCCATACAACCCAGAAGCAGTGGCCGATCCCGCGCAGAGAGCGTACTATGGCCAGATCAGTATGCTTCAGGGTGCTCTCCCGATGATTGACCTCACTGGGGAGGATGCCGGTAATGGTGCTGCTAATGATGCTGCGGGAAGAGGGCTCCAGGGCGGTAATATGCAGAACCTGGATTTTAACGCGCTTGTGTCGCTTGGAGATGATGCAGAACTAACCCTACGGGAATTTCTCGAGAATGGTGGCCTGCTTTGATTTCTTTGACACTTCCGAGCTCATCCAAGTGAGTCGGGCGGGGTGGCGGTTCTGCGAGTGTGCGTCAAGGTTCCGATCTGAGGCGTGCTTCACGAATTATGATAACAGGATACCCAGCATTATCTGTTTGTTTCTTGCTACTTACATGGCACAGCATTTATTGCCGCTTGCATCTTGGTCTAAGCGGTCCTTCAGAAAAGCTTGGGCGGCGAAAAGATCTTTCAATTATGCGGCCAAGGAGTCACGGAGGGAATGTACGATGGATGGCATGGCGGGTAGCATGATTTTCATTTGCGGTACAGGAGTAATTCATAATGCATTATCTTCGAATCGGCGAGGGAAGGTGTCAAGATCATGACCCTTGCTGTGAAAACTACCGTGGCGGTCCTGGCCCCTGGGTCAGCTGAACGAACATGATGGGGCACTCTTGTCCTTGGGCAGTGGTTACTTGGTTTCCTCTTCAAGTTGCTGGATGTGGCCGCTGCAATGTAACTTCCTCCCCAAGCACCTGCTGCTGACGGGGGTTCCCTTGGTGAAACTTTTTACCACAGCTACAGGCGTCCCTTCACCTGGTCTTTCCGAACCTCTCGTGCCACTTCCCCCTGGCAGCGGTCGCAGGTGCACCGGCTCTCTCGGCCTCGGGGACGAGCTCCACCACCTCGTGCACGGTGGCGACTGCGTCGAGGCTGCCTTGATCTGTGGCCTGCAAGAGGATGAGGGCGTTGGATGTATTCTTTTGCCGAAGCGACCAGGTCCTGTCGTCTGGTGTCTTGAGCAGGCCTGCTGCTTCGGTTGGCTGGAGGCGGAGCGTGGGCGGGGTCTCAGATTCCAGGAGGGTGAGGAGCTCGGGCGGGAGCTCGAGGAGCCTGTAGCTTTGGTCCGACGGGTTGTGGTTGAGGGGAACACTGGTGGTGGAGGAGGAGGAGGAGGAGGGCATGATGAAGAAGATGATGATGATCACTTTTTGTTATAAGGGTATCATTATGGCAGTTGAAAGAGTAAGTATGTAATCAATAGTACATGGTCAATAAATAGATGGTTAGTGGCCCTCGAGCTCGGCAGACTCCGATCCACGGGGGCAAGACCCGCGCTAATCAGATCACAGCCGCGGTGGTCCCTGTCGACAGGGATCTACGCGCCTGGGGTGGCTGGTGGGGTTCTTCTGTTTACACTCTGCGGCGCCTGACAACAAGAGGTGAGTGAGGTGCTGGTATCGACGGTTTTCTCTCGATCCACACCGCCTCTCTCTCTCCCCCCCCAGCACCCAGAACATGGTCTTGACACACTTCCAAGGTTTCCAGCCAGGCCCAGGTTCCAAGGGTTTCCCACCTGTCGTCCACTGTCCAACGTCTCAACGTTCACTGTCTACTTTTTACAGTTCCTTTTTTTCCACACGCGCACAAGAAGGCCCAGAAAGGTTCCACCTTGCATTGAGATCGGAAATCTGACACGCCTTTTGCTGACTGGCATTGTTGTGGTCTCTTGACCCGCCCCTGCCCGCAAGCCTGCCAGCCCAGCCCAGTTCGATTTTCATGGGCCAAAACATTGAGCATTGGTCACACATCACATCATCGGCACAAGCTGTGGTTTACCAGCCCACCTGTTGTTGTAATTGCTGGTCTGGTCTGTTCCGAATCTGTGTGTCCTTGTAACTTCCTTCGTACACACACTTCCTCGACCCCTCTGTACAAGAACGATCTCGGGGGAATACTGATTCCTCCCCTCTACCTCCTACTTCCTCGCCGACTGCAGCTTCTCACGTCGTAACAGTCTCCTCGGTCCTGTTTCTGTTTCTTGTACAATCATTTTGCCCCGCCTCTGGACCCTTGTCCCACGGTTGTTTCGACGTCCAATTCCCTTCTTTTTTTTTCCCCCCCCCTTCCCCCCCCTTCCCCCCCCCCAAACCTCTTCTTCACACATTAATATCGTCGCACGCGACCTTTCGTCACACACAGCCACACACGTGTGGCATTCCCACTGCAGCGCAATACTCGCTTCTGCCCCGACAGTCTGAGCCTGACGTGACGGGGGCTGGCCGACTGCAGCTCGATTTTGACCTGTCCCACCAGACCGCAGGCCTGGCCTGGCAATGCACCGTTAATCGACTGCCACTCTGTCGCGCATCGGCTGGACCACACGACCTTGCTGCACCTCAGGTTTCACTGCAGGTTCCCGCAGCACAGGAGCGCACGCCTATTGGACAGTCTGGTGCGAATCTTGTTTTCGTCCAGAGTCGCGCTGTTCTGTCATCCCGTCCTGTTTGTTCTCAACAGAAACGTTTCTGCCTCCTTCGAGTCGCACACCCGCCACACACGCACACACACACGCATACATACACACACACAGCCCTCGACCGATTCATCTGAACCTTTTCCCCGGCCCGCCGCCCTCGACCACCTTTCACGGCCCCATCCGAGTCAGCACAGCTTGCTGATCCGCCATATCATACCTGCCCACTGCTTGGCCCCTCCCGAGAAGAAGAGGAAGAAGACCATGCTCCAGGCCCGCTGAGCGACCATGGTTCGAGTTACCGAGGAGCTGGCACTGGCGCCCGAGAGCGTCAACCTCTACTACACAAATGACCCTCAGCTGGGCCACCTTCCCATCCTGGTCTTCCACGGCGCGTCCACCACCGCCAACTTCACCCAGAACAGCTCGCGCATACAGATACATGTCTTCACCCCGGCCGGCTTCCAGTCCTTCCCACGACTCACCGTCTCTCCGAACTCTCCCTTCTACTCGGTTGTCAGCCGCCTGCCGCGCGAGTTCCAAGGAGACGAGGTGTACAGAGGCCTCGCCTTTGGCCTCTTCAAGTATTTCACCGAGCTGCCCGACGCCGTCAGGAGCCTGCTGAGGAAGCAATATCCCAACTCGGCGGGACACAGGCCAGGCTCAGGCCCTGCCCTATTCGGTGAACAGCATGCAGCTGATCTTGCCAAGGCCATGGTCAAGTCTGAGAACACAGCCGACATTATTCAGATATTATCAGGCGCCCTGCAGACCCAGCACATTAGTAACGTCGATATAGACCTCGTCCTCCCCCCAGGATCCATAATACCGCTCAATTATGACGAGCTCGAGGACGTGCCCGACGATGATGACGACTTACTCGACCCGACCCTGAGGCAGTATGGCATGTACGCATCATTAGTGAAGCTGTGGGGCGAGCCTGTGTTCTTGCCGACCTCGAAATTACGCAGGGCACCTTCGAAACCGACCTCGCTGAACCGGGGCAAGTCTTTCTCCAAAGACCAGAAGGAAGAGCTCCGAGTAAAACTGGTGGAGCTTGTCGAGACGGAGGAGCGCTATGTGGCCAAGGTGGAAGAGCTGGTACAGGTCATCGCAGCGGACTTTCGACAATGTGCCAAAAATCGCCCATCCGACAGCATGAGTCCGACCGAGGAGGAAGTGGACAGGCTGTTTCCCAGATCGGCCGACAGTATCCTGGAGCTCAACTCAGCATTCATGCACGAACTCCGCAGGGCTCTGGACGAGACGGAGGGAGGAGACGCGGTGAACCACGTGGACGCCTCCCAAGGGAGTGTCTCTCGGGCAGGCGGCTCTGCCAAGGCCAAGGATCCAAGCGGTGCGCTTTCCGTGGCCCGGCTGTTTTTGGAGTGGTTTCCAAAGTTCACAGATAGCTACCAGGACTATATCCGAGCGAGCCAGAACTTCCCTCATCTCCTGAATGGCTTCCTCGACAAGCAATCCAGCTTCCGGCAGAGAGTGGCGCAGAAGGGCGACCAGACGATCCGATCAATATTAATCGAACCGGTCCAGCGATTACCTCGATACAGCCTGCTCATTGACCAGATTGTGGGATGCCTGCCGATCACGCACCCTGCCTTGCAGCTTATGCTCAAGGCCAGGGACATTATTACCAACATATGTTCGATGGACGAGCCGCTGGTGGATAAACCTCACGTCACGAACCGTCTCCGGAACATGATCGAGGCCTGGCCTCTCGACCTCGAACCACAAGGTCGCCTGGTGCTGGCCGTCGACTTCGCCGAGCTGGCCCCGCCGTACTGCTCGGAGATACCCCAGTTGGGAGGACAGGATGCGAACGGCATACTATTGCTTTTCTCCGACTGTGTGGTCATGGTCAGGAAGAAGTCGAGTTCGAGCCCGACCGGCAGGGAGCTGGTCAGAGAGATCGATAAACCGTCTCCAGCCGGGCTTCTTGCATCAATGACCAATGCAGCAGGTGGACCGGGGTCATATGATCTTGTCTTTACGGGATGGCATTTTCTTGCTGATGTCCGATTCACCGAGTCAGAGGATGGTCATCTGCTGTGGATGACGTCCACCAAAGAGATGAAGGCAGCACATACCAGCGACTTTGGGATCGGTAGGGCTGTCACGTCGAACTGCTTCGTCCTGCAGGAGGCCTTTGAGGGAAAGGCTGGCAAGTTGAGCGAGGACATTGTCAAAGCCCGTGTCGAAGGTCGTTTCTCGGAAAAGGAGCGCGAGTCTCCAACGTGGACGCTGAGATCCGTGAAGATGCCCGACAACCTCCTGGGCATGCACGCTGCGGTGTTTCAGGAGGCAGCAGAGCAGCTCGTCGGAGGCCGCAGAGAACCTGCACCGATCCGCATCGTGGTCGACAACGAGAAGGGCACTAAGGGACACCCGGTCGGACACTACGGTGTCGAGATCGTAACTGAGGTCAGGGGTGGCGACTTGAGACGTGTAAGGATGACCACGCTTGGTCTGCACGGCAAGCAGTATACGGACGATGTGGCCCTAGAAGATTTCGTACCCACACTGTCCAGACGAAGTAGGTCGCTCTCCGTGTGTCCACCTTCCCTCAACTTGAACAGCCGCTGACCATGAACACAACAGTCATTCAATTGCTGAGCACTCAATTTAACGTTGCCAATCTCCACATCACCCCTGCATTAGTATCTTATTATACAAAGATCGGACGAAGTCTCAACTTCAACGCGTCAAGGGCGGAAAAGACGAGATCGCTGTTCAGCACGTCTCCCGTCAAGATGCTGTCGAGCTTCCTCGGTGGCAGCACGCCTGATATTACCTCGACGAGCCCTGGACCTAAGCAAAAAGAGCTCCTGCTCAGTCCGCCTCCAAACATCAGCCGGGCAGCAGTATCCAAAGAGTCCCTAGTGAGCTCCATCAGGAGCCGTACCAGCCAGGACAATGTCCCGATCGGTTTTGAGGAGGACCGGCCTGAGAACCCGCTGGTTCGTCTCGAGCAGACCTTCACCGGATATGTCGCATGCCTGCAGTCTCGCAAGGGTCATTTCACGGCGCGTCTGCTGATGAATAGGTCCTCGGTCGACGAACTTGTGGTCAACGACCTGTACAATCGACTCATGGAAAGCCCATATGACCTGGAGGCTTCTTCTGATGTCACCTCGGAGACCATCTTTGTGGCCTTTGAAAAGTTCGTACGCATTGCGTGGCAAGAACAGATGGGAGATGTGATGTCGCCTAGACACCTCAATCTTCTCCTGGAGCGAGCAGGCCGCAGGGTACCAGGTGAATTCGGCGACTTTGTACGGTTCCTCTTCAATGAGATGGCACCTCAGAACCGCAGGGCATTCACGGCCCTCATCAAGCTACTTGCAAGCTTACTCGAAGGATGCGGCAACGACGGCGACCGCGGGGCGCTGACTCTTGCCTTTGCCGAGCTCTTGGTCGACGACGGAAGCGCCCATAACTATATCAACCTGCTCGACAGGCTTGTCGAAGACTGTGATCGCATCTTCGAGGACCCTATTGCCATGCTCACCAGTTTCTCCGACCGCAGCTCTGCTCACGGGTCCTGGAACTCGAGGACACGGGACTACAAACCAGGGACCGGGTCTCTCAACTCCAACACTTCGTCGCTGAGGAGAAAATTTGGATTTGACAATCTCCTGCGGTCCAATAGCAAAAACGACGGGGATCGCTCTTCAGTATGGCGCACCTTGAGCAAGCACGGGCGAAACCCGGCGACTGGAGAGAGCTCGAGCCTGGGCAGATCTGGAATCGGCCGATCGCAGTCCATCGAGACAGGCGCCTCTTCGATGCCGAACAAGCTGAGACGGCCAGCCTCACGCGATAGGCCGCGTGTTGCTGGTGCGTTTGATGACTTGAGCACCCGTCCGCAGAGCGTACATCGACCGTGTAGCTCACACCGGCTCGAGACGATCGGCGAGCCAGACGTTGAGGTCATTGAACCGCCTAAGCCACCCAAGAAGAAGCGCCGCAGCTCCCTGTCTGACCTCAAAAACCTCATGGAGACGGTCACTCTGGACGATGACCAACCGTCGCCTTTTGAAGCGCCATCGCCTTTTGAAGCGCCAGCACCTCTGTATTCAGTGGCCCCCCGGCACGCGCCGCCACCTGTTGATCCGCCCGTACCTCTCAATATCACAAAAAAGACACCTACGCCGGTCCCTGAGAAGGTGGTCACCCCGGAGGAAGAACAACCAACTCTACCTTTAAACATCGCCAAGCAAACATCGGAAAAGTTCAACTCGTCACCTCGCATCCCTGTTCCTGCAACTTCGAAGATTCCTAAAAGCTTATCGCCGAAGGGGCAAACGACACCACCGCCAACGACCAGACTCCCGATGACGCCTCAGACGACTCGGAGCCTACGGTCTCCCCGGCCGAAGATCACTGCTGCAGGCGAGCCTCTGCAACACATCTTTGCCACTCCCCAGGTCCCCTCTCCCGGCGGTTCAATCAGAGTACGGAAGCACGCAAAGACATTGTCAACGTCAAGTATACCGTCCCTGAAGCCTACTCGACTTCCCCTAGCTGGTGCCTTTACGCCCACGGCCCCTCCTGAGGTCAACAAGTCGGCTGTGAAGTCCCCGACTGGGAAACTGCGATTGCAATCGCCGCAGAAGCTCAGAGAGCGGCTGCAGACGGAGAAGAAGGCTGTGGAAGATGTCGACTCCAGCCTCAAGTCGGAGCTCTCGCGCATCTCGGCAGACATGGCCCGCGTAAACACGATGTTGCCTCGCTCCAACACACAAGACGTCCGCAAGCTCTCGGCATCGGTCAAGGCACTGGAGGACCGGATCCCAGATGTGCTGCGAGAGCTAGACGAGCGGCAGAAGACCATCCAGGAGGACATGGAGGCGACGGTCAAGGCAAGCGAGGCCAAGGTGAAGGCAATCGACCAGCTGTACAAGGAGGCGACGGCCGAAAACGAGCTGCTGTACGAGAAGTTCAATACGGAACTGGGCAAGATCGTCAAGGCGATCCGCGGCAAAGGCCGCGAGGACAGGGAGGAGCTCATCACGAAACTCAAGGACACGAGCGAGGAGACGGCCTACGTCAAGAAGGAGAACGCAAGACTCAGGAGGGAGATTGTGAGCCTCAGGGCGCTGCTGAAGGGCAGCGGAAGCAGGCGGGAGTCATCGGAGTGAAAAGGGGGCTGCTTGAGGTCGTGGGGACTTTCCATCAGCGGCGTTGCACAGCGTTATTTTTTCCCCCCCATTATTCCTCTTCTTCTTTTTTTCTTTTTCTTTCACTCTTCCCCGGGGGATATAAAGAGGATTGGTTGTACACACATGATATCACGGGAGTTTTTCTACCGCTGTCCCCCCACCTATTGCTCTCTGAGAGAGGAAACGGGACCGGCTCAAGGGGGTCTTTTTCCCTTCTTCTTCTTCTGAACACACATTTTCTGTACATATAATGTTTACCTTCGTCAGGAGGGCGGGGATGGAATTGGCGGGAGAGAAATGGATGCATCCGATTGCAGACGAATGATGTTGGATTATACATGTAGAACATGTGGACATGTGAAATAGGAGATTCGAATCATGACAAATCGAGATATGCATGCAGTCTTTGGGGAAAAAATAAACAATGCTAGCTTCTACCCGCTATGCTCAACATGATGGTGAAGTATGGAATGGCGTATCTGTGTCTCTCCGCCGCGCCCACCTTGATCCTAGAGTGTAGACCTACGCACTCGAGTCCCTACATGCTATAGGCCACTATAAACCCAGCTGATGCCGTCACGGTGACAGGAGGCTCTGGACCTGCACACGATTCTCTCGTCCATCCAGCCAACTGGTGCAATTCACACATCTCATTGCCTGGGGAGATCGGATAGGTTTTGTCTCCAGGTTAGCAGAGCAGAACAGACTTTACAGTAGATAAAGGCAGTGAGGCAAAGGGGCGAGACAACGCGCACCTTTTCGTTGATATGCTTCTTGCAGTACGGGCACTTGACCGTGCGCTTGACGATGGGATCGCTGCTGAGGTATTCGTAGAAGCTGGCGAGGCTGTACAGGGCCAGGCCCAGGCCGATGAAGTTGATTGTTTTGTTGAGGAAGACGCCGTCTGTGCAGGAGGCGAGACAAAACGAACGGGTCGGGTGTGTCAGCCAGTCGTACTTGGGCCTTTGCTTAATTGTTCTTGGACTCTGTAGAACAGCATGCTCCCGTTCCCTTGCCAAGAGAAGGAGAGGAGGGGGGGGGGGGGGGAGCGGGAGGTCTCAGGCATGAAACCAGAACAGAGACTCACAAGCCATGATGACGGCTCCATCGTCCTGGGCCTGCTCGATGGTGTTGTACCCGCCCCAGCGCAGGTAGTTGGGGCCAGGCTGCAGGACGGCGAACTTGAGGTCCAGATTGGCATTGAGCGGCAGGATAACGGACAGTGGTGGTAGGAGAATATCAGAAACAAAGGATGTCACGACTGTGGTGAAGGCTTGGGCGAGGCTGCAAGGTGTTAATAGTCTTGTCTCTGGGTTTGAAGTGGGGAGGAGCAGGGGGGCGGGTGATGATAATGATGCTGTCTCTTTGGTGAACGGAGATTCCCTCTTCCTCCCCCCCCCCCCCCCGGCCTCCTCCCACTCGCTTCTCAACAGTATCGCAAATTAAGACAACTCGTCTTTGCTGATCTCTTTCAAAAATCAAAGAGAGAGAGAGAGAAAGAAAAACAATACCTTGACATAACTCACATTAGACCAAAGGCGATTTCGAGAATATTTCCTTGGGTGGCAAAGTCCATGAAACCATCGATCATGCGGCGTGTCTTGCGAGTGCCATACTCGATAAGAGACTCCTCTTCCTGGACGTCAATGAGCCGTGGAAGACTTATCCTGCTCATGATGATAATGGAGAGGGATAGAGAGAGAAAGAAAAAGGAGAGGAAAATCAAATCAAAGAAACAGAGAGGAAGCACAACGCTGGGAAGAGGAAGGGAAATACACGATCAGAGTGTCTGGACTATGGGCTGTACTGAATGTTTGGTGAAAAAAGAAACTTGAGATGCTGGTCAATGTAAATGAGTGAGAGGGGGAAGAGAGCCAGAGAGAAACAGAGAGCGCTTGTTCGGTCAAGACACAAGCGATCGTCGAGCACGTCGACAAGAGATCAAGATATTTTAAGCCAATCAACCACGTTGTCCGCGAATCTTTCAAGGGTCCTTCCTGGAGAGGAAGAGGGGATCGATAATCTGCACTACAGCACTATCTCGGCAGACTTGTGGATCGCTTCAGCGGTTTCGCGGCCCCTCTGAACAACTCAGCAATGATCAGCCTTGCATCGATATTTCATCAGGCGGGCAAGTGCCGGGATATCGTGGCCTCGCACGGTTTCACAAAAGAAACAGAATCAAAAGTAGAGACTAGATAAAAGTGAACAGCTGCAACAAAGAGTTTTAAAAGTGCTAGTTAATTCTGAGCATAGAGATTGGCGCTTGACCTCTCTATCTATCTGCCTTTGCGCGCTGGGGTATATTTATCATTATCAATTGACCCTCACTTGATCAGATGTTTTCGAGTCAGTCACTCAATTTTGACTGTTGGTGACAGACGGTGTGTGTAGTAGGAATCAATGCTCGCTCGTCCTCCGGCGGCGGCGGCGGCGCAGATTCATGCACGCACGCAAGGACGTGGTTTGTTGGCATCAAGAATGGCCCACCTGGCCCCTCAAAAAAAAAAAAAAAAAAGAAAAAAGTGAGACATTGAGAAAAGTGAGCATGTGAAGATAGAGAGAGGAGAATTTACCTAAACCTGGAAGTCGAAAGAAATACAGAAAAAGCGAGAGAAGGAGAAGGAGATGGGGGAGAAAGGCAAACCAATTGCGGCACGAATACTAAAAAGTCATAGTACACACACACACACCCAGCAACTAAAAGTGGTCGATAAGCTGAGGACGAATGAGTGAGTATCTGAAAAAGATGACGGCCCGCCCTTGGTGATTCCCCAGAGTTTGGGGGACCCTACATACCAACCCCCCTGCTAAATGGTCCCGGCGCGCCCTATCAGACCCCCGAGAACCCGCTTGTGTCAATCGGTCTGCCTCCGACTTCGGGTGGAACCTAGTGAGCACATCGTACGTCTGCTTGGAAATTTCCATGCCGGCGGCTTTCACCTCTTTCCTTCTTCTTTCACCCCGTTCATCATCTTTCTATTTCTCTCCCTCCTCCTCCTCCTCCTCTTCTTCTTCATCCACTGTGCCTTGCGATGATAATAGCAGCTCCTGACCTGCCATCGCAACTTGTTCTTGGCCTTCCTCTCTGTTCTTGTGCAAGGCAGAAATCAATTTCTCGATTCCGTCGTGAATTGGCCTAGCATGGATAAGACGTGAAGAAAGAGTATTTTTACTTTTTTTTCTCTCCTCCCCTCTCACTTCGTCGTTCGTTCGAACATTATCTATACGTGACTCCCTCCCACAACCTCATTTCGTCTCGCGTGTACCAGAGGTCTTCTTGCCCCCTCACTCGTTGGCGTTTGCATCTCTACAGGAGACGAGGCCAAGATGCGAGACCAAGATAATGGCAAGCCGGGCGGTCCGGTCTCCCAGCTGGAGGCCAAAGCACCCCTCCCGCTTCCCAAACCCTCGCTCGAGGGGAAGGAAGCCGTCTCCAAGACCGAGTCGAAGTGGAACACCAAGAACCTCCTCCTGCGCCTGGCAGCAGATGTCGCGAGCGCATCGGCGGCGGCATCGCTGGTCGCGCCTCTGATCTCCATCATCGACCGGTGAGCTGTCCCTCCTCCACTTTTTGCCCCTTCCCCTCGAGGCCAGGCTCGTCATGATGTCTGTGTGTGCGTGTGTCTGCACTCGTACTGACACGCAATCTGTTGCCAGCTCGATCATGGAAAATGCATCTGGCCGTACCCCTCTGTTCACCTCGGTCCGCAACTCCCTCGGCTCCCTCATCCTGCGTCCCCACACGATGCTCTTCTCGAAGCCCGTGGCACTCATTTTTGCCGTCTACGGCGGCACGTACCTTACCGCCAACACCCTTGACACCACCACCTCGACTGTGACGAACAGACCCGCGGCCCACGTCACCTCGGGCACGGCCAAGTTCGCCGCCTCATCTACGGCCAACATTGTCATGGGCGTCTACAAGGACCAGGTCTACGCGCGCATGTTCGGCCCCGTCGGCCAGGCCGTGCGCAGGGTCCCCGCCGCAAGCTACGCCCTGTTCACCGCCCGCGACTGCATTACCATCTTCGCCAGCTTCAACGTTCCCGTCCTCCTCGGCCCAGCCGTCGGCGCCTACATGGGCGATGAGCTCCGCAAAAGGGTCAGCGGCCAGACTGTCGTCCAGTTCGCGGCCCCGGCCCTCGTCCAAGTCCTCTCGACCCCCGTCCACCTCCTCGGCCTCGACCTGTACAACCGGCCCAGGTGCGAAAGAACGGGCCTTCCAGCCTGGGGCGAGCGATGGGCCCAAGTCAGGAAGAACTGGTCCGTCTCTGTCCTGGCAAGGTTGTGCAGGATTATCCCTGCGTATGGTGTGGGCGGCGTGGTGAACGCAAAGGTGCGGCGGAGCCTGATGGAGAGCCTGTAAGAGAGAAACAAGGAAATTCCGGACTTCTGTCTTGCTTTTCTCCTGTCTTCTTTTTTTCTGCTCTTCCTCTTATCGTTTTCTTCTCCCTCCCTCTTCGTCTTCTTCTTTTCCGGTTCACATAACGAGTGTACACAATGGCAAGGATAGATAAGGCAAAGGCGCATGGTAGTTTTTTTCTTCTTGTTCTTGTTCTTCTTCTTCTTATATCCGGGCAACGGCGTTCTGGCATAGCATTTCTGTCAATACCCGCGGACATCTCCCAATCTGCATGATCTGTACGAGTATAGAGCATTTAGACAATAGACGTCACGAACGGCACGTAATGAATTCTTCTGGTTCTCTTTGATTTTGGGACAGGATGACGTAGGCTGGTTGCGTTAGATGAAGCCACTCTCCCTCAGGGCCTTGTAGATCTGCCTCTGTGCCTCCTGCGCCTCCGTCTTCTTGCGCCCCCTCCCCTCGCCAGTATCGATAAAGTTCTCCCAGAACTTCAGGCCCTCGATGCCCTCCTCGCGGCACAGCACGCCCCGCTCCTCGGCCATCTCCAGCTCCTCCTCGGCCACGCCGATGCTCCAGCCAAACCTCTCGGCGACGTCCCGCGAGGTCACGCCCCGCCCAAACTCCTGCCAGTCCCACGGCACCTCCTTGTCGGGCGGTATGCTGTGCAGATCCTGCATCCAGCCCAGCAGCGCCTTGATGGTCGTCTCGTCCGTCCGGTCCTTGCCCTGCACGACCATGACGCCGCTCTTGAACGTACGCAGCCGCACGGGGAGCCTGAGCTCCTCCCACAGCCGCGCCGCCTTCTCGAAGTCCATGGGGCTGACGAGCTCGACGCCGCCGCGCGCCCGGTTGAACATGGCCCAGAGATCGACGAGGCTGATGATCCCGCCGGCCTTGCGCAGCACGCCCCTCGCGTCGTCCGTCAGAAACTCGGCCAGGTTGCGTGACAGCTCGGACAGGTAGAGTGACTCGTTGCTGCTGCCCGCAATGTCCTTGGTGGTGACCAGGCCCAGCTGCGTCGCCGACTCTGCCAGGACCGCGCTCGCTTCTGACGAGACGCCGCCACTGCCGCCGCCTGTCTGCCGCGAGAAGCTTTCTGCCAGAGCAACGATCTCCTTGGCAGATGCCATCAGCGCCTCGAGATCCTCAAATGCCGAGCCGATGACCAGCTCATTGTTCTTGCGCAGCTCCAGTCCGCGCTGCTCCAGACCAGCGATGCCCACCGTCTTCTTCCTCGGCTGCAGGGGACCGGTGGACCCTGGGTTTGCGTCCACGGCCAATAGGTTGGAGCTGGGTACGGGCGGCGCGCCCTGCAGGAGCCACTTGCGCTGTGTGATGGCGCCCTTGAGGCGTTCGTAGAGGATCTTCTCACCCCCTCCTCGGAATGAGATTTTGACGCTCTCAGGATTGTCCATGGCGGACAGGGCACCGTAGCTCAGAACCGGGCCAGGGGAGTCGGTTCGGTCTTGGGTCGGGGTTGACTGCGCAGGACGGCCCAGCCCGGGCGGCACATCGTGGGAGATCAACGGCGCGCCACATATCTCGCAGGACAGTAGGGACGGGTGGTTTAGGAATGTGCACCGGGGACATTGAAACGAGGCATCCGGATCCGACGACGTCTTGGGTGGGCTGCTCTCTCTTGCATCTGGAGAATTACTGTCCCCGGCTATCAGCCCGTTGTTGTTGTTCCCAGACAGTCCCCTGGGCCGCAGTGGCAACGGGGCCACGACTACCTGTCTGCTTGTAGCATTGCTGATGGCCGCCTTCAGCACGTGCGTCAGTGCTGGCTTGATCCCGCAGGCCAGACATGGCGGGAGAGGAGTATGCGCATTTGCCGTTGCAGGGTCAAAGTTGGACGGCACGGGGTTCGAGAAGCTGCATATCGTGCAGACCCAGGTTGCTGTGCCCGCTGCGGGCGACGGATCGGCTGCCGCAGGGCGCCGAGGGCTATCTGATCGTGAGACTGGAGAAGCAGTACCGTTCCTCGGCGAACCGCCGTTGGGGACAGCTGGCGATCTTGACTGTAAGGACGCGCGCTTGGTCGGCTTTGGGATCAGGGTGACCTTGGCCGATGACTTGAAGAAACCAGCCTGTATTGGAAGGATAAATCAGCATGGCTGGTCACGAGAGGTAGCCGGGTGGGCGGTATTGTAATCTTACGTAGAATTCATATCGCTCCACGTCCTTCAAGTCCAGAGCTAGCGAGTGCTTTCTGGGATCGGCTTTGTCCACATAGCAGATGCGATGGGAAGTCAGATAGACCTGTCCATTCTGCTGGTTGGGAAGCTTGTATTTTCTGCAATAGTCAGCCAGGCCAGTTCCATCCTCTCTCGAAGCCTATATTCAGAGAACCCAACAACACAACGGCAAATCAGTCAGTCAGTCCACGAAAGAGGCAACAACTAACCCCTCGTACAATCCCACATTATCTTGGACAAACAGGAGGACTTCGTCTGGGAGATAGGCTGGCCGTAGGGCAGTGGTGAGGTCGAGCTGCTTTAGAAACATCCGTCATATCTATTTGAAGAGAATTATCTCCTAACATTGAGAAGTGAAGAATGGAAGTTTTGGGAGGGGGGGCCAGTGTTCAGAGGCCGCTGGGGTCATTAACCTCGCAGGGGGAAGGGACTCTCTAACTCTCGCTGGGTTACGAGTGATGTCAGGACCCCCCATGCGCATACAATAGTATGAATGATAGTGAACTTATGAACCAAACGGGGCCCTATCACCTATCCACCCCCCTTGCCCCCCTTTCCCCCTCTTCTGATTCACTATCGGAAGGTGATGAGCACGCTAGTCAAAAAGGGAATGGGGCCAATCGCCAACAGCGGCGCACCGGAAATCAGAAAAGGACCGCTGGCTGCCCACACTTCGTCCAGTCACGTTCCCACTCCCCGAACAACTCGACACCATTGACAAAGAACCACTGCCTTCCCTTTCATCGTCGCCGTCGAGGACAACGGATTTACCTCTTGAAAAAGCTCACAGTCCCCCACAGCTCCCCCCCCTCTTTATTGCTTTTGTTAGATACTACTTCCCATCTGTCTTCGCCTCCCCAACGCCGTCAAAAAGATGTCGGCAAATATGATGGGCTGGGTTGCTGCACCTGGCACCCAACAACCTCCACCGCCTCCTGGACCTAACTCGTACCCATATGCCAACCGTAGGTCCCCCTTCTTCCATCCAGCCAGCCCACCGCTTCCATCGTGATAGATGACTAACGCTCTCTTCGCAGCCGCTTACACTCAGGTTCAAGTTCGCCAAAGCTTCGGTCAAACCTTTCCCGTTCCTCCTCCACCCATCGTCTTCCCAGGCGTTCCTGTTCCTCCACCGCCATCTTATGGTGCCTCTCAAACGTCCATGTCGCCCCCAGCTAATCAACCCGGACCGCCCAACAAGGGTCGCATCGAGTGGCCGGACTCTGTTCGCGACTATGTCCGACGATCTTTCATGCCCAGCAACCTAGATCCTTCAGTTACCAGAGCCGAGATGGAGACCCAGCTCAAGGCAACCATCTCCGCCGCCACTGACTCCGGTCACCTGCACACCATCAAGTGGGAGACCCACCCGCTCCCGCAGGAACTGATCAGGTCGGCGCGAGCAAAACAAGCCGAGGAGGACCAGAAGATGCGTGACGCGCCCAGAAGTGGCAAGAAGCGCAAGTCTCTTGACATGGAGGACCCCAACAATGATAGTAGATCTGCCACCGCAGCACCCTGGCACCGTAACCCTCTGGAGAGCCGCATCAGCTACGCCACGCCAAACGACGCCTCCAAGCTGCCCGATGAGCCGTTGGCCAAGAGTAAGTACCAGAAGGCCAGCGAGAAGCGACAGAAACGGCAGGAGCGCTTCAACACTGGCGCATACAAATCTCCTCCCCAGAGATCTCCCACACCTCCGCCCCCAGCCGGTCCGGTCGTTGGCACGTGCGAGACCCTGGAGAAGTCGTACCTGCGACTGACCGCGCCACCAAAACCCGAGACCGTCCGCCCGGAGCGTGTGCTTCGCAAGACGCTGGAGCTGCTCAAGCGGCAGTGGCGGAAGGACAGTAACTACTCTTACATTTGCGATCAGTTCAAGTCCATGCGCCAGGATCTTACCGTGCAGCGCATCAAGAACGATTTCACAGTACGCGTCTACGAGAACCATGCCCGGATTGCCATGGAGAAGGGGGACCTTGGTGAGTATAATCAGTGCCAGACCCAGCTGATGGCCCTGTACAAGCTGGGTCTGAAGGGGAACCCCAACGAGTTCAAGGCCTACCGTATCTTGTATTTCATCCACACCGCCAACCGCCTGGCGCTGAATGATGCCTTGGCGGATCTAACCACAGCAGAGAAATCGGAGCCTTCGATCAAACACGCTCTCGATGTCCGTTCGGCCCTGGCCACGGGCAACTATCACCGCTTCTTCCAGCTCTACCAGGACCCACCCGTCTTGGGCGGCTACCTGATGGATATGTTTGTCGGCCGTGAGCGACTCGCTGCTCTATGCAACATCTGCAAAGCGTAAGCCCTTCCTCCCCCAAAAATCCCGTCTTCTCGATTCACCACCACTACCAGTAATCTTGTAACAAACTTCGATGATACTAATTCTTTCCCTGCAGATACAAGCCTGAAGTTAAACTCCGGTTCGTTACTGAGGAGCTCGGATTTATGTCAGACGAGGATGCAGCGCAGTTCATTGTGAATCACAATGCAGCTCATCTCCTTGTCTCCAAAGAGCAAGAAGACAACGACCTCTATTTCCTAGCCGGCAAAGGCCTCGGGTTCTTCGAGGCTGCAAAGGCTGCAGCGTTCGGCCGAGTGGACATCAAGGGACAAATTTGATTTCCAGAGCCATTCTTCATTTCATCGTCTTTTCTCTTTACTTCCTTTGCCCTTTTCCCTCAACCGGGCATACATGTTCTCATCATTGCCTCGTCGACGACTTCGGCGTTCTTCGACCCCGAGCCACATTGTCACCTGCCTACCTGTGACCCATTCTCGCCCTGAAATCGAGCTCTACTCTCTTATTCTGTTCTCCACTGGTGCGGCGTCTTGAGGCCCATTGCGCATTCTCAGCTTCGATGAGTACGAGCGCCAACGGTGGATTATGAACACGTCTCCAGCCTACGCCCAAAACAGAGATACCACTTTCCTTCTTCTGACAACGATACACAGCTAACTTTGATGCGAACGACTTCCTTGCGGAAGTGTTTGGGAGGAAGGGACCGGAGAATCTGCCGTTCTTGGCGCTGGGGGATGTTCAGACGTGTCATTGCTTAAGTATGGCGCAGGCGTGAGTTTACAAAGCATGATCACTCCTATCACCCCTCCTGCTACTCTGGGCCGTTATGGTGTGGCTTGAGCAGATTGCCAGGCAATGAATTCATGTGGCTATTGGAAATACCACATGCACTATGCGAACTGGAAGAGGCTGAGATTATGGATATTATGGAGCTTATTTGTTATCCAAAGGACCAACCAAGGGCGTCGATTAGTAGCCAGGCGTTGAGGAATTTTGTGTAGTCATTGTTACTCGGAACATATCAAAAAGAACCCATTTGACCCGTGATTATTACACGTCTCGTGGGATTAGCCATTTGGGTCTATCTCTTGAATACTTCCTCTGTGCCATACATAGTAATAGTCATGACGGCTCCTCGGTTGGTAAGGACAATCAATGGTGTACTGCTTTGCGTGGTGGCGCTAGTCATCTGCCCCTTTAGAAGGTTATGACACTTGGGGTCGGTTCTCTACCCAGGTGCTCTAATATGAGGTAACAGCGCACCGCTTATGTAATACAACCTGTGCAGTCGGGCAGCCGCTTCCCCTTTAAAGGCTAACCCCGCAAGCTTAGACACCCCGACGTGGTCTTAGCAAGGTATTCCACCTCTTTAAGCAAATCATCCCTCGCATCCACCTTTGTCGCGAATTGCATCCGTCGCATCTCTTAAAACCGGCCAGCCCCCTCGAGGAACAAATAAAAACTGGACCCCGACTCGACTCGAAGCGGCTCGCCAGCCGCTTCTAAGTACGACCTCATCTCCGCCGCCGCCGCCGTTGCCAGCGTCATGGACGCCTCGGGCCTCAGCAGCGCAGCAGACGGTGCCGCCCCAAACTCGTCGAGGGCAGGAGGTGGAGGGGGGGGTGGTGGTAATGATGGAGGAGGAGCTGGAGGAGGCTCAGGTACAGGCACAGGCGAAGGAGGAGGGGGAGGAGGAGGAGAAGCCTCATCCAAGCTGCGCCACTCCCTCTCCCTCGACCAGCGCCGCGCCCTCCGCCGTTGGGCCAACTCACAGACCATCCGTCCTTCCCACAAGGCATGTATGGAGTGGTTCGCCTCACAGTACGGTCAGACCATCAGCCAGTCCACCGTCTCGCACTCGCTGTCGCCAAAGTACGCGCGCCTCGATGGCGACCCCCAGCTGTCCGGGTCCCGCCTGCGCTTCGGTAACTGGCCCGACGTCGAGAAGCTGGTGCTCATGTGGCACCACAGCATGGTCAACACCGGCCGCCAGCCCAGCAACGAGGAGCTCGCCGACAAGGCCAAGAGCATCTTCCAGCAGCTCCCCCGCTACAAGGACGAGCAAGCCCCCGAGTTCTCCCCCGGCTGGATCCACCGCTTCAAGAAACGCTACGGCCTGCTGATCCGCCGCCAGCGCCGGCACGGCAACGCTGCGCCCTCGCAGGACGACCTCCCCTACCTCGTCGACACCGTCCCTCGCCTGATGAACGTCTCCGCCAACACGAGCCTCGCGGCAATAAGAGAGACCATCAACCGCATCATCGGCGCTCAGCCGTCCCTTACCATCTGCTCCCGCGTGAGGCACGAGATCGTGCGGAGGCTGAACCACCAGATCAACCATAATGGCCAGCCGAACCAGGCCCACCTGCCTCTAGACGCTGCCGACCCCCACCATGCCACTGACCACAGCATGGATGGCGGCGAGCATCACTACGGAGAAGACGACGACCCCGAAATCATGCTCCAGAACGCCCTGCACGCCCTGCAGCAGGAGGAGGCGGACGTGGAGGCGCACGCGGCCGAGGAGCGCGAGTCGCGCGAAAGGACAGAGAGGGGAATATCGTCGCTGGCTCCTCCTCTAAGCGCGAGTGGCTTGACGTATGCTCAGCACGCCGCAGCAGGTGCACTGGCCACACCTGTCAAGAATGGCGTCGCTGCACCGAACCAGGTACATAGTGCTGGTGGTAGCAGCAGCAGCAGCTCGGGACAGTCATCGCAGCAGCAACACACGCCGCAGCCGCAGCCGCAGCCGCAACAACAGCACCGGCCACAGCAGCATCAGCAGCATCATCATCATCATCAACAACAACAGCAGCAGCAGCAACAACAACAGCAACAACCACAACATCAGCCGCACGAGGATCGTTTCACACCCGTAGGCGGAGGAGCTGAGGATCTGAACCTCACACCGATCCCGTCCAACGGGCCCATCTCCAGTACGGACCGGCCCCAGCGATGTCCATTTTGCATCAACCAGCGGATGCTCAGGACGATCAAGGAGGCTATCGAACATATGGCCACCCATGTGGTGGTCTGAATCATGGTTACTCTTTACACGATGTACTTTCTTCTTCGGAGTTTCGGTGTCCTTTCCGAGGGTTTTGAATCTTTAGGCATCAACCATTTTAGTATTTACAAGCGGCAAGCAAGGACAGCTTTTGGAGCGTTGGTTTCCGGCGTTAATGGGCAAAAAAAGGAAAAGGAAAGTTTATGATGAGTAGGGACATTTGGCGCTACGCACAAAGGGCGCAACGAATTGCTGAGGAGCATTAATGACAAGGCTCGAGGCCCGTTTTGCCTCTTTTTCTTTACTTGTTTATATTTATTGTTCTGTGGAAAATCCCGGTCTACGAGGAGCCCACATTTTTGTCTTGATGAGAGGAAGGAAGAAGTAGATTTCGAAAACAATTGATACCTCTCTGGATTCTACATTCACAAAAGCGAGATATTATCATCAGAACCTGTGTCTTTTGCATGTCTAACATACTCTCGTGCGTGTATATACGTGTATATCAAAAGTCCCAGGACTATCGAAGGCATTACCTCCCGATGTCATTTCATGTCAAAGAAAACAAGAAGAGAAAAACCATGGTTGATAATTTAGTCCTCTATACTCCATAGTCTGGTCAACTACTACTCATTGCTTCTATGGGCACTCTCTTCTCACTCAACATACCTTATAAAGCCCCTTACAACAATAGTTACAAAAGAGGACAGAAAGAAGGTCAGGGGAATGCTCAACCCATTCCGTTCTGACCTTTTTTCTCTGCCTTTTTTTTCTTCTTCTTTTCCTTCCTTTTCTTTTCCCTCAGAGGCCTGCAGAATTGTGCGTTTTATCCTGCCTACATCTATTAGGGAAAAATGCGACCTACCAGGCAACATAACATGATGGACTGAGTATTCGCGGCTGCAATACTGGCATCGTGATGGAATTATCACGGTGAAGATTATCATAATGGCAGTGGCAGGCAGGCAGGCAGGCAGGGAAATAAGAACGTTTTTAGTGAGTATTTCATGGGAGAAGCAGTAGGGTACCTGGTAAACTACCTTCCTGCCTGCCTCCTCCAAGTTGAGCAATAAAAATCACGAGCAAGGAGGCACCGGTCAACAACAATATCTTTTTCAAAAAGGTTCTTCAGATTTCCACATCATTGCTTCAGCACAGCAGGCTTGCTTCCAGCTTGGGTACTTCTACCATGGCTCAGACACCACCAAGCCCTATTGAAACTCATATTGGCAAACAACACAAGGACAGACACCCCATATGGAGCAGCTCTGTCCTTAAAAAACAAATTGTCAACCCTCCTTCTCATCCTACTACCAGGTATACCAACGCGCCAGTCTCACGTCCCTCAACATGTTCTTTTCAAGGGCCATTTCCAGGCTCTCGAATTTAGAGAGGGGGGTTTTGGGGGGTTGGGGGTGGGGGGGGAATGATAAAGAGACAGAAGCCGAAAAACCGCCCGAAAATATCTGGCACGAAAAATGAAAGCAAAAATGACCGCAAAACGCCATGACCTTTCCACCAGAGTAAAAGGGCCCCGCATAGACATTTCCCATCATCATAAGTTACTGGCTTGTGCTTTTCCTGTGTGGAGGTAGTGCAGAGAAGCCAAATCCAAGGCAACTGAAAATCCCAAAATGCAATAACACCTGAATCACAACGTTGGGAGTGTACTGTAGGGCACTGCTGCCCGAAGTACTACAGCGATTATTGCATTGACAGACTTTGGAGAGGCTCAGAAAGCGCATAGGAAAGCTGTGCAAGGGGTCCTCCAACAGCCTGGGAATGCTCGATTGTTTGAGAAGGGTATCAGAGTCTCAACACGACACGCGCCTTTGGTGAATGCAGAACAAAAGAATTGCCAGTGCAGTAACAATGGCAAGAAGGGGGAAAGGGGGGGGGGTATCCAACAATGCAAAGGATTCGACAAGATTGATCAAACTTGCTCCACATATAGCAGCAGCTTCTCGTTGCGCTCCAAGGCTGTGTCGAGATCATTGTTGCTGATCATGGGCAACTTGTCCCCGGACCTCTCGTCCTTGTAGGATATATCGATCGAGTCACTGGAGGGAACCTTCAGCCGGTCACGGATCTTCTCGTACAATTCGCGGAACTGGATGTCTGTCGGTACGCGGATGGCGATCAGGTCGCCGTTGAAGCTCAGCTTGATCTTCATGGCGGATGCCTGCTGGTTCAGACCTGGAGACATCGAGTTCTGCGATGGTTGCGAGATGGACGAGTTCTGGCGCGGCATGCCGTTAGGTCCACGCTGGGCAGGAGCTGCCGACAGTCCTCCGTACCCATTTCCATTCAGGCTGTTTTTCGATGGCTGCTGGGACACAGCGTCTGGTGGCGTGTCTTGAGAAGATTGCTGAGAGCCTCCAGAGAGTCGATATTCTTCTCCGCCCGTGTTCGGGTCGATTTCGTAATCCCCTTCTCTCGGCGTGAAGAACTGCCTCACCAGGTTGCACCTCGAGATGTATTCTGGCTGGTTCAAAAGATTCTTCACGTAGGCATCCAGATTGTGCAGCCGCCCCTCCGTGATGGCATCCGTCACGTAGTTGACAGGACCGGGCATGTACGGCAGGGTTCGCTTCTGTGAGCCTGTGTTTCCAGCCTCGGCGGGAAACTCGGTCAGGAGCGCGATCTGGAAGTCATAAAAGTCTTCGTAGTATCGCGAGAGTTCCCAATGCCGTCCGTCCTCCAGTGCAGCCTCGATAACGAACCAGTATTTGTCTTCCGCGAAGCAGTATCGGGGTATCCGTGCAGAGAGAGGAGCGTAAGGCGGAGAAGCGGGCGCACTGGTCTGTTGTGGGCTAGAGAACTGCTGCTGATTCTGTGTATTTCGTTGTGAGTTATAGCCAGACTGTTGCTTGCCACAACCTGTTAGCTTCTTCGCTTTATGCTGTCATGCGCAGAAAATTGTAATGATGGCGGGGGTGTTTGTGTGTGTGAGAGAGAGAAAACTTACGTTGTTCTGTTGGCCATTCGCTTGTTGGCTTGTCCGGCTATTGGCCTGTTGGAGGCTCATGCGCTCCATGCCCTGTTCCACGCTCTGTTGTCCCGTCGGTGCTCCACTGTCAAACTTGCCCAGCGTAATGCTGCTGTTTTTATAGTCCGCGGCCATCTTCTTCCATTCCTCAACCCTCGGTATTCCTGCCCTCTTAATGGCACCGCCAGGGTCGGCAACTGGCGTGTTTGAAGCCATGTCGCGGATCTCGATGAAGGAAACTGGGATGAGTCCCGGGCCGCCCAGCCTCCCTATTGGCTTTGCCACGAACCACTCGGGATTCGACTGAGCGATAACGATGATGGCCTCTCCTGCTTTCGCCTCTAGTTCATCGGCCCGCTCGGCCTGGAAGTCGTACATGACTATTCCGTAGACCATGGCGCCGTTCTTGGTCGACATCTTGGAGATGCGCTGACTGGGTGTCGCCGAGGGAGTAGGTGTGACGCTGGAGGCGGAGATCTCAGAATAGCCCGAGTCGTGGTCGGGATTGTTGGTGGCGCCGGGGGATGGTCGACTCGAATCAGAGTTGGCGCTGTCGCGCTCTGTGCGGCCGAGGGCTTTGAAATAGGAGACAGGCACAAGGCCTCGGGCGTCTGGCAGGGCAGGATTGCAGGCCTCGTACCAATCGTTATCGTTTTCGCGACCGATGACGTGGAAGAAGTCGCCGCGGGAAAAGCTGAGCTCCTGGCTGGAGCATGCCTCATAATCGTAAAGGGCCCGAATGACCTGTGAACACGTCTCGTGTCAGCCACCGACGGGAAAATCGTGTGTATTTGGTTGAGTTGGAAAGCCTTGATTGCATTGCGCATGGATGTGAGAGGCTAGAGCGGGGTTCATCTGGTGGAGCATGAACGACTAAAGTCCGCTGCGTCGCCCGGCCCATGCCCTCTCGCTTGTAGTCGCCAATGCCCGGTGCAGAGGCCAGCATGGGGGACTTGGCACGAGAAATCGGAGATGACCAGCTGTGCTGTGGATATCAGGAGTAAATTACAGAATGACGTACCTTCTTTGGAGGAACTATTGCGAGAGCTGATTTGGGCGCGATCGAGACATGAGCTTTGCCGTCCTTTTCTCCGCCCTTAATCGACCTTCGCAGGGCCTTAAAGACGCGTATGGTGTCAGCTTGGCTATTTCTCGACATGTGCAACGACATATTGGTGCTGTGTGATCGCACGAGCGAGGTACTTGAGAATAGGAATGGGGGGAGAGGGGGAGAGGGGGAGAGGGGGGAGGCTGTGGTGATACCGCGTGACGGATTTTGATGGAGGAGGCCAAGGAGGAGCGCGGATGCATCGCCAAAGCGGGAACACAACATGAGGGCTCGCGATGAAGTGGTGATCAGTGGAAGGAGGAAGGAGACGAGCGGACCGCGTGGTTGTGAGTTTTTGGTAGGGGACGGCAGGCGAAGACGAACCTTCATCTTTCCTACAGCAGCGCTTTCCTTCTGCAGAGGTTAATTGCTTTTCTTTTCTCGGGTAAACGACGACGGTAAACGAGTGCCGGGTTCGCAAGCTGGGCCTCGTCACCCTCTTGTTGCTTCTTCGACCCTCTCCTCGCTTTTCCCCTCTTCTTCTTCTTCTTCCTTCTTATTCTTTCTTATTTAGCCTCCTCGTTTTTTCCCTTCTCCCGCGCAGGCGCAAAAAGAAAAGAAATAGGAACTCGGAATCCCAACTGGCCAATGAATCGAGGACGGGCAAGGATTGGAATGCAACCCTGGTCTGCGCTGAGATACACTTGCCGCAGGGAGGTTTCTGTGTGGATCAGCTGCCTCCAATGGTGACGTTCAGGTATTGCCAAGTGCCGGCGCAGATGCGAGGGAGATGCAGGCGGTCTTCGATTCTAGACAGGTGGTTGGCAGAAGCGACAAGCTGGAGAAAATATAATATCTCAGCCGTGGGGCAGCTCGGTTATGGGATGTTCGGGGTGAAGGCTGGTTGGTGATGTCGTCACTTCTGGCACGTAGTCACGCGGAAGGGGGAGAAAGAAATAAAAAGCTGCGCCGGGTGGATGTCTGTGCCTGGCCTAGGTTGGCAGGTGCTCGAGGGTAAATTGGCGTGCGTCAAGTGGAATCGTGTCGGGCGCGCCCGCTCCGGAATTTCAGGTCGTGCCGTGTGTTGTGTGTGATTTATTTGGTCTCCAGTTGGTATGGAGAGAAGGATGAGAGACGGGTCGTGCGCAGCGTACGATGACCAGTGTCCTGCGCTTCTTTGTTTCCCGATTTTCTTTGCTGTGTCAGTCACAGAAGTACCCTCATTTGGTACTGGTGAGTCGGTCGGGTGGAGTCGAAGCCAGCCAGGTCCAAGTGCAGCGCAGTGCGGTGCGGTGCGGTGCGGTGCGGTGGTGGTGCGGAGCAGAGCACAGAGCAGAGCAGCGCAAGTTGAGAGAGTTTGGGTCCAACTCGGGAAGCAGTCTGACGGAGTGCAGGTGACGGATCCAAACTTGACGTCGTTTAATGGTCCGTGCTATCAATGATCGTTTGTTCGGGTTGTGTTTCTTAAGTCCGTGCCCTGGGAATCGGTTTTGGCTCGTCGAAGTGGCGGGGAGGGGCGAGGAAACAAATTAATGTGTCGCGTCACTCGGCAGTGTCAGTGGGTGTGAGTTGGCAATATTTGAGACAGACAGGTTCGAATTTGTGGCGGAGGGAGAAAGAAAGAGAGAGAAAGAGAGGGTTGGGCTGGTGGTGACTGTCGGGTTTCGACGGTGAAGGTGACGACGTTCCCAGAGAGAATGTAAGGCAGACAAGAGGTCGTCGGGTCGGGAGGGAAGCAGATTAGGCAGGGAAAGAAAAGTCGAGGACCAGCATAGGATAGGACAGTGTCAGGCAGAGCCACTGTAAGGGTAGGATAGGACAGGGACGGTATTCAAAAAGGGGGCTGCATGCAAGGTTGACAATTGTCCTAAAGTGCGGGCGGAACCTCGAAAACAAGAAGAGACACAGAAAGGAAAAAGCAAAAAAAATAAACGGCAGAGATTGGAGCCCATTTTTGTGCATGCAGGCAATGGGAACATGGATCAGGACAATGGAGGGGAAGAGTGGGAGAAGGGGGGGGATGGTTAATGGGCTACGGGCGGCGGCGCATGGCTGCCACTACCGCACCAATGCAGTATAGTTAGGTATAGGCTGCTCTATAGGCTACCCTTGTTTCCAGGTCCCCCTCCTCTCCATTTACCAGTCACCTTCCCAGTTTTCATGTTCTCTTTATCTTATTCTCCTTCGTTTGTCTGTGCCCTTTTTCTTTCTTTTGTTTCTCTCTCAGAAAAATAAAGACCACATTCCCTTCTTTTCCCTCCTCTGCCGTTCTGTCACTTGACCCGTCATGATATTATGTCCCCTCGCGCGTCCTCATTCCCATCCTCCTTCTCCCCATATCACCCACTTCTTACGTCTTCGCCTCTTTTCCCGGACCCCAGTACCCATGCGAGTACGCTCCATGCGACCCACATGAGCCTCGTCTCTCTCTGCCTGTGCCTCCTTCTCCTCCCAGAAAAGGAAAAGAATGTGAAAGAAAGAATAAAAGGCACAGGTCCAACCGATCGACCGCAACGCTCGCCCTGCCGCGCTGTCTGTGACGGGGTACAAATGGTACATGGTGAGGTGTGGGTGGGAGAGACACGCGGGTGCAAGTGGCCAGCGCTGGACGAGGCCACCAAGACCTGCGCCAAACGTCGGGAGGCCATGCACCACCACCCTACTAGTACATAAAGTTGAACCGCAGCAGGGCAGGACGGGACAGGGGGGGAGGGAAGAGAGGCAGGGGTGGGGTTTTGGGGAATGGATCACAGGCCCAGGACAGGTACTGTGGTACAGGCTCAGGCACAGGTACCATAGGTCATCGTACATACTGCGGTACCGTAGTACAAGGCAAGGCATGGATAGGTGTGGACACCTAGGCGCCTGGGCACCAGGGCAGAGCCAGGGCGTGGTGGCAGAGCGGCAGGGGGGGGGGCCAAACAGCAGGGGCATGCCAAGGAACTCGAGGGCACACAGGAGGGGAGCTTTTCTCTTCTTGTTCATTGTTCCCTTTGTTTTTTTTTTAAAAAAAAAAATCACTAATGGGATGAGAATCTGTTGGTGGGCGGTCGATGGCAGGGATCGCCCAAGTCAACAGGGACTGCCTGTCACGGTCTTTTTTCTTTCTTTCTTCCTAATTCTCCTCCCTTCCTCAGCCCGCAGTGATGGGGTCATTGGGCATCGTCACTGCTCTCCACTGGGCTCTCCACCGTCTCGGTAACAGCTAGAGCTCAAAGCAGCAGAGGGCGCCCACCTCTCTCTCCCCCTCCGGTGTGTCCAATGTCCACTCAGCCCCCTTGTCATCACCATGATCACGAACAAACGTTCGTCATCATCATCATTGTTCTCATGCTGCAAGACCCCACAGAATACTATTGTATAACATGGTATTAATTATATAGCATGCGGTGCACTCAACTCAATCGCCTATTGAGATCACACTGCCTAGGAAGCTAAACTTTATGTATATGCCACTACAGTAGGATGGCAACATCGACGCACACTAGAGTGGCCGATTGGTATTGGCCCCGGCCCTGCCCGCCGACCAGAATTCAAAACAATTGGTGATGCTATTCCTGGCGTTTGGGAGTGAGTGAGTGGGCCAAACAACTAGGCCTGTGAGCACCGCAAGCATGGGACACATCTTCAGCTACTATGTATTGCACCTCACCGCCTTCTCCCCTTCCTCCTCCCCCTCATCGTCATCATCATCGAGGCTTGGGCATATTATGTACCTCCAGCCGTTCAGCTTGGGGCGGCTGGGTGTCCCGAGGCTTGGCTATGGTCTGTCCGCCGATGACTCGGATAAGATGTCTGCCGAAGCAATGAGCTCCAATAACTCCTGTCAGATTGATGTGTTGCAGCGAGCGCCATCGCCTTCCTCGACGCACAAGGTTCTCTACAGCACCTTTTTTTACAAAATTGGCGCTGTCTCACCATCTCTGGCCATGGACCAAACAAGGTCTAGGCTCGAGGATCCGAGTAGATAGTGCCCGTACCTTAAGGCTGCCATGTAGTATAACAAATCTTGGGATTCTCGCTATCTTATCATCGACGACAATTCCGCTGCGGTGCCTTATAACGATCACCACATCGTATCATAGTATGTAAGTAGCTGTGAGTCCAGACCATCACCAGGCGGGCCTAATCAGTTCATCTACCAGGATTGACCCAGATCCGTTTTCTTCGTCACCCACCACAGGCTTGTCCATCTATCTGCTCAGAGGTTTTCGTATTCAAGATTTTGGATCGTGGTCTTGCAGCTGCTGCTGATGGAGGAACCGTTTTTCTGCCACCCTCAAACACTACCCAAAGGAGAAACAGTTCGGACAGCCCGGCATCTTGGGCAAGCAATCGATTCCCTCCCTTTTATCCTCCATGTCGCAGCAACCAGGGGGCTTGTACAACCTACCAGTACCACAGTACATTGCTACAGTACAAGCATGGCGATCTGATTCCGATCCGCTCTCGCTGATCAACCTCGCGGTGGCGGCTTTGGCTCACGCCAGATCGCCGTTCATCCTTCCAACGAGGCTTTCTGTGCTATCAATCATGTACATTTTGTGCACTTGGTGATACACACACGCTCTCTCTTTTAAAAGTACATGGTATATTTTCCCCTCCTCATATAATATTAACAACGGCAGCCGTCAATGATTTGATATTCCGGGGTGGTCGACAGCAGCCAGTCAGCGCGATGCACAACACAAAACGCAACGCTGTTCCGTTCGTCCCAAGACTAAACCCGGCGTGCATGCATGGATGGCAGACCGAGAGAGAGGACAATTGCTAAATGTTCCCGACGCGAGAGAGAGAGAGAGAGAGAGTGTGTGTGTGTGTGTGTGTGTGTGTGTGTGTGTGTGTGTGTGTGTGTGTGTGTGTGTATTATCCCCTTCCTCTCGTTTCCCCCCACGGCTACACGAAAATAAACAAGGAAACCTGCATGTGTGTCGTGTGATGTGTGATGGTGTGTCCTCCTGCTGGATACGAAGTTGGACGAACGGGCAGGATAAGTTACACAGTATCAAGACTCTGGGGCCATCAAATGGCGTTTGTTTTCTGAAATCCACACGCTGGGTCTCTCGGACCCTTCGACGAGTTTTGTGCCTGACACCATGCTCTGCACCTCTGACACGATTGCCGAGATTTCAAAACGAGAGAGAAAGAAGAAGAAGAAAAGAAGGGGGAGTGCACAGGCAGTCCATTCGTAGATATTTTCACTCTACGCGCCGGGTTCTCGCGCGCGCGTCACGAGTGGTCCGTCTCAAACCCTCACACATACACATAGCAATCGAATAATCTTGCAGCCAGAGAAGCTAGTTGCCACGTCTTGTTGCACTGCGTTATTTCGGATATGCTAGGGAATTGATAGCAATCACGATCTTGATAAGCAATGGTGGACGATGAAAATCACCAGATTGTTTTGATTCATCGGTTCCATTGTGGTAATGGTGGTGGTAGCAGCAGCTGGCCAAGAACTCCACTCCAGGCTCAGAACACAGGCCACAAAATCCTGCAGGAAGAACGATTTTTTCTTTTTCTTTTGGCCGCCCCCCCCCCCCCGGTCCCTCCTTGCAGGCACGACCCCACACAAGCTTTCGACATTGTCGTCATAATGCAAGGCACCAGGAGTGGTCTTTCCCCATCGGATCCCCGTTGCCATGCAGCAAGCGCATGCATGGAATCTCTTCTCCCTTCGTTGCTTCTTCTTCCATCCCCTCACAGGAATTATCTCTTCCGGGCAGCGTCTCGAATAGATTGCGCAAACCACATCAACCCGTGCACGGTCTAGGCCAGGGGTGAGGAGGGGAAGGTTCCAGCCGGGATGCAACGTGCAACGCTGCCGGGGGGCGGGGATCACCTCCCGACCCTTTTTGTTTTCTTTTTTTCTTTTTTCCTTGGAGCGGATCCCATCAATCCATCAATCCAGCATCCAGCATCCAGCATCCAGCATCAATCAATCAGCATGGCGGACGGGGAAGGGAGGGAGGACACAACGCCCACCGGAGATGGGTGTCTCCACATTGACTTACAGAGCCTTACTATGGCCATTATAGTTTTTTTGGTCTCCTAGGCAGAGTGAAAGAGAGAGAGAGAGAGAAGACAAATCGCTTTCCTCGCCATGGACTCCGCTCCCTTGCATATAGTCATTCCATATCGCCGTCGGTCATCTCCTCAGAGCCTAAAGCATGTACCATTGAGAGCAGGTCTTGGGCGTTACTCGCGCACACATGTGTTTGCTTAAGAGCAACGGTTTCTTGAACAGGGGCTCTCTTGACACAGACGCAGGGTTGTGCCTCTTTCGAACAGCTCTAGTCCGAACGTCATATCCGCAATCAAGGCATACACGCCGAGTCATGGAGTTTCAGTCTCTTTGTGAAGTTTCTCGGGACAAAACGAAGCCAGAAGAGCACAAACATGAACACCACCAGGACAAGAGAAAATGGAATGACATCCGGCGTGCTTGTGGGTCTCAGGCTGACTTTTTCTTTTCTTCTCCTTCTTTTCCCTTTTCGGTTAAGGAAAGAAGGAAACACTGCTGCACATGGTCGGACGACACACCAAAGAGGCGTATGCACCTGCGCATGCACATGCAGCTCAGCTGCAGGTCTACTTAGCTATAGTGCCTGTATGTAAGGGGAGACACCCCTTCCTCACAGCCTGTGACAGAATGAAGCATAGCTGAGCACACATATGCCGAGGTGCATTAATCAGCATGTCTTGCAAGCATGTGTATTGCGGCTCTGTTAGCCTCCGAGCCTGTCGCATTCGCGGGTCTCAAGGGTCGGCCTCTAGCGAAACCCCAGCAGAGGCCCCTTGGACCCTTAGTTTCTGCATGTACGTGCGTATTCAAACCACTCACAGCATCAGCGTCGTCCTCGATGTCTGATGATATATATTAGCGCCCTTTGGCCGATCTTCTGTATATAATGCATCTTGCCCACCCAAGCTGCGTCTGAAGCTGACTCTGCGTGTGTGTGGGTGTGTAGGTGTGTGTGAGTGTGCGTGGCCGTAACGGTTGATGGAGAGTAACCCGGTTAGACATCGATTGTGAAACACGCAGAATAGAAGCCAGTCTTTTTCTCAAGGGAAGAAAAGCCAATCTACTGACAGCGGTCACTCTCTGCCACTCTCTATGGCGTTGCATCTGTTGGGGCACAAAGCTACTCAGCCACCAAGCCTCGGCTGCTACCATCATGCATTCGGTATTCTCTGAGTGGATGTCAATATCAGAACTGTATTATAGGAGAAACATTCGGCCAGGGTAATATGTACATATCTACTATGCACTATCGATCAGTACTACGTTTGTCAACTACGAGATGACCCCGCGACACTTTGCGGGAATTGAACAAGCCGTTCTTTGTCTCACCAACTCCAAAAAAAAAAAAAAGGGTGACGTGAAAAGAAAAGTCAAGATAAAAAACCCCAGAGTTCATGCAGTGCCGTTTTCATCCCTCCCGTCCCAAAAGATGCGGGCGAATAAGGAGACGGCGCACGCACGTGTTCAGTGCCGAGCGGATCGAGACCCTCCCGACGGCCAGCGTGAAACTCTCAACTCTCGAGGAGGGGTGGGTTGGCACCCAAGTCTAAAAAAGAGAAAGAGAGAAAGCGAGAGAAAAGAAGAGAAAATGAAATAAAAAATACATTGGTCTCGCAAAGGGCCCCAGGGGTTCACCCACCTCTTGTGTGCCCTGAAACATTTTTGGCCGCCGACGTGTGATGGGCTCAGGATCACCCCCCTGGGGATCCTCTAATTTTTTCCTCCCTCTCTTCCTCCTCCTCCTTTGCGAACCGAAGGAGAAGGTTGTGCGACTCAAACCAGTCCATCCGTAGGGGGGGGGGGGGGGAAACATACTATTTCGTGCCGAGTAGGTTGTGTCAAGTTATTGTACTACTGAGGTGAGCCGTTCACGTCTTACTCATCCTGCTTCAGGTATTCAGGGAGGGTGCAATAGAGTAAGAAAAGGAAGAAGGAAAAATCAGTGCAGTACCGGATGACGTTCTTTTTTTCCCTTTTGTGATCTCACCACGGGCAGATCCCTGGCCGAGTTTGAGCCTCAGATCCTACCTCCTAACCGCAAAGAGCGCCCCCGTTGGTTGCCATGTTGGTTCGGGTCACGGCTTCACGTGCTGGCCTGGCCTGGGGCCTGTTGAGGTGAGATTTTCGCGCCGTATGGACGGGTGTGAGGTAAGGTCGTCCAGAAAAGGGACCACGTAGGTGCTGATGACAGATAAGGTCGGAGGACGACACTAAGAATAAACGAAAAGGCAACGGAAGTAGTCAGACCCCAGTCCTTACATTGGGGCCACCACTTGTCGATTTGTGCACTTCGGCTTTGTATATTTCTGAGAGCATTCGAGGATGATCATGTCTAGACAATGACAAAGTACGCGCTCCGAACACGGAAGCAGCGTGAGGATCACGAGCCTTGAGAGTATTGATGATCAATCTTCGGTACGGTGCTAGAATTTGCTTCAACGTCCTGGAGACGACATGTCGAGACAGGCGCGAGTTGCATGAGTACTTTGTAGACATCAGGCGGCATGCTCGATTGTAAATCCATCATCGTGCCGAGACTCCCACCTGGTTGCAATCCCATTGGGCCCTCACCAAACTGTCGAGTTGATTCTTCGTCTGTCCTCACTATCAACCTCGCGTTCATCATCGCCCCCTCACTTACTTCTCCTAGTCCCTCGCCCCCATCCTCTTCTCCGCCAACACACCCTCGGTTAGGCTGGGAAAGGATTAGCCAGACTGGAGAGGGGCTGAAAAGGAAGCCCCGCGAGTTCGGTGATCCTCCGGCTGCATTTCGCCTCATAGTAGGTCATTGCCACTGGTTGACAAACACGAAACGTGCCGTGGCCGAAGTCGAGGGGCATGATGAGAAATTGTAAGATCTTGTGAAGAGGTGACTGGTGAGCTGCCTCATGCATCAAAGTTTCTTTTTTTCTTCTTCTGATCAAGTGTCTGCTTTGCTTTGCAATTGTAGCTGAGCGGAGTGGTTCTGACGCCGATGAGAGGCGGCGACGGTCAGTTGGTGGAAAGATGGGAAGGTTTGCATCGCAAATGTTGTCGTGGCTTGATGGGATCAATTTTGCCATAATGACCCAAGGAAAACCAGGCCGTCCACCCAGTCATCTCTCAAGCGGACCAACGGTGACCTTCTCTCTTTGTTTCCTCTGCGCTTCCTGCTCCCATACAGTCTGCTGCTTGACCTGCTTCCGCTTGGTGGCCTGCAGGTCCGAGAAGCGCCCTCGGGCACCATGCTTGATCTTTGTGATCATATCTGCAGCCTTGCCCTTGGTGATATCAGCAGCCGTCAGCGGGTCCTCCGCCGGGCGCATCTTGTTCAGGAACTTGAGCTGCCCGTCTGTCGGCGGTGCGTTCCGCCACCCCTGTCGTCTCGAGATGATGTAGTGCGGGAAATGCTCGCCAGCATATTTGTCTGCGCCGTGGACGGCGTCAGCGAAGCTCGTCGCCTTGAGGAGCTCCCTAGGTGTGGCATACGGCGACTTGGATTTTACACTGGCTGACAGCTTTCGCATGACAATGACACGCCAGAAGGCCGAGCCTGCATCCTCGGTGCTGTCCTTCTCCAGCCGCAGGTATGTCCCAGAATCGCTAGATAGGATGTACTTGTTAGGGCCGACCTGTACCCACGAGTTGTGGGTGAGGGTGTAGATGTGCCTCTCGCCTGATGTGTCTGAAATTAGGTCGAAGACGGAGTCGTACTCTGTGAAGGTGACCTTCTGGGGGAGGCCTTGTGGAATTGAGAGAGCCTCGCCATCATATACCTGCTTTTGACGCGTGTCCTCGGCCTCTTGGCGTTCTCTAGTGCTCTTCATATCGTCCACGGTGGCGTTGTTAATCAACTCACTGGGGTCGAGGCCAAATAGCGTCGGGACAGTCACAATTCCGGTCTCGAGGCTCGATACCATGTCGATGATGTGACAGTCCTTCTTCCCTTGATGCAGCCTCATGCCTCGACCAATCATCTGGACGAGAAGGTTTCGAGAGCGAGTAGGCCGAGCAAGAACAACGCAGTCGATGTTAGGGATGTCGGTGCCCTCAGTGAAGACACCGCAGTTCAGCAGCACAGGGAATTCGCCGCGCTTGAAAGCGTCTAGGATCTCGCCTCTCTCGATCTTGTGTGTATCCCCAGTGACGAACCGAGCGTCAAGGCCGTAGTGCCGGAACTTGGCCGTGAGACCTGCGACGTGACTCAGATCCACGCAAAACACCAACGTCGACTTCCTCTCGGGCGCCTTGGCCAGCCACGAGCGTACCGTCACATCGTTGACCTGCTCTGTATTGACAGCCTTGGACAGCTCTGAGGCTACGAAGTCGCCCCCACCCTGCATCTTCTTGACTTGCGTGATGTCTGCCGTGGATTTCACGGTGGTGAAGATGACGCCAGAGAGCCATTTCTCGTCGATCATGTCGACATAGTCTTTATGATAGACGATCTCGTCGATGGCTGCGCCGAGTTTGACGCCATCAAATCTTGAGAATGTTGCTGATACGCCGACCAAGTTCGGGGTATCGGCGCTCTTCTTGTCGAGCCCAAAATGTCTGAGAACTTTCATGTAGCCGGGTGCAACTATATGATGAGCCTCGTCGACAAGGATGAGCTTGAAGTTGTCTCGGTTGTACTTCTGGAGCCTCTCGTCCTTCTGGAGGCTTGCGACGCTAGCGACGGTGATGTCTGCAAGGCCGCTGGCTTTGGCATTGGCCATGTCTATCTCGACTGTCTTGTCAGGGTATGCACTGATGCAGTGCCTTGCTGCCTGCTCTACCAGTTCTCGACGATGAGCCAATATCAAAGTCTGAGTTGCTCTTTCTGCAGGAGGGTCGATGTGTGATATGAGATGAGTAAAAATGACCTTTCAATTCTTTGTGTGAGTTGAGTCCAGAAAAACGTGCAGACAAGTAAATAAAAAAAAAGTGTCGAAAGAGAGAGACTCACAGTTTTACCACCTCCCGTGGCCAGTGAGATCCCGACTCTCTTGTGTCCATTCTTCAATGCAGACACAACAGACTGGATACATTCCCGCTGGTAGTCTCGCAGTTGAACTGGTTGTAGTGAGGACTGGGTTGCAAAGCCTCTCAGGCAGCAAATGGAAGGCCCGGGGCTCCGCCAGAGGCCCTGCAGGGACCCTTGAGATATCCTCCGTGGGCTCGAGCTCCAGGCTGCTCGAGAAGCGGGCCTCAAGCACTTCAAGACTGGCTGCAGCATGTCGATGCCTCTCAGCCTTGTGCGTTGGTTGACGTTAAAGGGAGATTTGGACCGGGGGGCGGAAAGAGAGCTCCTCTTCCAGGTCGCGCCACAGCCTAGCTCCACAGCGGGACCCTGAACGTGTGGAAGTGCCTTGTAACAGCTGCGCAAGGGTACTGCGGGTGCCACTAAGTTTTCACCCCTGCGCGCCGCAAAAGATCCCTGTAACCAAACCTTTCTCAGAACTGTTTGTTCCCTCGTCCACGACTCTCAAAACATGCTATGACGGCAGCTGTCAAGATGGATAGCAGCGATAACAAGACGAGCGAGGTCGTCGAGCGATGAGAGTTTGAGGTACGCAAGCCCCAGTTGCCGCCAGATCATTGATTTCCCCATGAAGTCATCTGCGGCATCACGTGCGCAAAATGCCTTCCTCCTCCTCTTCCACCTCTGACGGCCATGTGAGCGACCATGGTCGCCAGGTCGTTGAGTCAATCGAAGAGGTTGAAGATATGTCGATGACAGGGTCCGATCAAGACTATGAAGAGGGCGGCGATCTGTCTAAGGAACAGGCACCGCCATCGGGCCAACCTGCATTCACCGACTACTCTCCGGACGACACAGACAACACCGCATCAGCAGGGAAGCAAGTGAATGAGGAGCAGTGGCCAAGCGAAGATGAACTTGCGGGAAAGGAGAAAAAGTCTCGCAAGAGGAAATCACCAACCGAAGAAGCGGACTCCGATTTTCATGTGGGGCATAGAGATGATATGCGACCGATGAAGAAGGCCAAAGCATCACATATCCACGAGTATTTGTCCTTATTGAACGAGGACATTAAGCATGCAGCCTATCAATATGTTTCAAAGGACCGCGAACAGTTTGACGAGAGGATTGCTCTACCAGCATCACAAATCGGCATGACGACCTGGACATCGATGGAAAAAGAGCGGTTCTTCGAGTCCCTCGGCCGTCTTGGTCGAGACGATGCAGCTGGGATTGCTCAGAGAATCCGGAGTAAGGGCGAGATGGAGGTCAGACAGTACATGAAGCTCCTCCAAGATGGTCTCGCCGCCCGGCGGCAGCAAAATGAGCTTGATCCCCTAGAGCTAGCAGACTTCCCTGCCGCTCTCGAGTTAAGCCAAGGATGCTGTGAGGCCCTGGAAGAGCTAGCAGATAAGATCGCTAAGCGACAAGGAAACTCGGAGGATGCATCTGAGGAGCGTGAGCATGGCCAAGGGTGGCTCATCTATCAAGGGAGCCACTTCGACACTGCAGACAAGGAGGCGGAGACGGACATTCCCAAGTTGACAAGGGTTCTCAGAGTCTCTGAGTGGCTTGCATTGTCAGAGCGCTTCTTCATGAACGCGCCCACAGAGGAGGGAAACTGGCAATCTGTGAACGGGGGTCTCCCCTCTCTCCGACGAACGGCCCTGGAAGATTATTTTTCACTTGCTCTTATGCTGACCAAACGGTTGGTATCGGCGACACTCTACATGGCAGCTTCCCGCATACGATCGGAGCGTGGATACAGGCCAGAAACCCGAGATTTTGTAAAGAAGAAAGACGTCCAGGCCGCGGCCCTGTCACTAGGCCTCGCCATGCAGAAGCCACCCCTGACAAGATGTGTGAGGCGGCTGGGGCTATCTGTCTACGAGGACCCGCCGCGGCCGGATGAGGATGACGGCGAGAGGGAGCCTATTTCCCACGATATTGTCGAAGATGACCTTGGAGTTGGGGAGCAGCAGGGCATTGGCCGGATTCGACACTACATGGAGAGCATAGCCCTCTCTTCAGGCGAGAGCTCGATATCCTCCGATTCACCGGCGGCAGGAAGCAGCTCAGAGGAGGACGAGCACCCGGACGACAGCTCGCAGGAGCAGACAGACAGCGAGGAGAAAGAGGAAATACGATACGAAGCGGAAGAAGCCATCCTCTACTCGGCCGTCGACTCAGTCCAACACAAGAGGGCCGGTCAAGCATTGCTTCGGCGAATCAAGGCAGAAAGGGCGGCGGAGAGATATGCAGATTCCGTGGACGCCCAAGCCAGTTACCAAGAGGAGAAGCGGATGTGGACAATTCTTGGCAAGCAACCATCGGAGATGACGATCGACCCTGGTCTCCCTCCCTCTGGACGGAGACAGAAGATATCGGTGGATGCTGGATATTCCGTAGGTAAGGACTGGAGAGACAAGACAAAGATCATCAGCGAATGGGAAGCTAGGTACGAAGGATTATGAGAGGTGCATCCGGTACAAGATATACAATACCACCAGTTGTCGTTGATATAGGGAGAATGGAATGCCATGAATGTCGGCAGTAGTCCGGGAATAAGTGAACCTCTTAAAGCGCTTACATGAACTGGTGGATACCTCGGCAGCAACCCTGATCGACCCTGGTACCTTGTCCAGAAAGTGGCTGTGCTCCTTCCCACTGCACTGTATCGAGACGTACGCATTTCGCCTTCCGTCCCTCCCGTCGCAAGGAGGTTACGACAAGGGAGATGAGTTGAGACGCATTCGTGTTTGAGGGACGACTTCCGCTACGCATCTTCCTTTTCCATTCCCTTGTCGACTACGGCAAACCATCTTCCTTTCTTTCTTCAATTTTTCCTCTCCTTGTTTGTATTTTCTCCCCTCTGGCCAACAGACATCTCACCCTTTCAAATCTCCCAGTCATTTCAATCTGACTCGTCGCCTTTTTCCTTTCACAAAGGGGCCGCTAGTCCACCCACACACCCAAGTGACTTGCTCACTTACTTAACTTACTCCTCACCATATTTGACCACGCCAACGCCACTACACCACATCATCCCCCCCGCTGCTTCCACGCGTCCAATTCATTTTCACGCATTTCCTCCACATCAAACTCCCAACAGACCAAGCTCTCGCGCGAGACCTTGCTGACGATCGTCATCATCGACTATCTTTGCATATCATCGCTACAGCCTCATTAACCCCGACGGCCACTCCATCCTGCTTGTTTTCCCTCTTCAACCCGCCCAACCATGTCCGGCAAACCTACCGACGCGCCGCCGTCCTACTACGCTGGTGGCCCTCAGGCCCCCAAGCCTACCTACAACAACCAGCAGTACCCTCCCCAGGACCAATATCCCCCGCAAGGCCAGTTCGGCGGCGGCGCGGGCGTCCCATCCCAGGGCGGGAACGGCGGATACTACCAGCAGCAGCCCCAAATGGGCTACTACGGCCCCCAACAAGGGCCCCCATACCAGCAGGGCCCTTACCCCCCGCAGGGTCCGTACCAACAAGGCCCATACGGTCCGCAACAGGGTGGCTACTATCAGCAGGGCCCGTATGGTCCGCAGGGAGGCTACTATCAAGACGGACGGGGCAACGGTGCTGGCGTGGGCATGATTGAGGGCTTGATGGCTGCGCTGTGCTGTTGTTGCTGTCTGGACCTCCTCATCTAAGTGGCAGCCATGGCTTACACCTCCATCCATTGGGCCGGGGGGGGGGGGTAGTAGGACCCTCCAAGGCCACTGAGGGTGAGTGCAGAAGAGGAGGGATGGAACATCACATTAGGCATGCTCCGGGACAACATCGCTCGGAGGGGTTGTTGGGACGGAGAAAACACGATTCGATACCCGCGAACTCGATGTGGGAGAGATAGGAACGGTGGTCGGATTGAGTCTGCGGACCAGATCTCATGTACCACAACGGATTTGCATACTTTTTCATGGCGTTATGGACAGGAAGGCAATGGCTCATTATGCGTCTAGGAGGCGGCGGAGTACGAAATGGCGGGTTGTTTCCCGCCTTCTAAATCACTTACTTTGATGGATACTTTGGCACCTCTTTCATACTTTTCATCGTTTTTGATGTTGAGATTGAAAAAGTAGTTCTACGTTATATGACGGACGCTTGTTTGGATTGATTTGCACGTGGTAGTAAAATAAGGGGCCATCACTAGTTGGTTGGCCCAATTTTATAATAATCATAGTCCATCCGCCGCCAACCTCCCTCTACTTTATTTGATTCATTTCGTCACGGCTGGCCAAGTTCTGCTTGGCAGCAAGGGGCGTCCATTGTCACTTTATTAACGGATAGGAGTGAGGCAAAGAAATGAGATGAAATATAGAGTATTTATCAATGTTTCCAGACTACTGTCTGCGCTAACTCCATGATGCTATGCAATTTTATCCTCTTCTTCCCCCATGCGAGGTCTCCGTACCTGTCGGAAAACCAAACAAACTCCAGACCGACCCTCTTCATTACTTCTGAAGGGGTATATAAATGCCAATGCCGATTTTGGTACTTTGACCAAGTCTTTTTTTCTTCCTTTTCTTCTTCTTCTATATAGGGGGACAATGCTGATAAGTAGCATGATACTCAGAGCTGGATAAGGTCCTCTTCTGAGAAATCCGGCGGTGCTTGCCCATACAGCACGCGAACTTTCGAGTCCAATGCCGTGCCCTCGTTGCTGATGCGGATGTGATTGCTATAGTCGTTTGTGCGACGGACCTCGTCGTCCGACACGCCAATGTCGTCGCGTGGAATCCAGACCACGGGCCTCCGAGCCCGCAGGGCCGAGTGCGTAAACGCCTTGCGGATCTTCTCGTCGCGGTCTGCAGGATTCAGATCCTCAATCTCGTCGGCGTAATCACCGAACAAGGCATCTCCTATCGCACGCTGGTTCTCCAGGTCACGCACAAATTTCTTGTGGCGCTTCTGTGCCATCTGCTTGACTTTGCGCTCGGCAGAGCCGTAGGTACTATCCAGCACGGCGTTGCCGGTGCCCGCAACCCAAGTCCTGGAATGCTTGATTATGCTCATCCCGCCCGAGGATGATTTCTTGTGATGCTTCTTCGCCGAGCTCTGCTTCTCTTGTTTGTCGAGATCATCCAGCTCGTATTGGCCGTCGTCATTACTCGTAGCGCTGTGTGGCCTGCTCGCGTTTGCCTCAATCTTCTCTCCGGCGGACGACTCCTCGTCATCGTCACGGAGCTTGTTCTCCAGCTTGATCTTCTTGCGCATCAGCTCGCCTTGTCTACTGTCGAATTCTCGTCTGATGTCGCCGTGATAGAGGCCTTGGGCTTCCAACTCTTCCTTTTCGGTTTGGAGCCGCTCCTCTTCGCGTTCCACCTCCTTGATCTGACGTTCAACCTCGAAGGCCACGTCCCGAAGAACAGCCTCGTCCTCGAAGGTGATTGGTAGATAGCTCAGAAGCGGGCCGAACTCCCTGTTCAACATGATCTGATATAAGGCTGTGAGAATTATCGCCACAATCATGATGATCCCTTGTTTGTAGCAGAGGTACGTCCCATCGTCCGCCTGGACCAGAAAGAAAAGTCCGATCAGACACAGCTCCATGACGTAAAGTCCTGTGAACATCTGGTTCAGGGCTCTGGGGTACAGCTTGCCCCCAGTGTCTGTCTTAAACCGTGTCACATAGAGCATGTTGTATCGGTGCGCACACCACAGGAGGCTGAAGTTGATGACGGCGAAAATGCTCATGATCGGGGCGATGACGGAGAACACAAGAGCTATGCAGGCGAAATTGGTGTAGACCGGAAAGAATGAACCCCATTTCACCTTAGGAAGTGAGGTCTGGCGAATGAATTTCGCTCTTGCAGTGCTGTCGAGGATCCTTGACAGCACATACCACATGGCCTGCGTCCAATTAGCAAGCCGTCCCGCCGTTTGCCTCAGATGAGCGCGGGGATATGGGGAGCTCAGGTCGTTCAGGAAGAGCTGGAACATACCAAAGACGAGACCTGCAGCAGTGTTCCGGAGCTCACGGATGCACCCTGCAGCAGCAAGTAGGAGAAGAAGTAGTTCGAAGCATCGGGGAGGTTTTCAGCCAAGAGAGTCGGAAGGCCCTCGATGTCTTGTGCAATGTTCGCGATGGTCTGAAGCGCGCCAGAGGTGATGGAGACGACCAAGAAAACTTCAACAAATAGGACTACCGGGGAGGATTAGTCATGAAATCATAGCGAAGACTGCGAAGGCACGCCCATCACTTACAGAAGAAATAGTAGATCTGGACCCATTCCGATCTGGAAGCTCCTGTTTTCACACCCTGGAACTCCGCGATCATGCTCAAAACGATCGGGACCAACGCCAGGATGAGAGCGAGGAATGCTTGAGGCAACACAGCTGCGGCTAACTTGACGAATTTGTAGACGGAAGCATTCTCTTTCAGAAATCCGAGCCATGAGTATTTCTGTATCAGGGAGTCGATTTCAGAGAGAGACGCCGAGAACGCCACAGGAAAACCCCAGAGAATGACCATTCCGAAGACAAAGCCACAGGCCAGAATGACTCGGCTCCATTGCATCCACCAGCTCTGTGAAATTGATCAGTATTAATCAACAGCCCAAAGAGAAGATTATGGGTGTACGGAGAAATTACGAACCATTGCCATATTGTCCCATATGACGTCCTCTGGGCTGATTTCCACCACCCGAGGAGCCATGTGTTTGGGTACATGATGTATGAGACTCTGACAAGCCATGTGCGCTGCCGACTGATTGTTGAACTGAATAAACGCAGACGTCATCTTGGGAAAACGCTCCGGGTTCTTCTGATCCTCCTCGATCTCAACATTCAGTCGAGCAAGCTCCTGCCGGCACCAATAAATCGTGTCAACCTTCTTGTGGATGAATGGCAGGCCGGGAAGCCAGGAAGGGGTAAAGTCGAAGAAAGGCAGGCGGTGATGCGGTCGGTCCTTGGCTTTGATCCATTTTTCCCATTCAGGAGTAGGCTGCTCCTGGTACACCTCGGTTTGCCCAGGATTGACATACTGAGGATACTCCACAGGCACCTCGTCGTCACCCATGAATGGTATATAGTGCTTGATTTTTGTCCATAAAGACTTCTCCAGGTCGAATGGATCCTTCTCATACCTGGCTCCTTGAGGAACAGGCGAGGTGTACCCTCCCGACGGAGGCTTCCAAAACTGATACCATCTTGTGGACTCCTTGACGTACATGTCGTCGATGTTCTCGATATTGCGCGTTGTGTTGATGTGGTGGTTGGTAGTCAGCTCCTGCTGATCCGAACTCTTTGACGTGTTGTATTCTGATGGCCCTCGAGTGTATTCCGAGGCAAAGGACACTTTCGGCCTGTCCCCATTGGCACCTGAGGTGGTCTCATGGAGAGTCCCAATCCGGCGCTCGGAGGCACTCATCGAGGGACGTCCAGTGGTCGCAACAAAACCGCCACTTCTCTCCAGCTGACTGTCGATACCCTGGCTCACGGTGGACAAGCCGCCCCTGACCCCCAGCCCAGCCCGCTCGACCACATTGGCGCCGGTCTTGAAAACCTTGCCAACAGCGTTGAGGGGATTCAACTGGCCGCCATGGGTTTGCTCTTCAGGGTGAGCAATGGCATTCTCAGCCGCCTGAGCCTCTGCAACATCCTCGCCGTTCTCACCCATGGTAAGTCCATCCTCGACCTGAGCCCTGCGCCGGGCTTCCTGGTCTTCGTCTTTCTGCCTCTGGACTCTCTCCTTCTTGGTCGGTTTCTTGGTGCGCTGCTGCTTGCGTGCCTCCTTCTCGTCCTTTTCACGCTGCTCCAGCTGCCGCTTCTTGCAATCCCGAATCAAATCGCTCTCGGCAGATTCAAGTTGTTTGTGAATCTTATTCCTCTTCTTGATCTTGTCCAGCAGCGGGGTAAAGTCCTGCGTGAGCCAGATGTTCTTAATACCTCCGGGAAACACGTCGAACAGTCCCCGCAGAGCCTCTTCACTAAGCCATTTTTTCGGGATGGAGGAGACCAGGACGGTATTGGCTGAGGCTCGGAGCCGGTGCTCGGCACTGGTGAGCCAGTCCTGGCGCACCCGCACGAATACTCTCATCTCCGCAAAGACGACGTAGCAGACCCATATGATGACGGCGAGGGCGAGTATGAGGTGTGCCCAGTAGCGCTCGTAGTTTTCGGTCTTGACATTGCCCCATGCAAGTACGCTCAGCCCGACCACAGAATCGTCGCTTGTTGTGGTGTTGGTCCAGAGATTTGAGCCTCTGCCGTCGACGAAATTGACCGGGAGGAGGATGGGCAGGATGATGCATGTCAGAGGCACGAAGATGACGAGAAGCGTCTTCAGATATCGCAGGAAGAAATACGCGTCTAGGCCGCATTTTTTGATGATCTCTCGGTCGGGTACCTTCATCAGGCCGGTGATGAGTGCCCATGGCGATGAAGGCGGGGGATCGGTCCTCTCTCGTTCTGGGACCAGAAAGGTTTTTGGTTTATAGATCCTAGCAAGCTTGTTCCTGAGGAGGATGAACAGGCCTAGCTGGACGCCGGCAACCGCAACGGAGACGGCGAGGGACGCGAGAAAGGACTCCAAGCCATAGCCGGAGTAGGCCTGGGCAGAGCCAGCTCCGGTGTCGGTGCTGTTAGACATCTTGGACGAGACGGGAGAGGGCGTGAACCCTTCCTGTTTCCGGGTTTGTACGCAGCCGGGTTATGTGGTATTCTAGGTCGAGTAGGCGCGTAAAAAGTCTCGGGAAGACGAGTGATAGGTCGTTAGGGAGGCTGCTAGCTGCAGTGAGGAGCAGTCGAGGTTGCGTCTCGACCAGATTCGGTGGTGGGTTGAGGTCGTCTGGTAAGGGGGTAGTCGATTGGATCGGATTAGGCGAGGAGGAACATCGTCACCGATGCCGAGTTGATGAAGATCGGCCCCTTCAATTGTTCTCGACACTGTGATCCGACAAAGAAATGATGCTAACTACCGTGGAGACGTCGAGCGGCCCAATCCGTGAGATTCGATTGCAGTCTGTCTTTGGGGTTTCAACTTGACAGGAATAGATGTTACAAGAACAATGGGGGCCTTTGTTTACTGGCCACAGGGGGGCGGATGGGTTTCGAGAGGCCTTCGTTTATGGACAGGAAAGGATGTTTCTAGGTTTTCTGGACATTGTCTGGGGACGACATGGGGGTGAGGTCAAGCAAGAAGAAATGGACGGGCAAATTGGGGCCTGGCACGGTCCTGCACGATATCTTGGACCCTGCACGTACTATCGTGTGGCTGTATTTCTAGCTAGAGGTAATTGTGCAGCACAAGCGCAGGTGAAACAGGGAAACCACGAAATCTTGGCTCGCGCCTGCCCAATTTTGACGATTGGCTCGCAGCTCACCGCAATCTATGTGACGTCGGCGGCTGCAGGGCCGTCAGGGGGGGTTTTGTGGTGGGTGGCCCCCGCACCAGGCCTCCCATTCCAGGGCCTTTGGCGCCTGTCCCTGGTTCTCTCGCGATGATTGGCTTTGACGTCAAGCCGAAGGGAGGCCCTGGAATTCTGGCCTCGTGGGTTCCGAGGCTGAAACTAAGATCTCTGAACCACTGCTTTGCCTCTTGTCACATCCAACCTGTGGCATGCGAGTTCACAGTATTGTGCACATGTATGCATGTAATACATGAAGTGCTGTACTACCTGTGATCAACCCTATCGAGGCCACGCCCACTCGCAGTCTTTCATCAGCCCAACAAGGAATTGGCAAATCTCAGCCTTGAAGACGAAAACATGACTTAGTAAAAAGATGTGTCAATATGCTTCAATTCTCTTCATGTGAGACAAAGGGAAGAGAGAATGGGATGAACCGAGGACAAAAGAAAAGACGCGATGAGGCGTGTGCCGCTGTCAAAGCTTTTCATCCTCATCCCTTACTCTGCTACTTGTCTCTCTCTCTCTCTCTCTCTCTCTCTCTCTCTTCCTTGTCCCCATAAGCAGAAAGAAAGAAATAAAGTAAACGTAAATTAAGATTAAATAAAACAAAATAAAAAGGAAGATGCTGGCCGTTGTTCCCTTGGTCCGCTGCGGGATCTTAGGTCGCTTAGGTCCCTGCCTAGCCACCCCTGAAGCAGGCAAGGGAAGCGAGGGCCTACCCTCAACGGCTCCCGTCCAAGAACCTGACTGTATGATGGACCTTTCAGGCCATGTTGCACCAGATCTGGCTGCACACCAACTTGGTCAGCCCTCATCTAAGCTACTTACAATGTTCTTATGTTCTTCTTTCTCAACGGCCAATGCGAGATCGTGTCTCCATCAGGTCTACCAATACGGTATAAGAGCACACAAAGAAAATGCACGTGGCCTTTTCTTCGGGTGTTTCTTTGTATTCCTGATTCTCGATTGTCGAAACTCGACACGCTCGAACAAGTTGAACAGCCTCGCTTATGACCAACATGCTTAATCTGTGCAACGACTTACAACAACATTGGCACATCAACACACACAAATCATGATCTGCCGATCTTTCATTTGAGGCCCTAGGCTTGGCCTTGGGGAGGTCGGCAACCATGAGGCTATACGCTTGGCCCGAACGTGCTTGAGCCAACCTATCTTGCCGGCCATGTCTTGGGGGGGCGGTGCTGCTGCTATTCCCGTCGAGAAGATGCACATGTAAAGTGTCAAGAGTTGATCTCGCAGGCGTCTAGGGAATATCTTGATGCCGTGCCTTGCACGCCTATGTGTCATCTGCTTTCCCTCCCCGCACTCGCCCCGGCAAAATCGGTGCTCTTATTATCGGGGTCGAATTTTAGGGGCCGAATTTCTTCCCAGCAAGAGAGCGTCGACGACGGCAGTCTGCTTACTCCCAACGTTTATCCTGCGATGACCTGCCTATTCGCAACAAACTTTGTACTGTGCAATAATGCCATGAGATGACTGGGCAAGTAAGTATGAGGTGGGTCACTTTCTCTTTTGCTCTCCACAAGTCATTTTGATGCCGCTCCCTGCCCATTTTGTCTGGCTTGTCGACTCTTGTTGCAGTGGGCTATCTCAATCAACTTTGCGTTTTTTTCTTCTTCCCCTTTCCTTATGTACAAGATCAGTTTCTCGACAGACCTATATTGATTCCCCTTTCATTCCCTGCTTCTACATGAGTGCCGTACACAGAACACTCACAAGAGATGGGTGACCAGTTCAACCTCCACATCGCTGTCATTGGCGCGGGTGAGATTCTGTCCCATAGTGTACGGAGACATGCACATACATAGTAGCATGGCTGACTGTCGATGGTGCGAGCGTAGGGATGGGCGGCCTGGGGTGTGCCCTCGCACTGGCTAAGAAGGGGTTCAAGAGAGTCACCGTCTATGAACACGCGCCCGGCCTTGGCTTTGTGGGCGCGGGGATCCAGATGGCCCCAAACATGGCGCGGATTCTTGACCGATTAGGGTGTTGGCAGGAGATCTACGCTGTGGCAACCAATGTAAAGGAGACAAGTATAAGACGTGAGTAAGGCGACTGATCCTCGTCGTGTACATGCCATGAGGAGGCTGGAGCTCACATGACAATCATCTCGTGGCTGCAGAGGGCAGCACCAACGAGGAGCTGGCGCACGTCGACATGCCAGATATAGAGAGCAAGTACGGCTATCCGCACTGCACAGGCCACCGGGCAGACCTGGCCGGCGGCATGTACGACGGCTGCAAGAGGGAGCCCGCCATAAGCTTCAAGCTCGGGAACCCTGTGGTCAGCATCGAGTCCTTCACGCCGAGACCCAAGTTCACAGTGAAGCCACACGACGGTGAGGCCTACCAGGTCGAGGTAGACGTCCTCCTCGCGGCCGACGGCATCAAATCTCTCACCCGCAGCGCCCTTCTCGCCCACATCGGCGAGGAGTTTGGCGAGGCCGACACAGGGCAGGCCTCGTACCGGATCATGCTGAAGCGTCAAGACATGGCGCACGATCCCGAGATGACGGCCCTGCTGGACAGTGACTGCGTGGTGCGCTGGATCGGCGAGCGGCGCCACATCATCGCGTACCCCGTCGCCAACAAGACCATCTACAACATCTCGTCCGCCCAGCCAGACGTCAACTTCGCCAAGGGCGTGAGCGCGACATACACCACCAAGGGGTCCAAGACCGAGATGCTGCGCGTCTATGGCGAGTTCTGCCCGCTCGTGCACCGCATGTTGGATCTCGTCCCGGACGGGGAGGTCGTCGAGTGGAAGCTCCGACAGCACAACCCCCTCTCCACGTGGAGCGTCGGGTCCGTGGCGCTCCTAGGCGACGCATGCCATCCCACGCTGCCCCACCTGTCGCAGGGCGCCGCCATGGCCATCGAGGACGGCGCCGTGATTGCCGAGGTGTTAAGCCGGGTGCCGGACACCAAGCCGCAGACCGTAAGTCGTGCGCTCAAGGCCTACGAGGCCATGCGCAAGGACAGGACCACCACGCTGGTCGATATGGCCGCCTACTCGGGCCGACAGCTGCACCTGGGCGAGGGCAAGGCGCGGGAGGAGAGGGACCGCCAGTTCAGGGAGCACAGGGAGAGCAAGGGTGCCATCCCGGACAAGTGGGCGAGCCCGGATGTGCAGAAGATGATTTATGAGCATGACTGTGTGAAAGATGCAGCGGAGAGGTTTGACCAAATCTTTGAAAGGCTGGTTGCGGATAGCAGGGACACGACGAATGGGTCGTCGCAAGGCGTGGATGGAGATTAGTCGACGTTGCGGTCCCATTAAGGCGTTTGCTGGCTCATGTGGGAAGGTATTGACTGACGTATTGACTGAGGTCCAGAATGGAATAATTTGGGAGAGTAGCTGCTTGAGTTGCCATACGAGCAGTAAGAACTTACGAACTACTATGCCTTCAGCTTCTGCATCGATGGCCAAAAACTTCACCATTTTACGAAACATTGACACAGAGAATGAGTGGTTGAGGACATGTTCAAGGTGTTTTCCTTTATAAAGTACTTCGTACACGCACCGTCTTCTCAGAGAAAGATCGGAGGCCAGCCCTCCACGTCCCATTGTATCTGTAACCCGCTGTTGAATCATACACGACCTGGGACGGAATAGAGCTGACCGCATCGAACTCCATCATCAATGACTCTCTACCAAACCACAGACAAGTAAGGCTTTTGTGCTCCCCAGTCTGACGCAAGCTGCCTAGGCTGACGATGCATTCGACCAGTCGGACCCACCAGCCGCGATTCGTGAGTGATCAACAGCCGTTCATCCATCCTCCGAGTCCTTCAGTGCAACCGAAGCCGCTAAGGGGAAGCATCACAGTCGCCACGGCTAGTGTAGGCGTCACGGACAAAGTGACAAATCAGGACTGTCTACTTGGCCCCATCTTTCGTGTTTCAATGGCTGTGAGGTTTTGACAGTATCAAACCTCAACCACCTTGTTGTCATCATCGTCTTCGTCCTCGTCATCATCCAGTTCCACCACACGTGGCCCATTTTCGCCCTCAACCTCGTCATCCAGCATCAGCACCTGCACCAGCCGCTCACAGGCCACGCGGACGCCCTCGTCTTTCACACGTAAATGTGTCTCTCGAACCACAGGATAGACCTTGATCTCTCGCATATGGTCACGGCCTTTCCTAGTTGTTGTGAAAATCATCAACGTCTCCACATGGGTTTGTATGATGGTTGGGTCGGTCTCCCGTTCCTTGTCTGGGGGCAGAAGCTGTAGCTCTGGAAGCATCTCCAGCATCTCCTCGGGGTCGTAGTCTTCGCTCCCCATGATCGGCAACAGTATGTATGGGAGGATGTGTATCTCGTCTTCAGAGAAGAAAGAAGGGTGTGACGCAACATCAAAGGCGACGTTCTTGATGGCGCTCGCTACTCCTTTCCGTCGGATCTCGGATTTGTGCTCTGTGAAGACCTTCAGCTTGGTCAACGGGATCACATCGTCGTATCCTTGTCTCGTGACAAAGTACTGTCTGACCTCGGCGTGCTTGGCCAGGTCTGCAAAAAGGTACGCCAGATAGTCGTAGTCGGCGTCCTTGTTGTAGGATTTATCCGCGCCCTTGACAAAGAGATCCACGAGCTGGTTCATCACGAGCTCATCCGACCCGAGCGACTCTGGTGCCTTCTGTTTCCGATCCAGGATATTCTTGAGCCCGTCCCATTTTGCCAGATTCGCTAACAGCATGGCAAATAAATTCGCATTTGGTTCAGACGGGTTCTGCGAAACAAAGTAATAAAAAAAGGTCTTGCGTTAGTCGAGTCCGCTTGATCTTCGAACACCCTCACACTCCGCAGTCTTAGGATATTGGTATCTGTTATGGAAGAGATCGTACCACTATACGGGTAAAAATGACGGCGAGGAATCTGTCATCTGATGCCAAATATTCAAGAATCTGGGTATCTGCAGCCAGATTCACAAGTATAGTCAAGGCATGTTGGGCGATTTGCTGGTGTTCCCGTCAGCATCTGGACTTCTAAAGGTTGTTGGGCCACAACACGTACTGGCCTGTCCTGCACCAAGACCTTAAGATTGCGAATTGGTAATAATTCATTGATCTTGAAGATTGACGGTTGTGATGCTGAATACGGGACTAAATTCTCGATGGCAACCGCTCGGATTCGAGGATCCGGGCTGGCGATGAAGCCCACAAGCTGTGTTTCTTCGTCAGGCACTCTCTTACAAACTCAAAGCTTATGAAAATACACAAACCTCTTCAAGTTCTGAAGGCATTATGAAAACTATGAGAAATGTATGGGGATAGAGGGTGGGAGAAGTATAAAAAAAAAATAGATAGATCGGGACTGAGGTATGTATAATATGTTCTCAATGAAAAAGATCGCCAACTATTATTGTATGTATAACTTTTTGATGGCCCTCTCTACAGTAGGTTCAGCATGTGATTGGTGGGGCCCTTTTTTTGGGCAGCGCCTGCAGTGAACTGAAATCAAAATTTCAGCGGTTGGGCGGGGCTTATCGATAAGGCAGGCCCAAATTATTTCCAGCGACAAGAACTAGTCAGTCAACAGAAAAGTCGTGAAACTTTGGGGCAAACTCAAGCAGCTTTTCCTGGTATCCTTATTAACGACTTGTCTGCAACTCTCTCTCTCCAGCTTCTTGAGAACCGTATAAAACACACCTCATCTCAATCATTGCAGCGAGTGCAGGCACACAAAATACCATGCCAAAAGCCTCTGCTTCCACGTCACGGGACGGCCGCCGCCACAACCCTCTCGAGGCCGACATTCTCGGTGGCAGCGGGATCCTGCGATCAGGCAAGCCGGGGAAGAAATCCAAGTCGAAATCCGAGAAGGAAGAAGAGCACTACGTCAACTCGAAACAGTCTGCAGCCATCCTGCAGCTCGGCCGAGAGCTCGCAGACGAGGACGAGGAGGGCAAGGCCGTCGCAGAACCACAGAAGAGCGCGTTCGACATCGACTCGAGGTTTGCGCCAGGCGAGCAAGAGCAGACCGGCCGTGCGGACGACGATGACGAAGACGGGGAGGCATGGGGCGACGACGAGGAGGACATCGAACTTGATGAGGCCGACATAGCACCCGAGGATTTGGCGACATTCAACAAGTTTTGGTCTGCCGACGAGGAGGAGGACCCGTTATTGAAGCATGGCTTCTGGGACAGAAGACCTGATGACAGTGAAGGGCAACAACAACAACAAGGTGGAACCAACTTGGCCGACCTGATTATGGAGAGAATCCAACAGTTTGAGTCAAGTGGAGGGCAACGGCAAGAAATGGGCGGAATGGATGAGTTCCCCGAGGAGGATCTGCCTCCAAAGGTCATCGAGGTCTATGCGAAGTGAGTCGCACCCATACATCATTATTCTTCTTCCTTTTTTTTTTTTCGCCTCTCGTATGGGAGACAAACTGACATTCTGGATAGGTGCGGAATGATCCTGAGCAGATGGAAGAGCGGACCCCTGCCGAAGCCCATCAAGATCCTGCCGACAGTACCTGACTGGGAGAGAATCATCGAAGTCGCACAGCCCGACAACTGGACGCCCAATGCCATTTTCGCCGTCACCAGAATCTTCACATCCTCAAAACCTGCGGTAGTCCAGCGATGGCTCGAGATGGTTGTGTTGCCTCGGGTCCGGGATGACATCTACGAGAACAAGAAGCTCAACGTGCACCTCTACAACTCTCTCAAGAAGAGCTTGTACAAGCCTTCTGCCTTCTTCAAGGGCGTCTTGTTCGCACTTATCGAGTCTGGCACGTGCACGCTGCGTGAGGCCCACATCGTCTCCTCCGTCATGGCGCGGGTCTCGATACCTGTCCTGCACTCTGCAGCCGGGCTGAAGGGTCTCTGCGACCTGGCTGCCCAGCAGGCCTCCAATGGCGAATCCGCAGCTAGCACAAACGTGTTTATCAAGACGCTGCTCGACAAGGGCTTGGCACTGCCCTACCAGGTTATTGATGCTTTGGTGTTCTTCTTCCTGCGCTTCCGGTCCGTCGATCCCGCCGCTGTCAAGGAAGCGGAGGCCATGGACCGGCCGTCGTGGGACAAGATCGGACGACAATTGCCAGTGCTATGGCACCAGTGCCTGCTGAGCTTCGCGCAGAGATATCGAAACGACATCAACGAGGACCAGCGAGAGGTAGGTCGTCTGTTTTCTTCTTCTTTCTTCCTTCTTACGAATGAAAGAACCTGTGTTGACTATTAGTTGCGTGCTAACTTTTTTTTTCCCAGGCCTTGCTAGACTTGTTGCTCACACACGGCCATTCGGCCATTGGACCCGAGATAAGGCGGGAATTGATTGCAGGTCGTGGTAGAGGTGTGCCTGTTGAGCCACAGGGGCAAGCTTTCGACGGTGATGATACGATGCAGGTAGATTGAGCTCGGCCAAAGTAAGGCAATGGTTCGTCCTGCAAAGAGATACCCGCATCGAGTCGTGAGAACAATCCATCATCGCCAAGTCGGAATGGGAGTAAGGAGAAAAGGCGTTTGTTTTTCTCTTCTTTTTTCTCTCTCTAGAGCGGCATGAAGCGGCGTCAAAAAGAATAGTTGACTGTGCTATGATCTCAGAATTACATCTTGTCTTCGGCATCTCGTTGTACCGTGTAATAGAATAGTAGAAGCTGAGTGCAGATCGTTTCATACACCATTGCAATGTTCGCGCGGGTCAATTTCGAAATGCAATAGGAAAAAAAAAAATATCAGCTGGGAGAGAAGTAACATCGGTATCTGCTGTCCCCGTAGGCCTCCCAAGTGTATTTACTTCTCGCTCTGGAATGACCACTCTCCTCCACACTGTACCAATCACTTGGACTTGAGGAAGTGCAACTGAATTTAAAGAGGCATAAGCTTCAGTGTATTCCTCCAAAAGGCTTGATCAACCGTTCGATCAAAGCTCATCTTAGAAATTATGTCGGGTTAAAACGACTATGCTCTTGGTTCTCTTTGCATCAACGAACTCCCATGCTCTTGCAAACATCCTAATGCTTGATGCGGAACTTAAGTATCGAAACTTCCTTCGCCGAAATTCTTCCCCCCTCATCTGTAGGCATCTCTTGACACGGTATCGACATAGACCACCCCGTCGTCTTCACCCCTGGCATCTTGCCCGCTATGAGCGGGTCGTGCCTCATACTCAGGCCACTGACGCACATACTGCGGTTGCTGCGGAGGCGGAGGAGGAGCCATTGGGCGCACACTGTACGCGCGAGGCGGAGGCAGCCGTTCATCCAGTACGATTGATGAACCATAATCACCAGTTACGTGCTCTGGCCGTACGCTCGACATCCGAACCCCCTCAGGCCGCGTGGATGCTTCCGGCCGCACAGTGGTGGACCGCACGATGTATTCTCGTGGTGGATCACCCATCGGCGGTCGGGGCTCTTGTGTAGCCCGCAGCCCGTAAAATTCAGCGCTCGGTTGACTGGAAGGCTGGGCGGGGTAGTCACGTTCGCGGTAGTAGCGGTACTCGGGCGCATACTCTGAACGTGTGATAATTCGTCGTGTGGTGGTGTACCCAGCTGAAGAAGCCGGGTTTCGGTAGACGAGTTCATCATCATAGCGGCTCGGTCCTGGCAAGGTGGATGCTGCACGAAGGGGATGCCCTCGCTCGTAAACAATCTCAGGCTCACCGTAGACACTTGCGGGGGCGACAGAACGCCGAATGACTCTTGTCGTGGTCCTGTTAGGGTCATAGTAGTCGTCCCTATCCTCGTACACCGGTCGAGGGGCAACTGAGCGCCGAATAATGACCGACTCCTGTCTCGAAGACGGGTCAATGTACTCACGACCGAATTCATCAACCACCACCCTCGAAGCAGGCATCTGCGGGGGCCTCATCACAGGTTGCGGCCGTTCGTCGATGAGAATCGGTGAGCGTGATCGATCACGATCAGCAACCGGCCGCACGATTGTACGTGGCGGATCTCGAGCCTCTTGAAATGCGAGTGGTCGGTCCACACCCGCACGGGAAACTGATCTGAAGGTTCTCACCTCACCTGATGCGTAAGGATGAGGCTGTGCGCCAGGCGAGATACGCCGCACATACCGCACCGGCTCGACTGGGCGAACGTCCTCGCGATACTGTTGCTCGTATCTAGGCGATTCCGTTATTGTGAGGATTTGAGCATCCTGGCGAGCACGCGGCCCCAGTGGACTACCATACGCAGAGCCCCTATCGCTTCTGTACCTGGAATAGCTAGATGCATGAGGGCTCTCCACAACTTCCTCAACGCGTGGCTCATCGAAAATTTGCTCTTGGCCTGGTCGCGGTGCCTGCCTCACGCGTTTGGCGGGTCTGGAATACTGTGGAGCTGTCAGAGGAGATGGTGAACGAGGCTCAGCTTTGATAGCTGGAGATGCTACCGCCGCCGCCGCGTTGTTCGCGACCGTGCGGTCAGCCTTTCTCTTTTTGCCCTTTTTATTCTTCTTATTGGGCCTGCCCTGTGGCGAGCTCTCAGGACTGGAACCGTTAGAGCGGTCGTTTCTAAGCGCTGCAACTTGTGCGGGAGTTGCTTGAGCCGATAGAGCATCTTGCGGGAGGGCTGGAGGCCGATGAGCATGTGCCAGAGGGGAGACATGAGCAGGCTGAGGAGCCAATGGAGAGAGGTTATGTGCACGGAGGATCGGAGAGCGACGGCGGCCAAAGGCTTGCTCGATGAGCTGGCCAGTGGCAGACTCCAAACGGCCCTGCGAGCTGTACTGCTTTCCATCTGCCAGTCCCGAGTCTCTCGAACTGTTTGCCTCTTCACTGTCCTGGGACGAGATTATTTCCATGGGCACGCTAGCTGCCTCTTGCGCCATTGCCATCCCGTCAATTGGCTGACTCCTCCCATCGAGTGTGATGGGCCTTGTACGGTCGTCGAGGGTCGGCTCGAAGACGCGAGGATGGCGAAGCCGCTGCGCTTCGGAGGTATTGACACTCGGGCCTGCAGGGACTGGCATGGCTACCACGGGCGGCTGGACAGGCACTGGGCTGGCTTCCATGACCATCGGTGGTTCATAGTGAGATTCCTCGCGCGCCTGCTGCGCTGCGTCAGACTCGTCAGGGTCGGGGATGCGGTGTGTAAGATGGGACTCTGGAGTATCGTGTTTGCTAGAGTAGAAGGTGCTGTCATCACCAATGGAATCGCTATCCGCGCCACTTGCGTTAGCTGTTAAATTTGCATCAGTCTGTAGTGGAGCAGATGATTGAACCAGCTGCAGGGCCTTCATCAGGACCTCGGCGAGGTCGAAATCAGCAAGCGCATCGTCACTATGCGATGCTTTGGCTGCGACACGTTGCTGCTGGACTTGGTCATTCAAAGCACGCTCGAGATGCTTCCTTTGAATCTGGAGCTCAGCCTTGATCAGGTCCTCAGACTTTGTCAGCAGTACGGGGTCGAATTGCGCAGTCGCTGCATTCTCGCTGGGACGTGCCGCATCCCTGGCCTTGGGACCAGCTGGAACGCCAGACATGCTACTCGAAAGATTCGACGGCAGCTCGACGCCTGGCAGACGCGCAGGAGTTGGGTTGGTCGCGGACGCCACAGTATGCTGCGCGTTCGAATTGAAGGAACGATGGTTGTCTGTGACCTGGGCGCCGTTGACCTTGGCGGTCCACGCCTTCGGGCCCCTTGGGGCGTTTGGTACTGACACGACGGGGCCAGACGAAGCTGCAGTAGACGTGGACGCGGGACTTTGAGGCTCGCTGTTCTGTATCGAGGCGAGTCGATACGCCGGCGCCTTGATCCTCGGGTGCGTCCCTGACAACACCTCATCTTGAAACCGAATAATTCTCTTGCATCCCTCAATCTGTTGCTTCTCGTGCTCTGTCAGAGTGCTCGTGAGCCCAAGGGCTACACTCGGCGCCGGAACTGACTGCAGAGCCGCAGTCAGACCTTGAGCCATCGTGACCAAGCAAGGAGACGCCGGAACTGGATCCTGCCAACTCTTTCCGTCCTCAGCGTCACGGTACAGGTATGCACAGGGCTTTCAGGATTGTTAGCAACGTGGAGCGTGAGCTCGAGAATCCCGTGCTAGTATACAATGCGACAAAGAAAAGACGGCAGCGGTGTGTTGCTCGCCTACAACGAGAGGATGACGGGTTGTCGCGATGGTTCAGGAGCGGATCTGCGTAGCGCCGAGCCAACATTGCAGAAGTATTTCCTCTAGTTACAGGGGTTATTGCTGAGTCACACCGGCCAATAGCAGCTTCACCCCATCCCACTCTTTCACTCACCACTTTAGATGGGTTCTTGTATATATTGTGACGACTTTCCCTGGTCCTAATTTTCTTGCCCCTCCTACTTTTCTTTTCTCTCTGCTTCATTACTCCCATATCTAGGACAAAGAACTTTGGTCACTGTGATTGAAGGCGCGAATCTTTCTGAGTCCTGCCTGCTTCCGAAGATCCGAAGACGGCGTATATCTAGAAGGCTGCTGTGAAGGTGCAAGTCTAATTCGAGCTCCTACAGTAGCCGTCATAGCAACGACAGCAAGATAACGTACCTTACCCAACATTCATCGGACTTGGAGGTCACGTTATCATCTCAACCTGATACGAGCATGGCGTCAACATCTCCAGACCCTACGGCAAATGGGACTTCATCTCCAAAGCAAGTCTTCTTTTTGTAAGTGAGGTCTTATTACCGTGTCCTGTAGATCATGCCCCATCTGACAATGTACACAGCGACATAGACAATTGTCTATACCCAAAAAGCAAGTTTCATCGACGATTCTCTCACCTACGAGACTAACATTGGACCAGGCGCAAAAGTCCATGACCGCATGGCCGATCTGATAGACAAGTACTTCCAGAAGCATCTCAATCTACCACTAGAGGAAGCCACACGCCTTCACAATGAGTACTACCAGACGTACGGCCTTGCCATCGAGGGTCTTGTCCGTCACCACGATATCGACCCGCTTGAGTACAACTCTAATGTTGACGACGCTCTACCGTTAGAGGGCATCATCAAGCCGAGGCCTGAGCTGAAGAAGCTGCTCGACGATATTGACAGGAGCAAGGTCAGACTCTGGCTATTCACCAACGCTTACGTCAATCACGCCAAGAGAGTCGTGCGTCTGCTAGGAATTGAGGACAATTTTGATGGTGTCACATATTGTGACTACTCGTCCGTGCCGTTTGTATGTAAGCCGCACAAGGATGCGTATGTGAAGGCTATGAGCGAGGCGGGCGTGGAAAATTGGGGCGACTGCTACTTTGTGGGTGAGTATAAACACTCTTTACTTGCGTTTCTCATAGTTCCTCCGCTGACCGTCACGTTAGATGACAACTACAACAACTGCGTCAAGGCTCAGGAGCTGGGATGGACCGCAGCTCACTTGGTGGAAGATGATGCGCCTGTACCGAAGAAGCAAGCCTCTCAGTACCAGATCAGGCATCTGGAAGATCTTAGAAGTGTCTTTCCACAGTTCTTCAAAGTCAGGTTAGAGGATAAGTAGACTAGAGTAAATATTCGGAAAGATAGAAACACCTGGCGACAGGATTTCGTAATAGAAGATTGCCTATTCAAAGTCTGAATCAGGAGAAACAACTTTTCCTCGCCTACAGGCATTCATTCATATTGATGGCCATCATCATGAGCTCGGGCCCAAACTGAAACGTACTGGAGCGTTACGAGTGGCGTACTGCCATCAAAACAGGTCTTTCTTCGTTTATTTTTTGTGACGGCCTTTTAAGTCTGTCTGGGTATCAACACCACGAAAACGCCGGATAAATTTCTTGACCAGATCCTCAAACGCCGTTCAGAAAGCAAGAATCTTCCTCCTTCTCATAGTCGTGCCAGAAACCACAACCATGTGCCCGCGAACTTCAAGGCCTTGTTGCACCCCTCACGACCTGGTCCAGCTTCGCCTCCACTACCCGCATCTCGCGGATCGCCTCTTGTCTCTGAGCCTCCGCGACCCTGAGCTCCTCCTCCAGCTCTCGAATATACCGCTCCTGGTCCTGTGCGTTGTTCTCGAGGCCCGGAAGCGTTGATATTATCATCTCGATCTGCTGGACTTTTGTGATCAGGTCGCGCGCTAGCTCGAGCTGTCCGGCCTTGAACTCGTCTTCTGGGAGCGGTTCGATCTCTTTCGCATCCTGCTCGGCCTTGACATCCTGGATCTTATCATTGGGCCCGAGGAGCGCTCGGTCGTGGTGCTGGTGGAGGAAGTGGATGCAGGCGACAAACTGCTTTGCTAGCTGGGGAGAGGTCAGCGGGGATTCAAGAGGGCAGGACGGGGGGTTGCAAAGGGAAAGAAGAAAGGAACGGAGAGGGGGCTTGCCTGATCGACTGCATCCTGCAGCTGAGTTAATCGGTCACTCATTTTATCTTGCTCTACAAGAATGAAGCAAAATCATAAAGTGAGAGTGTTGGGTGGTTGTCCAGTTTTGGTCGAAGGACAAAGATGTTCAAGACGTCGATCAGGGTCGCCTCTTATCTCCGACGTTACTGACATAGTACTGTACCATAGTACTGTAGCGAGCGGCCCAAGCTCCCCCTCAGCTGCAGCGATCTACAGTGCAAGTGACAGGGATCCTCGACTGCACGTAAAAGGCGACGCGCATGATTGCAACCCTTTGCACCGTTTCTCTCAATATCCAACATGACACGGTGATGCAATCCATTGTACGTCATGGGCTGAAGCCTCATTGGCGACTGTCAACGACGACAGGACACTTTTTAAGCACTAAACACTTCTCTCGAGCACCATGGAGCACCACAAGGTTGAGCTCATCAACCGCCAACTTGATCTACCCTGAGCCACCAACCACCAACCACCATGACCTACCGTCATTTCTTGCATACGCTGAACGGTCAGGGTTAGACCCCAAGACCACGCTCTACGTGGGAACCCATTACGAGTACACGGTCGCGCAGGTCCTTTCCAGGTACGGCTTCTACCTACGGAGAATAGGCGGCCACTCAGACTACGGCACCGACCTGCTGGGGACGTGGACCGTGCCGTGCTCAGAGGAGCCGCTGAAGGTCCTAGTCCAGTGCAAAGCCATCGCGAGGAAGTCTGCGCCCAACTTGATACGCGAGCTCGAGGGCGCCTTCGTCGGTGCGCCTGTCGGGTGGAAGGGACACGGCGTCCTGGGCATATTCGTCACCGAGAACCCAGCCACGAAGGGCGTGAGGGACTCGCTTGGGCGGAGCCGGTGGCCCATGGGGTTTGTGTCGTGTACCAGGGATGGACGGATTCAACAGATGTTATGGAACCAAAGGGCCGAGGAAGAAGGTCTCCAGGGCCTAGGGGTGGGCATGCGCTATGCCGGCGAGGACGGAGAGCCGCAGTTGTTGTTGACATGGAAGGGCCAGCACGTTGCCCTTCAATAGGAGGGCCTGCGGCTAAGTGACATATGCGGCAGTAGTAAACCAAGACGCAAGAGTCAACTGGATATACACCGCATTGGAAGACGACATATTCTTCTTAATCTATGTCATGCGGCCCGCTTCTACCATGAAAACTCTTGACTCTTCGCACTACGACTAGGAATGTAAGGTGTGCCACGATGAGATGCCCATGCTTACAAAACTACCCTATAGACAATGATCCTTCATACATGCGCAAAAGAAATTGCATCTAGCATACAGTAATCTGTGCCAAGAAAGTATGGCCTACCATGGCGTAAGCACTTGTATCATGTCCTCACCAAAACTGGGATACCCACATATACGCTGGGTCCTCAGTCATCCCACATGGCCGCCTTTGCCTTCGCAGCCTCTTCCTCCTTCCTCTTCTCTGCTGCCTTCTGCTCATCTCTCCTTTTGCGCTCCTTCTCCTGGATTGCCTTCTGATACGCTCTCTGCTCTTCAGTCATCTTAGGAGCCTTGAGGCCCAGAGCTCCGGCGATCATCCTCCTCGCGACGGCATCTGTCTTCTCCGGGCGCGACGCCGAGGCGCTGGGTACATCTAACGTCGACCGAGCCCCACCTGATGTTGTGGCATTTGGTGGTGCCTGGTCATACATGGTAGGCGATATTGGTGTCGGTGGCGGCGCTGCCGTACCCTGAGAGGGACCCGGTGAGAGCTGGGCGGGCCATTCGGACTCTGTCTCGGTGTCCGATTCCGATGAGACGTCCTCGTCATCCCAGGACTCGGCTACCTTTTGCTCCTTGGACTTTGTCTTGGTGTTTGTCTTGTTTGGGTTCGATGTAGTGAGCGACAGTTTTGATCCTGCCGAAGACATATCCGACGAAGCTGCTGTGGAAGACATTGTTGTAGGTGATGGGCCAAAGAGGTTGGAAGAAGTATCGTCGAGATGATTTAAACTCCAAGGCGGACGTCTTATATAAGAAGGGATCCTCGGTCTTTCATTCCCTGATAGGATTTTGGGGTTGTTACAGGTATATATATGTGTGCATATATAAATAAATACCAGTGTGTCAATCGCGTGACTGTATTTCCGAGTGAGAAGAGCAAGGATAGTGTCTCGCTTGGGCGTTGGAATATAGATGGAGTGAAACCTGATGACCCTCCTAAATAAAAGTGACGAAGCCAGATATAGGTGTTGGAGACTCTCCAAACTCACTTTGTATATTAACAAAGCTTAGGTGTTCTAGCAACGAAGTCGTTGCGGGAGGAGGCTGGGTGTATTTTATATGAGGGGTCCTCATGTCCCCTGCAGTCATACGGAGGCATCGACTGGTTCCAGGTGCGGCTCCTGCACGGTCCCCAGGTTTTTAGCGGGTTCCAGGCCCCTCCACCCCTAGAGCCTTCCGCCGGTGCCGTGGCAGGCAGAGCAGAGCTCGAGAATGCCGAGGGCACCTTTTCCTAGGCGGTGACGCTATGTATGCTGGTGGAGGGCAGCCGATATCGATGGATGACGCCGAGGATTTTCTGCGGTGCTTGCAATCGCGTGCAGCTTTTGTCATCAATCACCGCTGCGGAGCCTGAGCAACAACCGCCACCGTTGTCGGCGCAATTTAATTCTCCTCTTTATATTTGTCTTGCACTACATTTCTGTTTGTTCATCTTCAACGAGTGCCTGACTCTCGTGCAGTCTCCAGTTTCGATTTGCAAATTTTGTCTCACCCCGTCGTCGAGAAGTTCGGCTTTTGAGCCAGCTTCAACAGGAAGAAGAAGAAAAAAAACCACCCCCTCCACCATGCTTCTCCGACAACGTATCGCAAGACCCCTTACACCAGGGTCACTTGTTCGAGGCTCGAACCGGTTCTCTACTACCTCGTCATTATCTTCCTTTCGATATGCACCCGGCCGGTCAACAAGACTACGTCCCTCGCCCCAACCAAACTCGCGTGTGGTGACGGGCCCAGCTTTCTCGACCACCGCGATACATTTCGACAAGAAAGGGAAGGGGTTTTTTGACAACCTGATTGAGCCCCTGTCAGAAGAGGAGGTCAAGGCAAACCTAGAAAAGCAAAGACAGGCCAAAGAGAAGGACATCAGCGAGGCAAAGTCTTCTGGCTCCGATGCCTCCTCCAGCGGCGAGGGCAAGTCAGACCAGGCGGATGCGAAGGGCAGCGCTGCTTCTGGCGGGGCGGGGTCCGGATCTGGCAGCGATGGATCAGGAGATGGCGGCCGAAAAGGAAGGAGGTCAGAACGTGCATTACAAAAGCCAACCGTGCCAGAGGTATATCCTCAGGTGCTGGCAATCCCCATTGCGAAGCGACCACTGTTCCCTGGATTCTACAAGGCGATTACTATTAAGGATCCCAATGTCGCAGCGGCCGTCACGGATATGATCAAAAGGGGCCAGCCATATGTCGGAGCGTTCTTGTTCAAGGACGAGAACGCCGACGAGGATGTGATACATAACGTGGATGACGTGTACGATACGGGTGTGTTTGCCCAGATCACCAGCGCGTTTCCTGTGCATGGCGAGCAGAATAGCTTGACAGCTATTCTCTACCCCCACCGGCGCATCAAGCTATCGACTCTTATTCCTCCTGGCCAGGCCGACGCCAAGAAGTCAGACGCCGAGGTGCCAACGCCCGAGCCAATACCGCCAAAAGCTGCAGAGGAAGATGCAGCAGCGTCTGACAAGAAGGGCGATGTTGTGGCAAGCTTTGAAGAGAGCGCCGTCGCCAGTAAGTCTGAAGGGAGCCAGGAGAAATACGAACCCACCTCGTTCTTGCGAAAATACCCTGTCAGCCTCGTCAATGTCGAGAACCTGACAGAAGAGCCGTATGACCCAAAGAGCTCCATCATCCGAGCTGTCACAAACGAAATCGTCAATGTTTTCAAGGAGGTCGCACAGATGAACAGCCTGTTCAGGGACCAGATCTCCACCTTCTCTATGAGCCAGTCTACGGGCAACGTCACAGCTGAGCCCGCGAAGCTCGCCGATTTCGCTGCTGCCGTTAGCGCTGGCGACTCTGCAGAGCTCCAAGAGGTCCTGTCCAGCTTGAATGTCGAGGACAGGATGCAGAAGGCCCTGGTTGTTTTGAAGAAGGAGCTTATGAATGCCCAGCTGCAGTCGAAAATCACCAAGGACGTCGAAAGCAAGATCACCAAGAGACAGCGAGAATACTGGCTTATGGAACAGATGAAGGGCATCCGTCGGGAGCTCGGTATTGAGTCCGACGGCAAGGACAAGCTGGTAGAGAAGTTCAAGGAAAAGGCCGACAAGCTGGCGATGCCGGAAGCTGTGCGCAAAGTATTTGACGACGAAATCAACAAACTCGCGCACCTGGAGCCGGCAGCATCCGAGTTCAACGTCACGAGGAACTATCTAGACTGGCTCACACAGATCCCATGGGGTCAGAGGAGCGCCGAGAACTTCGGAATACAGAACGCGATGAAGGTCCTGGATGAAGATCACTATGGTCTCAAGGACGTCAAAGACCGCATACTCGAGTTCATCGCTGTTGGCAAGCTGCGCGGAACCGTCGAAGGCAAGATTCTGTGCTTCGTTGGTCCGCCGGGCGTGGGCAAGACGAGTATCGGCAAGTCCATCGCTCGCGCACTAAACCGCCAGTACTACCGATTCAGTGTTGGCGGTCTTACAGATGTAGCTGAGATCAAGGGACACCGACGGACTTATGTCGGCGCTCTACCAGGTCGTGTCATCCAGGCACTCAAGAAATGCCAAACCGAGAACCCGCTCATCCTGATCGATGAGATCGACAAGATTGGGCGTGGCTACCAAGGGGATCCATCGTCAGCTTTGCTTGAGCTGCTTGACCCCGAGCAAAACAGCTCGTTCCTGGACCACTACATGGACGTGCCGGTTGACCTGTCCAAGGTGTTGTTCGTGTGCACAGCAAACATGACAGACACCATCCCGAGACCACTGCTGGACAGAATGGAGGTGATCAGGCTGTCGGGCTACGTCTCGGATGAGAAGATGGCCATTGCAGAGAAATATTTGTCACCTGCTGCAAAGGAGCTGGCTGGTCTGAAAGATGCGGATGTCCAGCTGTCTGATGAGGCCATCGAAGAGCTCATCAAATCATACTGCCGGGAGTCAGGTGTTCGCAATCTGAAGAAGCAGATCGAAAAAGTCTACAGGAAATCGGCCTTGAAAATTGTGCAGGAGCTTGGTGAAGATGTTCTGGCAGAAGAAAAGGCGCTCACGGACGAGGGCAAAGCGGCTCTGGAGGAGTCTGAGAAGGAGAAGGAGACCGCGCCCAAGGAGCCCGCAACAGCCACGGCCACCGAGCAAGAGACGACCGAGAAGCCGCGTGTGGCGCTCAAGGTCCCGGACAACGTCCACGTCCAGATCGACAAGAGCAACCTCAAGGACTACGTAGGTCCGCCAATATTCACATCGGACCGGCTCTACGACGTCACCCCTCCTGGTGTGACGATGGGACTGGCCTGGACACAGATGGGTGGCGCGGCTATGTACGTTGAGTCAATCCTGCAGTCCACGCTCAAGCCTAGCAGCACGGGCCGACTGGAGATAACGGGTAACCTGAAGACGGTGATGAAGGAGTCATCGACACTTGCCTACTCGTTTGCAAAGAGCTTGTTGGCGAACAATTTCCCAGACAACCGCTTCTTCGATCACGCCAAGATCCATGTACACGTACCGGAAGGCGCTGTGCAGAAGGATGGGCCCTCAGCAGGCGTTACGATGGCGACGTCTCTGTTGTCACTTGCTTTTGACACCCCAGTCGATCCCACGGTCGCCATGACCGGTGAGTTGACACTGACTGGCAAGGTCCTCAGGATAGGAGGGTTGAGAGAGAAAACGGTAGCCGCGCGCCGCGCGGGCTGCAAGACGGTTATCTTCCCTGAGGACAATATGTCTGACTGGCTCGAGCTTCCTGAGGTACGTCACCAAGTGCCCCCTCACTCGGATGACCCAGAATGACAGCAAATATACTGACTACGTCACAGAACATCAAGGAAGGTATCGAAGGCAGGCCAGCAAGCTGGTACGGCGAGATCTTTGATCTCATCTTCCCCAATCTAGACCACGAAAAGGCCAACACAGACAAGGCATCCCAATACAAGGGTCCTGACGGCAAGAAGGAGGCCGAGGACAAGGACAGCAGCAGCAGCAGCGGTAGTGAGAAGAGCGATGATGGCAATTAGAGACAGCTACGTATCCTGCCCGCCCAGCTTAGCTCGGCCCTGGCATCTTCATTCCCACCCATGCGGATTCGGATAGACTTCATGTAGGCGGAGCCATTTTTTACACTTTTTTGTTTTTTTTTTGGGCGGACCGGCGTCTGCACATTTCTTGGTGCCAGGGCTGGTGGTTGACAGGCGGACGGGCACTGTTGGATGAAACGGGAACAACTCACCTCTACACGCGATTTAAAAAAGTCTGTTGTACATTATCACGGGGCAATATGTAGTCGGCTTAGCCGAACGCCCAATTGGGACTTTGAAAGCACTTTGCAATCGAGGCACAACCAAGAAAAAAGAAAACAGAACAGAAAGAAAAGAAAAAAAAGGAGGAAGAGGAGGAAGAAGGAGAATGTGATGAGTCCTTTCCAATACCCTGCACAAGAGAAAAAATGTATAAAATTAGAAGAGTTAGACTTTTTACACAAAAAAAATGAGAAGAGGGAGGGGGGGATCGTCCACGAATTGATCATCTCTCCTCTCGGCAGTGTCTCCGAAGCCAATGTGTGTACAATCGTGTGGACAAGGGACTTTGGTTCCATACATCTTCAACCAGAACTCGTCCCTTGGCCAGAACGGTCCAGGACTGTGTAAGCAACCCTCCCTCCCCCTCAAGCGACTGGCCAAGAATGGCCCCTGGCGTCAAGCCTCGCTCCGAGATGCAGTCTCATCTCCAGGTAATGATAGTATGAGAGTAATATGCCGGAACCCCTTCCATTGGGTTCGCAAGCAGCCGGGTCGCACGGCCTTTTTCCATTTTCTTCCCTGTCGTCTTTGCTTTGCTGCAGGCTGTATGTGTGTGTGTGTGATGGCTGCAGAACTACTGATGCATGCATGCACCCCCAAATCTCACTGCATAATAGTCCTGGTACCTAAAAAAGAAAGCAAGGAGAGCAGAAAAAAGTGATCAGTCAGGTTTAGAGGTACTATGGTACGGTTAACTGTGCGCTAGAGCAGGGATGCCCAATCTCCAGGCGACGTGTCCTGGTGATGAGGTGGTGCTTGTGCTGTTGCTGTGCTGTCGCAGTACCTATGCCTGAGCCTAAAAAAACACTGCAGCGCAGCGGAAGCCCACATCCGTGCTCGCATGGCGGGGTGATGGTGGGATGTTCGCGCGGGGCACCGCGGGGGGGGGGGGGCTCTTACAGCATGATGAAGCATGGCAAGAACTCACAATGCTGAAAAAAAGAAAAAAAGAGGGATTCAAAAAAAAAAAAAAAAAAAAAAAGATACTATTAGTAATCTCTTTTTCTTCAGAGCGCTTCGTGTCTCCTCTCTTACCTGGTAGTATGTCTCACAGAGTCTAGTTGTTGTTCCTGAACCATAAAAAGTAAGCCGGCAAGATTAGCCGTTCGAGAAAGAGAAAGAAAAACAAAGGACACACAAAGACACCCTGATGGGAGCGAACATTCGACAGCAGGGCATCCTTGGGCGGCAGCGCACGCGGGTTGAAGACGATCGCGGGACGTCCCAGCTTAGCGCTGCCGTGCCCAACCGTTGTTTCAGCGGCATGGAATGCCTGTCGAAAAGAGTCAGTGACTGGTGCAAAAGGTAGCAGTTGTCGACGTCTTCTGACAGCAAAGAATGACGGCAAATCTCGAGAACGACCACCAAAAAAAGCTTCCAGGATCGGTGTCGTATTGCATAAACCATCTGAAAAGAAGATAAAGAATACGACGGCACGACAGGATGATGACGGAAGGTGTTCGAGACAGCACCTTGTTCCTCTCCTGGTCGACCGCGAGCCAGTACTTTGTTTGTCAGCCTCATCGTACTACTTCGGCAGGATGACGGTGCTTGTTGTCGTTGATGCCCAAAAGCTGGAGGGTGTCGTAGTTTAAGTCTGTCAATTTGCGGCATCTTTTGGACGGGGCTGTCAGATCATTGGTCGTTCGCTGCGATCTCGGGTCAGAAGTTGGGACGACCTGCATTCCCGGAACGAACCCAGCACAGCCGGAACGTCTGGACAGCCCAGTCAGTGGTCAGGGCTGACAGCATCGATTCGGGCCTCCATGTGGTATGATGTGATGCCTGTCACGATGATGTGTACGCGCAGACTGCGACCTGCGTCCAGCGCGGGGATGAAGAGATTGCCGAAGTAATGGTAACATTTCTTCCCTCTTTCCTGACCCTTCTTTCCCCGGGTGAGCCTTGGCTTCTGTGAGGCCTGTGAGTCGTTGTGGGTCGGACCCAGCATGAACTCTCCAGGCTGACGTCAAATCGTTCACTGCGCACGGGGTCGCTCAAGCTGACAGATGCATCGTGGAGAAAGCCTTCTGTGTATTGGTCCTCTGAGCACCCACCCCACCCACTGCCTCTGTCTAAGCTTTCTGCTTGTGTTGTGCCATCGTGTACTGCATACTATGAAATATTTCTGGACGACGATGGCCATCACCACGACTGCTGCGTGGTCATCAGCACTCATTGGCACCAGTGAATCAATGCCACTGGACCAGGTCATGTCGAAAAATGGGGGTGGAACAAGTCGGCCTCTCCGCCTCCTCCGAATCAGTCTACAAGTGCGTTGCGTGTAGGTGAAGGCGTCTCCGAACCCGCAGTGCCCATCCGGTCCCTCCAGCTTGGGTCTGAGTGGGATCGTGCATACTGCGTCGTCATTGGCCGCTAGCACCGCCGCATTGCATGCCATTGATGAGTTGGCAATTGACCTATCACGGAGCACCTGCCCAAGTAAGGTATGCAACGGAGCTGGGAGGGGGAAAATAGCACGGGAGAAGAAGAAAGGAAAGAGGAAGAAAAACAATCGGATTCCTGACGTTGGCTCTGTGCATGGTAACTTCGGTCATGCAAGAAAGTCCCCTTGGGCACCGAGCGGGAGAATGTAGTAAGAAATGATACCTCAGCGAGTTTCCCCTGCCCCCTAGCCCTAAAGCTTTGGTGCCTTGTCATCGTCAGACCTCGTAATGTTGGACATGGTGAGACATCAAGCTCTCGACCGGTCACAAGGTCGAGAGGGCGGTGAAGCCTGGGGAAGTCTAGTGAGGCTGAAGGGCAAGACCCCGTAAAAACTGGATCCGAAGAGGGAGAAAAATTTGATCAGAAAAAGCGCAGAATATCTTATCAGGGTGAAGATATGCAGGCATCCCCAGATGCACTGCTCGATATAGTGCTCTCATGACGGGTGCACCGACCAGCAGGCTGTCTGTCCCCTTGTGCAAGATCACGGGCCCTGGCAGCACCATTTTCTCCCCTCGAGTCGAACTGGAGGGACCGACCTGGCGAGGATAAAACACACAGTGACGGAGTATTGCCAGCGCATCAAGGGCGAGTGTGCCCGCTCGCGGATCTCCGAAGCATCTCGCATGTGGCTCCTGTTTACCTGTTCGGGGTTGTTGCTGACGACGGTCAGAACCTTGAAGCATTCGTCGTGGAGCTCCCCAGCTACGAGTCAGCCAGTGACAGCTGTGCGGACGTTGCATGGCCATCTATTGACGCTGCAGTTCGTTGCTGAGGCGTGACGATGGCTGCCCTCCTCCTCCGTCTCGTCTCCTCCCTGCTACGCCTGCTAGTACACCTCAAAAATCCAAAGGACAACAAAGACATGCGGTTATCGCATCCACTAAACCTCGCTAGGTACGATCACCGAGACGGAGAATCGATCGATATCGGGCATCATTGACTTTTTTTCTTTCTTTTTTTTTCCTTGTGTGCGAAAAGAAGGCGTGCTTGGGCACTTATACAGAATGGGAGGTATGTGGGGGTAAAGGAGGAAAAGACAGGAAGAGAGAAGAGAAAGTGAAAGAGCTAAGACATTGGATGTGCCAAAGAAGACTGACCCCGAGGCTGTTGAGGCTTCGTGATGGGTCCCCATGGGTCCCCAGTGTCGCTGCACCACGTTGCTTGCCCCTCCACACCTTTACCCTTGCTAGCTCTTTGGGAGGGGTTGAGTGTCTGCCCACTGGCCCATAGCACCTGCAGCTTGGGTCACCTAGTCCAGCCTCCCCCTGCCATCTTTGCCTTGCCCTAGGATAGTGACATCTGCAGGGGTACAAGGATTGAGAAGCATTCAACTTGAAGAACCTCTCTCTCTCTCTCTCTCTTACTCTCACCACCAGTACCAACTGCGACTTTGCTCCTCCCTCCAGATTCCATACATACATGGCCTGACCGCCAGAGTAACACAGCAGTTTTCTTCTCACCTCCATCTCTCAAGGGACCCAACATCCCATCTCTTCTCTTGCCAATGGCTCGTCCGTGCACACTTTAATTCTCAATTTGTCTTCCAGACACCCCCTCTTCTCCTCTTCTTGTTTAATTCTCCCCACTTCTGGTTGTCCCCCGCCACGTTGCTATCACTCACCCTCTGCCTTTGTCGAACAGCAGCAGCACTGAATAGTTTGCTGCTCGGCAGACAACGCTCGCTTCGTTCGGTCTGACATCCACCATGACGGCAGCCCCCTAGTTGTCCTTCGGAAACACTGTCAGCTTGTGATGAGACGACTCTTCCACGGTCAACTTTGACAGGTCCAACACGCCGCAGGTGACGCCAGAGTCCTCGTCTTTTGTCAGCACAGACTTCCCAGATATACACCTTCTCTACTCTCATTCCATCCGTTCTGGGCACGCCCGCTCGGCTAGGCACATCTGAGCTGCTTCTTCTGCTTCTTGGTTGCATGGCACTTTTGGATATGACTTTATAAACTTTTTACAAAGAGAAATATTCCGCATCGGAGGCTTTCGCATGCACTCTCAATGTGGTTGGTCTCCTCCACATCTGCCTCCTCGCTTCTCGCCGTGGTCTCAGCTTCAGGTCTCACGGTCAGGCGAATAGGAGGCAGTATTGGCGCTGAGGGTCGACAGAACGGGCCGACTGAGCGGATAGAGCTCTCCGTATTGTTTGAGACATCCTCCACCCCATCTCATCACCGCGTGCGCCTGGCCGGCGCCTGGCCGGCCATCTCGGTGGCGCAGGTATCACGCCGCCAGCTTGAGGGCTCATGAGCAGCGCCCCTCCCCCTCCTGCCTCCCCAACGAGCTTCATCTTTTCTTCTTCTACCTTCTCGACCGTCACCAAATCTCGCAGCTCTGCTTCCTGAACACGGCTGTCATCAAGTGCTACGGATGCTATGGCTCAAATACAGTCAAGCAAGCCCCTCCCGGTTGCAACGGCGGACTCTCCTTCACAGCAGAGTCTTTGGCGGAAATTGTTTGGACAAGGGAATGGAGCGGCGCCGGGCGAGATGGGCCCTCTTAAGCAGGATGACCAGCCAGGAGACAATGAGCCGCGGCCAGGGCTCATCCGCAGGGTGTCACGGAAGGTCGTGCCTGGCCTGCCCAGGACGCAGACATTCAAGAGGCAGCAAGCCGAGGTTCGCAACAATCTCGAGCCTGTTGAACCGACACCTGCCGAGAGACGCGCCGTGTCTGTCGATAGACGACTTCACACCTCGCAGGTATCTCCTGATGTCTCGTCAAACCCACGAACTAGCGCTCCTGATTTCAACAGAAACAATGTGTTCAACGCAACGGTCTCTGCACCTTCCACCACAGGAAGTGTGTATGAAGAAAAGCTGTTCGACACTATAGGCGAATTCAGTGTGCGCGAGGAAGCGGTTGACGAGGAGGTGCCTGGACAGCCACAAGAGACAGAGTCCTTGCCCGATGATGCGGCGTCCATGACGACCTCTCAGTACGACAACATGATCCACGAGGAGCTGGAGAGGATATGGATCCTCAATCTCTCGATGCATTTCCGGGACAAGTCGAAGAGAGAGAAATTTTTCGTCACATACCGGGAAAACGAAATGCACTGGCGGAGGGTGACAATCTCGCTAGACTATCGCGGTGCGCCGGATAACTCTCTCGAGATGGACCTAATGCATACCAGATTTCAGCGAGACAAAAGCGCCAAAATCTATGAAGCCATCCGGGAAAGCCTCGGTGACATCCAGTTCTACGAGACTGTCACAAACCTCAAGCTCCAGACTACGGATGGGAGATTGCACGTGCATGTAGTTGAAGACGTCAATGTTTGTTTTTACCCCTCCCCTCCCAACCCGTTTTCCCACACAGATCCAAGGCTAATCACAGTCATGGACTAGGAAATCATTCCATACCCTACAGCTCGTATGGTTCAACACTTGATGTGCAGACGAGTCAGGGAGAGTGATATCAAGTTCGAGGCTCATATGTCTGGCTTTGTGTACAAAGTCAGCGTCAATGGCGAGACGTTGATCAAGAAGGAGATTCCTGGGCCCGACACTGTCGATGAGTTTCTTTACGAGATCAACGCCCTCAACCAGCTGTGCACTTCTCGAAATGTCATCCATTTCTACGGAGTCATAGTCGACGATCATGGGCAGCACGTCAAAGGCCTTCTTATCAGCTATGCCGAACAGGGTGCCTTGATCGATGTCATTTATGACCACAACCATGGTCTTCCGTGGATTCGTCGACAAAAATGGGCGCGGCAGATCGTGGAGGGGCTGTCTGAAATCCACGAGGCTGGCTTTGTCCAGGGTGATTTTACACTCTCGAATATTGTCGTAGACCACAACGACGACGCCAAGATTATAGACATCAACCGGCGAGGATGTCCCGTTGGCTGGGAACCACCGGAAGCGACTCCCCTGATCGAAAGCAACCAGCGCATTTCCATGTATATCGGAGTCAAATCGGATCTATATCAGCTTGGGATGGTCTTGTGGGCCTTGGCAGAGCAGGAAGACGAGCCTGAGGCCCAGGGACGCCCACTGATACTGAGCGAGGAGATGGAGCTTCCGAATTGGTACAAGGCAGTCGTCAGACTCTGTCTGGCCGAGAACCCACAACATCGGCTGTCCGCGACCGAGTTGCTGCGGCTTTTCCCATCCTTGCAAGAAGCAGAATTGGACGTCTCTCATGGCCACCAGTCATCGGTGTCTGTTGACGATGGCTTTTCGGTGCAGGACTTTCTGGTTAGTGAGCATGACATTGGCGGCGCTCAAGTGATCAGGACTGTGGATATGCCGTCGGATTGGAACTATAAAACAAGTCCTGGTCATTCTCACCTCGAAGCACCTATCGCCTTCTCGACGGGGCCGTACTACTACCCCTCGAGAGGGCGATCTCCTCCAAGCCCCCTCCCAAACAGCCTTGAATATCGTGGGGCTCGATGGGCTCAGCAAGGAGGTTTTTGGCCGCCTCCGAGTGGTGGGCCCAGCTTCGAGGAGAAGAGGTCACCGCCAGGTCTTGGCTCTGCTCCTGAAGCGACGGTCACGAGCAATCATGAGCAGGAACATGAGCCACACGAAGATGAGCCGTCCCTCACAGATGGCAAGGTACAAAGCCAAGCAGCTCCGGCGGGCCACACGGCGGAAGAGGACTCTGGAGCACCGAAACAAGAAGATCCGGTCATATTGACCGGAGAAGGCGAGAGGCCGCCAGCGGAAGCTCCACAAGACGCGGAAGCCGCTGAATTACCGACAGAACAGCTGGGTGATATGGGTGCGGAAGAGACACAGACTGAAGCGGCTCCTTCACCCGTAACTCCAACACCCGAGGCTGACCACCAGAAGCATGCGGGCACACAGGACGAAACTTCGAGGAGTATGGTAAAAGGCGTTCGGAATTTTTTCTCATCATCAAGCAACAACAACAAAAACACACAACAAAATCCTCTTTTTCAAGAGGCGGGGAACACAGAACCCGCAGCCCCAGGGACCATCGCTCTGGTCCCTCGCGCGGCAGAACTACAGAAACAGAAGAGCGCAAGCACGATCGTGGATACGAGACAGGGCTGGGAGATTGAGAGGGTTGACAGTGCGATCGCAATGAGCTCCCCGGCATCACTGCCAGAGCTGTGGTCGGGGTCCAACCTTTCGGACGATATTTTATGCTTAGGATCTGGCCACGACTACGCAGGCCATGAAGCTGTGGTGCGCAATGGTAAAGCCAATGCCATCACGGATGATGACCTACTGAGTGCTTAATCACGGCAGCGTCAGACTTGGTTGACAGTCACGGCACCAACAGTTCCTAACATCTCCATTTTCTTCTACTTCTTGTTTTTAGTTTTGATTTATTTTTCAATTCCGTTCTTCATGTCCTCTATCTTACCAAGTTTGCTGCATATTGTGTTTGGACTCTTTCTTGTTTTTGGTTCTTCAATATTTTTTTCTGCAAATATTCTCTCGTTCGAAAATGGGGACAACTCAGGAAGCCGTGGAAGATTCAAGAACGGGGGGAAAGGCTAGGTTGGATGGGTTGAGTCTTGTCTGGCAGGGGGAGAAGGCAGTGTGGCTGTGTAGGATTATTGGAGTTGACTGCTGGCGATGGTTTGTGTTATCTCAATCAAGTCTATTAACAAGCATTTGCCTGCTTGATTCCAAAGCCTGGTACTCTTGACCAAACCTACGGGGTGATGCGAGCTACAAGACCAGGTCGAGACCTTCTCAGAAAGGTAGAAACGGGCAAGAGATGAGACCAAGACGCATAGAGAAGAAGACAAGGGAGGGTTCTTTCTTGACAAACGTGACAGGGCATTGATATCTTCCTCATTGCTTGGGGAAGATGCGGGAAAGGATCAGCTGAAGCAAAACATCGTGGGTGCCTGAGCGCATTGACGTGTGAGTGGTGCGTCAGGAGAGCAACGACACGGTTTTTTTTTTGTTTTTTTTTTTGAGATTGCCGAGAGGCTATCACGCAATCATCGTCCCTCCTCTTACAAATCTCTAGCACCTTCAGCAGGACGAATACCTGACTAGGCTGGCCCATTCTTTCTAAGCAAACCTTACATATTAGATGCGGTTCTCAGACTTGCTCCTAATGGAGGGGAAACAGAAGAAAAGGAAGGGGGCAAAAAAAGGGTCGAGAACCCTTACCCACGGAAGGGTCTAAGCTCCCCCTGGTAAACCTTCTCCGGGCTTTTTAGAATGTTTAGGTTCGGCTTGATCTTGACCGGCGGCAGCCGGAGTGGCGTGTGTGAAGGATGAGCTCTCTTCCTTGCTCTCTCGCCCCTAGTCTCTTCTCGTGGCCCCCGGACCTTAGGGGCCTCGAAACGGCCAGGATCATTCAATGCGTCTCTTCCTCTCTTTTTCTTTCCTTTTTTGTTGAGACGGGGGCTGGTGGGGCTTGTCTTGTAAGTGCTAGGCGGACTAACAAATCTTCTGCGTCATAGTGTGACGGGGGGATAGTATGTGTATCTATCTGTACCGGCAGGTTACGGGCGGTGGGGTTTTCTCTCGCAGACTTGGTGGCGATTGCCAAAAAGAAAAGAAAAAAATCAAAAGAAGGATAGAGAAACCCAGAGCTCTCATGGACCACCAATCCGAGGAAGCCGAGGCCTGTCGATCTCGCGGGGTTCACAAATCTGTGACGCCTGGGAAGAAGCCTGGCTGCCCTTATTTGCCACCTGTCACGCCCTACACTACAACAAAACAACTGTCACCCAAGCTTTTTGCTGTGTGTGAAGCATGGAGAGCGATCGTGGAGAATGGATATCCACCAAACTAGTGGCAATACCCATAATACTGTATACTCGGAGCAGATGATACATATGGGCCAGGTGCCACAGCGACGGACGCGTTGAGCGGCTCGTCCCCTAGGTCTGCCTGCTTGCTGACAAAATACTACCGGTAGTGGAACGACGCATTTTCACATGTCAGACGATACTTGGCCTTTTGGTAACATCCAACAATTCTGAAGAGTGTTGACAAGTCTATCCTTGGATCGAGAGGTTACCAGAACGTGGTAGCTAAGCTAATGCAAGCCGGGTGGCTCGTGCCATTTCCAGGGTTTGCTGATGCAGGTACCCTGTACTCTACTATGAAACCCCCACAGACAGACAAACTGGTGTCTGCTTCAGAGATCATCCCGCTACCCATTGCAAATCCAATCTACTATAATAAATGCTGTATTAGTTGGTTCTGTGTATCAACTCTACAGTCCTTGCATCATATTTCCCGATGGTACCGTGGTACAAAGTCAAGCCGGTAGGGCAGAGTCGAAGTTTGGGGGCAGAGCCACAGGGATCATGGTCAGCTCTGAGACAGGGATAGAGGATCTAGCTACGGAGCCAATCAGAGCTCTCCCAACAATTCATTATCCGTTGGGGGAAACCGCATCTCTCTATGCTGTCACAGGAAATTAGTCCTTCCGAATCAGAAACGGGCCATTTGACGTGCAGGGAGGAGAAGGGTGGGAAAAAAAAACAAGAAAACAACAATTCGAGACCGAGGCATGATTATTATGATTCGATGATACGATTATCTGCGCAGATCGGAAGTTGGGGTGGTGGTTGGTCGTTGTCGTTTGGGTGTGAGTGCTGCCATTGGGTTCTGGGGAGGCCAACGAGAACGGATCAGAGAGCTCAACATACCGTCAGAGACATCCAACAAGACTGCAAAATCCGAAAACGACAAGTAGCTCGGATGTACCGCTCACTATGCTGTGTAGCCCAAAAGAGTACCTGATTAGTAGCAGCAATGACTACCATAGAACTACGTATCACTCCCCTGGCTGTTGCCACTGCAAAGACATGGAAAGAAAAAGAAAGCAGGAAAATACAAGATACAAGCGAGCTGATCGACTTCAATTCCAACCTCGGAAGTCCCACCTCGCCCATGTACCTGCCTTCCTTCTCCCCCTCGCAAAGTACCATACTACCCCATATCTCTCTCTCTCTTCTTTCCCTTCGCCCCTCCGCATTACCGGCCCCGTTCCCACAGCAGCCTCCTACTAAATCATTCCACCACCCCTCCCCCCTCCCCCGTTTATTTCCTCTGCCTTCCCTGCAGGCCCAGCCAGGTTTCAAGAAGGCAAGAAGCGAAAGCAAGAGTAAAGAAAAGAAGGAGGAAAAAGAGGATCCGGTCACAACTGCCCAAGGATCTCCGCCTTTCCGAGGACAAGGGTCCACGATTCATCGGGCCACTGCCTCACTCACTACTCCATACGCCCCCACCGTTTTGCCTCCTCCCCCCCCAACAAGAAGACCTTCCTATTAAAAATCCCTTCTAACCCGCACCTGCCTCCATTATCAACTATTTCTTGTTTTCTGCACACAGCAGTTCCTGGCAGTTGTTCTTCCAACTCCAGTCCAACTTCTGAATTGTCACAATTCATCCACCCTTTCCTCTTTCTCAAACCCCCCAGTTGGACAGAGCCGAACACTGGTTGTCACGGACGCCAACATCTGGCTCTATTTTCCTCTTATTTTTTTTTTTCCCCTCCTGCCCACCATGGCCTCCTCGACATCGCCAGCGAGGCAGGCTACCGCCTTTCCTGACGGCACCACCGAGTACAAGCCGCTCCGCAAGACCACCAGCTATGACCCAAAGAAGCCACACATCTCAGAGCTGCCAATGACATGGCAGAACTGGTACAAGCACATCGACTGGCTGAGCACCACCTTCATCATCATCATCCCCATTATGGGCTTCGTTTCCACCTACTGGGTGCCTCTTCAGTTCAAGACCGCCGTCTGGGCCATAGTCTGTGAGTTTGACTCCCACCGTCTCTCGTGCTTGTCCCGATATACTTGCACACCGGCTGACATTCTTTGTCTTTGTAGATTATTTCAACACCGGTCTCGGTATCACCGCAGGCTACCACCGTCTATGGGCTCATCGCTGCTACAAGGCTAGCCTTCCCCTCCGTATTTACCTTGCAGCTGTTGGTGCTGGCGCCATGGAGGGCTCCGCTCGTTGGTGGTCAAAAGGGTGAGTTGTCTCGCCCGCCCTTGGGCGGTGCCATTCCCATATGCATACATATCCATTGTCAACAGATGCTGACCGTTATGAATAGTCATCGTGCACACCACAGATATACCGATACCGAGAAGGATCCCTACTCCGTGAGGAAGGGTCTTCTGTACAGCCACATTGGATGGATGGTCATCAAGCAGAACCCCAAGCGTGCTGGCCGTACCGACATTACCGACCTGAACGAGGATCCTGTCGTCGTCTGGCAGCACAAGCATTTCGTCAAGACCGTCATCTTCATGGCCCTGGTCTTCCCCACCCTGGTTGCTGGAATTGGCTGGGGCGACTGGTTCGGCGGCTACATCTATGCGGGCATCCTGCGCGTCTGCTTTGTCCAGCAGGCCACCTTCTGCGTCAACTCGCTGGCCCACTGGCTCGGCGACCAGCCCTTCGACGACCGAAACAGCCCCCGCGACCACGTCATCACCGCCCTCGTGACTCTCGGTGAGGGTTACCACAACTTCCACCACGAGTTCCCATCCGACTACCGCAACGCCATCGAGTGGTACCAGTACGACCCGACCAAGTGGAGCATCTGGCTGTGGAAGCAGCTCGGCCTCGCCTCCGACCTGAAGACCTTCCGCCAGAACGAGATCGAGAAGGGCAGGCTGCAGCAGCAACAGAAGAAGCTTGATCAGAAGCGTGCCAAGCTCAACTGGGGTGTGCCCCTGGAGCAGCTGCCCGTCATTGACTGGGACGACTTCGTCGAGCAGTCGAAGAACGGCAAGGCCCTCGTCGCTATCGCCGGTGTCATCCACGACGTCGCCGACTTCATCAAGGACCACCCGGGTGGCAAGGCCCTCATTTCCTCAGCCATTGGAAAGGATGCCACCGCCATCTTCAACGGCGGCGTCTACCTGCACTCTAACGCTGCGCACAATCTGCTCAGCACCATGCGCGTTGGTGTCCTTCGTGGAGGCTGCGAGGTTGAGATCTGGAAGCGCGCGCAGATGGAGAACAAGGACGTGTCGTTTGTCAACGACCTTTCCGGTCAGCGGATCATCCGCGCTGGCGGGCAAGTCACGAGGGTGCCAATGCCCGTTGCTAGCGCTGATGCGGCCTAGAAGTTTCCGCCGGGGACAAGGGTTTCTCTGGCTTCACTGCCAGCCTAAACAAGGAGTTTCAATGACTTTAACCTGCAAATCAAATTCTACCAAGCATCGCCGACTTTGGTCGTCACCACTCTTCTTCAGCGTGTCACGACTAAGCGGTCAATTTATTACGAGGCGTTCCCAGGGAAATTTAATGGTCAATGAATGGGTAGGGGGCGTTAGACTTAAGAGAAATAAAAATATATTCTACTTTCATGATCAAATTGGAGCAAAGTATTTCTTTTGATCAGGTACATCGTTCAAGCTCGCTGATAATGACTGATGTATGACGGTACTCAATAGGCAGTGTCATTGAAGGAAAAAGATGGTCAACTTGGTGCAAATAAGCGTGCCAGTAGACCTATCAACTAACTCCTCAATTCTCACACTGCTAAAAGTTAAATACGCTTGCGTGGTTGAGGAGGCTCGAGCATATCCTCGGCTTGTGTTAAAGGTTCTCCTTTCGTGGATTGATCTAGTCTCAGTTTCCATTTCTAACCCTTCTTATGGAGGCTTTGTGGCAAACTCCACATGAGGTCTGCATCTCATCCAGCCATGCAGCCATTTTTCCAGGAACGGCCACAAAACGCATCACACACAGCTTGCAGTGCTGGGTAGGCCTGTCGATCAATTGAGGATCGTCCAGCCTGCCCAGCATGGTATCAATCAAAATCAAAGTATCCCGACCCAACCGACCTCCCAATCCGAACCACCATGAACGGGGGTTGATGCAAATAAAAAAGCCTCGCCGGGCTTCATGAGGAGAGAAATGGATGAGGGAACCAAAAGATCCTCCAAAGGAAAAAAACAGACCACTGGACGTAAAATCCCATGAAAACCGTAGAGATTAACGAGGAAGTTCCTTCAACTTGACCATCGGAGATGCCAAGTATCTAAATGACCAGGCCCCGCACAAGGAAGTCCTTTCGTCTTGCAGAACTTTGCAATAGGCCCAGAACAGTTGTCCTCTGCCAATATCCATCAAACCGTGGCCGTCCCAAACACCTTGATAAATGCCAGATGGTCTGGAGAGAAACCACCAATCCCATGCGAGCGATCTCTGATCATGTTGCTGAGCCTGATAGCGTGGAAGAGAAAGAGAGTGAAAAGAAAAAGTTAAGAAAAAAAAAAGAGTTCAATCTTTACAGCTTGGAACCCTTCTCAAACAGGCTGCGCAGATCCATCAGTCTCTGTTTTGCCGCCTCTGCCTTGGTGAGATAACCGCCGGCGTCGCCCTTGTCGCGGTCCATGCTGAGGGATGCCAGCTTCATTTTCTTCTCCTGCAGCTCGCGCATCTTCTCCTCGAAACTGTCGTCCATCAGCATGCGGACACAGTGGACCTCGCGCTTCTGTCCGAGGCGGTGCACACGATCGATAGCCTGCGCCTCTGCTGCGGGGTTGAAGAGCGGCTCCATGATGTAGACAGAGTTGCCGGCAGTAAGGTTGAGCCCCAGACCGCCTGCGGTGATAGATACCAAGATGATCTGCACGTTCGGGTCCTCACGGAAACTGTCCATGGCACGAGTGCGGCCGATCCGTGTCATCTTGCCGTCGAGGCGAACGTAGGAAATGCCTTCTACGTCCAAGGCCTTCTGAATGAGGTCCAGATTGGTGGTCCACTGGGAGAATACCACAGACTTGTAGGGGGGCTCGTGAGGGTTGGCAATGCTCTTCGCCTTCCAGCTGTGGAGCTCTTGTATGAGATACTTGACCTTTGTGTTGGGACCAGAATATTCTCGGGGCATCTTTCCGGCGACCTTGCCATTGTTTCCTTCCGAATGGGCCTCGTGCTCTTGGTCGGCCTTGGTCAAACGGAGTGCGACGGTGCTCAGGACGGGGGCTCCGCAGGGGCAGAGGCCTTGAAAGTTGCCGATGCACGATGGGCAGAGCAAGTGATAGCAAGGCGTCATGTAGCCCATGACCTCCTCCTGGCGCTCTGACTCGATCTCCGAACCCTCCTTAGGCCCAAGCTTCTGACTGCATATTATGCAGTTGTCACCATTGGCATCCTGCATCAGGTTGAACATGTCGTAAGCCTTACTCTCCGTAAGGGCAGGCTTCTCATCGTCTTCGTCGCTATCGATGTCGATGGGTGCCTCGGAGCTCGAGCCCTCGAGCAGGTGCAAGTCATCCTCACTCATGAGGTCCTTGCCGCCAGAGCAGAACAGGCGTAGCCGAAGGATGGCCTGGAGGATGTGTATGTACGTCTTGCCGCCGACCATGCGTTCGCGTTGACCAGTAATCACGCTCACACGAAGCTGCGCATCCTTCTGGAAGGCCTCGTACATGCGGCGCTCCTCGGCCGAGAACTGTAGCTTGACGATCTGGTCGTGACGCTTTGGCAGGTCGATCTTGTCTTTCATACGACGCAAGGTGATGGTGTCGACCAGAAGCCGAAGCTTGGGTATGATGCCTGTGTCGCACATCTTGAAAGGCGTGACGATGTATTGGTTGAACATGCTCCGGTCGTGGAAAGGCTTGACCCGCAGAAAGGCGAGGAGAGAGGCGAGATCTTCAAGTTTGTTCTGGACCGGCGTACCAGTCACGGCCCAGCGTCGGCTGGCGTTGAGGCGGTAAATGGCCTTGAACTGGAGGGTAGACTGCTCTCGAATCATATGTGCCTCGTCGAGGACAATGCGAAACCAGCCAATCTCCTCAAGCGGGTGAGGGCCACGCTTGTTTGCGGAGCGAGCGCTGAGCTCGCTCGAGACAGACCCGTAGGTGGTGATGACCAAGTCATAGGTCGCCAGCTGGTTGAGATCCTTGATGCGGTGCGGGCCGTGGTAGATGTGGTAGGTCAGGCCTCCAGGTCGTATGTGCTGCTTGATCTGCTCCTCCCAGTTGGTGATCGTACTGAGGGGGCAGACAAGCAGGGTGCCCTTGGAGTTTCTCTTCACTGTGGTCAGCCCGAGACCGCCAGGCTTGGGCGGCGCAAAAGGGTTCTGCGGCTGGGGCTGCTCAGTAGTCTCTGGGAGCGCAGGCTCTGTACGCGCCCAGTCATACGCGTCAGGCACAGTAGAGGCAACCAGGGACAGAATGCTCAGAGTCTTGCCTAGGCCCATCATGTCGGCCAGGATACCACCGAGGGGTTTGGTAGGGGGCTCGTGGTAGTGCTTGCTGGCGATGATGTTGTAGTATGTGACTTGGCCGCGGAAGGCGCTCGTCTTCTTCCACAGCGGGTCCATAGCCGTCTCTGCGGGGTCCTCACGGCCTTTCATGAAGTGCAGTGCCTGCTTCTGATGCGGCAGGAGCGGCGTTGTGATGCGGTCGTCGGGCTCGCTCTCGGGCAGCTTGTCGGTGTCTGCCAGCGAATCGAAGACATTAAGAATCTCGGAACGTACTTCCTCCTCGGTTCGTGCAACCGGGGCTGCCTGAGGCTGGTCGTAGGCCCTCGGCGCGGACATGGGTCGAAGCTCTTTGGCGAGAGGATTAAAGACCCGAACGCCCTTGTCAACCCGCGTCGGACTCAAGAGGTTGATGTTGACTTCTGCCCTAGAGAAGTGCTTCGCAACCGTCTTTGCGTACTTGAACTTTCCATACAGCATCAGCTGCAGGGGGTATGAACGGGAAATGTGCTGACCAGCCTCCTCATCAGGAAGACGTCGTCGGGTGCCAATGAAGGCGTCGGTACGTATGCCAAGCAGGCGTGCGTCAAACAGCGGGGCGAGGCCGGCGGCGATCTTGGGGTTCAGCTTGCCGACAATTGTCCTAGTGTGGTCGTACACGTTGATGGTCCGCGTCTTGTCGCCTTCGATCCTTCTCAAAACAACCTTGACCTGTGGCCAACTGCCGGGGGTCAGCGTCCTGGCGCCAGGCTTGGGTGAGGGGACAATGTGGCAGTGAACCATTGCCCCTGCGACCATGCCGTAGCACACCTCCTGCTCCCTCGGGTCCTTGATCTCCTCAAGATCATCATCATCACCTTTGGAGGAGGAAACGAGAAACCAAAATTAGCAATCATCCAAAGAAAAGAGTAAGGCGGGCAATGAGAGGGGGGGAAAGAGGGCTGCAGCGCAGGAGGGGCTCAGGGGGGAACACATACCACCAGTCAAGTCAAGAGTGGACTGCGTTGGGGTGGTGGCAAGAGATGTGGACTGCGTGTCTGACTGTTTCTGCTTGAGGTATCCAGATAGCATGCCGCTGCTTCCTCCATGAAAGGCGCCATTCTTGGACTTGTCGTCCTCGGGCTCTTCCTCGACCTTGCGTCGCTTTGCCGAATGCGCACTGCTGCGATCCTGCACATGGCTAAAGCGCTCTATCATATTGGTTATACCCTGCATGGTGGGAGGGTTTGCAGCGCTTTGGGGTGTCTGGGTTTGGTAGGAAAAGGGAGGGACTGCAGCAGAGAGGCCACTGGGGTCAGCGAACTGGAACTGAACCTGTGCTGGGGTATTGGGTTCGGTATTGACGCCATTGGAGGAAGGTCCAGCCGGGGAGATGGGACGCTGCAAGAGTGCCTCTGACTTGACGCCCTTTGGATTGAGCAGGGAAGCAGCGTCCCAAGAGAGCTGGGTGGGGACGGCCGACTGGCGAGGAGCGGGCGAAGAATTTGTGGCTCGACCTTGCGCGTCATTGTAAGCAAGATCCTAGCCTGATAATCGTTGAGGGATGGGACGAGGTGGAGGTGAAGGCAGGAGCGAACGCTCAGGCAAAACCTTCGAAGCCCGCTCGCCAGAAAGGCATGGATAAGGGCAGGAGGGGGTGAAGGGGGTTTGTAGAGGAAGGAGGATGATGAATACCATTTTGTTGAGGATTGGTCGAGGCCATAGTGGGCACAAACAAGGCCTCACCTTGTGGAGGGTGAAGTCGCGTCGAGTCGTGCTGTCCTGTCGTGTTGATTGTCATATGGCTGCTGTTGCTGTTTTGTTGTTGTCCCAAGATGAAAGAGGTTTAAATGGAGACGATGTCTGCTGGCAGTAAGAGCATGACAAAGAAGGTTGACGACAGTTCAGTCAGGGAACGCTGCTGATGCTGGGAGGGTTGTCTTGTTGATCAAGGCAGCAGCAGCAGATTGGTAGAGATTTGCAGTTTGGTCCAAGCTGGAGGTTCAACCTGGAGCTTATTAAGTGTTGGACGGGGCCCTTCCTGTGAATGAATGCGCAACTTGATTTGGAGGTAGGCGGGAGGACAGTTTGGTACAGTCGGAATGAAGGTCAAGGTGGTGGTGGAGAGAGGCGAGGGATGGCTCCCAGATCTGCAAGGTCCCAAAACGATCGAAATAAACAAGAAGAAGAAAATCACAACTGTGCCCATCCAAAACCAGATCCTATGCCTTCACAGCCAACAAAAGAAACCGAACTTCAACCGGACACACGAGAGCTGAGAAAGCAGATAGACATGTGAGAGCAAACGAAAGAAATCTGACAAGGGCTCACTGACCCTGACAAGAATATGAGATGTGATAAGATGGGAAATGGAAGGAAAAGGGGAAGAGAGGGGGGGGGGGGTTGAGAGAAGAGAGTGAAAAGACGAAGAAGAGAAAAAGAAGAATTAAAAAAAAAGAAAAAAAAAAAAAAAGACAGATGCCGGGGCCGACTGTCACAGAGTAAGGGGATTTGTCTATGATGGTGTGTCTATGGTGCCTTATCCTGTGAAGCGACCTGAGTGACGATGATGTGAAGCGATCAGGCGACAGCCTGCAAGCAGAGCCCAAACACAAAACAAAAGGAAAAGCCCTGGTCTCTCTCCGTCTCTGTATGTCTTGGGTTGAGGTTGACTTGTGGGTTTGTTGGAGGGACGTCTTTTTCCTTGTTCCCGCTGCGGCTATCAAAGTCGCGTTACGCGCTAAGAAATCGAGAATGGTGCACCTGACGCATAAAGATTGTTCGCGGGGCTCACCGGAAGTCACTCCCACGTCCCACAGCATCCGCGTGTCTAGACCCCAAAAGAACTGGCACCCCTGCACGTGCTCACTGAATGCCCACTGGCGTTCAATGGCACCTACTGGCGTTTACTAGGGGGGAGGGAAGCGGGGGTGGTGGTTGCCCCCTCTGAAATACAACAATCGGGATACGGCTGTGGTGGGGCTGGGGTCTGACACAGCCGTTTCTATAGTACTACTGTGAATACTTGGAGAGGACTATGAAACGTAGCAGTCGTGCCCCTCCCCCCCCCAAAGGCCTCTCTCTCTTTCTCTCTCTCTCTCACTCACACACACACACACTCTCTCTCTCTGTGTGTGTGTCTTTCTCGTCTAGTCTCCAGAATAAACACACGTTCTGCATCGATATTCCTTCAGCAACCATAGAGAGATGTGTGGAAGAGCTTATCGTCTTATCTTGTCTCTTTATCATCACTGACAGATTTCTATATGGCCTCTCAGGCCTTTGACAATGCTAGGCAGTGTCTATGTCAAGGGCCTACTGATTATCTTGGCCAAAAGAGAGCAAGATAGAGTTGCCGTCGATCGCAAACTACAACCAATGATTAACTACCTAAATATAAGATTGCGCACTATAGCACCACCACATAGTACAAAAGTAGTTTATTTCAACCAACCCAAGCTGGTGTTTGTCCCGGCTGCAGCCGAGAGGGCTGGTAAACCTTTTTTTCCTTCTTTTTTTCCCTCCTTTCTTCTTCAGCTCCCCGGCACCAGCCCTGTCTTCTCCCTCTCTTCCTGGCCGGGTGAACATGGATCGCAGCACATGACCAGTGGATATGTACATAATATACATGGATATATGTATATGCATATGCATATATATACACATATATATGTGCCTTGCCATCTTGTTTCATATCTCTCCAACCATCAAAGAAGAAACACCCTGCCGAGTTAGACATGGGAGGTGGGGTTTGCGCTGGGTTGGCAGACCTTGTTCAGCTAAGGCGTGACTCAACAAGGCAGAACCTGGGAGTCCCAAATGGAGCTGCTGGATAGCAAACGCCCGTTTCTGGAGGGAGAGGGAGGGGGGCTTGTAGGCAATATCCACAGCAGCAGCGGAGTGTTAGTATCACATGGCCCTCGCGCCCGTCCTCGTGACCTTTTACCGGTGTGGGGACCCTCCCTCCATGTACACGCTGAACTTGGTCGAAATTTCCCCAACACACCAAGAGCTTACTGGGCATGAACTCTAAATAAGTAATGGAGAAGAAGAAAAAAGATCAGGTATTTTATCAGGCTAGTGTTGTAGTATAAGACCGATGCAGTGCATAATCGTAGCGGAAATCATTTTTGCGTATGTGGTTTGGTTGGAGAGGTGGCTGCTGGGCGCTGCACTCATGACGCACAGTTGGCGGGGAGGAAGTAGGCGGGGGGGGGGGGGGGGAGTTGACGATATCAGGACCGGTCAATACCTACTATCTGTCTTCTGGAAGTAATACATGGGCAAGAATGTTCGCATAAGACGGTCCTGGCAGGCTAGACAATGACTCAACACCTGTCTTTTTTGCCTGTGGCCAACTGCCTTATCTTACCAAGCGATATTGGACCATTCTGACACCTCTCTCTCTCTCTCTCTCTCTCTCTCTCTCAGGAAAATCATGAGCAATAACAGACGCCACCATCGTCCAACAATCCTTGCGAATAGAAAATATGCAAGCCCATCGTGAATCCAGCACAAGGACGAGTACTCCCAAGACCCCTGCCACCCCCAGAATCTCCAGGCTCTGATACACACTTCCGGCCTCTGTGCCTCCTCCTCCTGCTGCTGCTGCTGCTGCCAAGGTTGAATCAGACCCTGCAAGTTTGTTGCCTCTCTCTTCTCGGCGTCCCCCTTACAGCAATCTTCTTGTCTTCCCCTCTGACCGACTTGTGCGTGAATCGGCATTTCTGGCTGGAGGCTGGCCACATGTTATGTAGCAGGGCAAACATGAAGCGTTCCCACGCATTCCGTATCTTCCGCCCGAGGCGCAGCCCAGCCCTCAATCCTCCCCCCTGATATCCCCTTCGGCATCCCATCCGCCTCGAAACCGCAGAGGCGAGCCCGCCACTCCTCCCACGGACGCGAATGCCCCCTCGAGCCCATGCCGCCTGCTTCGGCTCTGCGTCCTCTGTCTCCGCCTCCCAGACACCCCAGTAAAGCCACCAGCACCAGCACCACCAGCAGCAGCAGACAGCACCGTCTCCACCGCCCTCCCACCGTGTCCCCTCCCTGCCACCACGGGCGATCGCGAGCGCGACGGGCTCTGGCTGCGGCGGTGATTCTCAGGCCGCATAAACACCACACCAAGAACCCTCATCCTGCCTGTGCCTGTGCCAGTGCCTCCTCCTCCTCCTCCACCTGCTGCTGCTGCACCTGGCGACTGCGAACACGGGTCCCGTCGCGCCCCCCTGGCCTTCTCCGCCGCGGATCCGCGCGACGAGGTGGTCGCTGTGCTGGTGCGCGTGGCAGACAGCGGCGACGACATGACGCCTGACGGCGAGCGGTGCCTGCAGCGCCCGCGCAGCGTGCTCGACTCGCCCGAGGGGATGTTGTTGTTGTGGTGCGGCGGGCGGGCGGCTAGGACAAAAGGGTTGTTGAGCGGGTCGCGGCGGCGCTTGCGGCCCCGCGCCTCTGGGTCCGGGGAGGAGAGGGCGCGGGCCCTGGACTGTGGGTCGGTGATGAAGAGAGTGTTGCGATCCATTGTATGGTTTGGTTTGGTTCAAAAGAGTTTCTTCTTCTCTTTTTTCTTTCCTATTGCCTTTTCTTTCTTTCTTTCTTTCTTTCTTCTTCTTGCTGAGCAGTATCTGTGAACAGTATTTGTATGTATGTGTATGTGTATGTGTGTGTGTGTGTGTGTGTGTGTGTGCAAGTTTTCGGATTGGTGTTTTTGGTCCTTTCTTTCTTTTTTTCTTCTTTTCTCTCCTTGCGTCCTCTTTTGTTGGAGACACAGTAAGGTTCGGTTGAGGAGGGGTTGGCTTTTCTTGTATGATCAAGGACCCCCCTTTTCCCCTTATTTGTACTGCCACTTTCAAGCCCGTGGGGAAAACGTAAATTGGTTGGAATACAGGGAATGAAATAACCCAACACAAATCCAGAAGAAAAAGAAAAAAAATGTTACACAAGAGGACTTTTCTTGCACGGTGCCGTAAGGGGTTACACTTCAGAGTTTGACAAAATGGCACGACATCAGCCCACGAGAGGCACGATTTTCCCCTTCCCCCGGGGGGTTTGGGTTTCTGCATCCCTTTAAGTACTTGAATCCGTTTGCATCGCCCATTCTAGGTGAGCTAGGTGAGTTTGGGGTTCAATTGGCTAACACCTTTTTTTTTTTTTTTTTTTTTTTTTTTTGATTATTTAACTTTAGGGGCAACACTTGGGCGTTGGTTAGCGCTAGGGGGAGCAAGAAAGGAAGAGACACCCAGACACAACATCGGCAAGACAATTGCCCATTCTAGGGGAATCCTGAACATTCCTTCTCCCGTACTAGTGAGACTGGGAAAAGAAAGAGAGAAAAAAAGAAAGAAAAAAAAGGGGCATGACCAAGAATACCAAGCAAACAAACACGACTGCGCACAGGACCCTTTGTCTCCCTCCCCCACCTCATACTCTTTCTCTTCTCTTGGTGGTGTGCAGCAGCAGTAGCTTCCCGCGCGCCAGACGAAACAACGGACACAACGCTGGGCTTCCAACGGTTAAACAGTCTTGACTACCCTGCACTGGGGACTTTGGGGGCTGCAGATCATAGCGTGTTACATGACTTACTTGCATGGAGGGGAGAGGCGGGAAGGGGGGGTATATGAGGAAAGGCTTGGCGGGTGCAATACAGAGCCAAAAAGGAGCCTGGCATTATTTCCTAGTGAACTCTCGAATGAGCCTTCCCAAAAGGACAGGCTGTTGAGGTTGAAGGGGGTGGGGGGGGGAGGGTAAAGGTAGGATAAGGGGACAAAAGACAAGATTCCCGAGATTGGATACACAGGGATGGTGTGTGTATATATGGTGGGATGTGAGACAAACCATAGCAAGGCTTTGCTAGCCTTGCACGAAAAAGAAGGCTTGGGCATCGAGATCCGAGTCGGCCTGTCGTGACTTCATGATGGCCTCATTCGTGTAGTACGTGCGTGCAGTACGAGCAACATGTGTTGTGCTGACTAGCATAAAGTGGTCCAAACACATGCATTGACCGAGGAAACCCGGTACGCAGAGATCCTTGCTTTTTGGCACACGCCATTGTTCGTTCGGTTGGGTGGTACATGGCGCCAGCCTACGGAAGTCAAGGCAAAACGCCCGTGTAGCTCGCTGGAACTTCATGTTGCAACACCTCGGCGGCAGCCATGTAACAACAGCCTCCTTCTGCGGACAGGATCCTCCCGCTGCCAGCCGGATTCTCCATCTCGGAGCAGTCGGGTTACGTATGTGTGTTCTAGCATGACACAAGACTGACTGACTATCGCCGCCACACGTATGATGTCGTCGAGCTGCATGGGTCGCTGGGAAAGTGCATGGAGCCCTCCTGAGCGCCAAAGGCAGTCTTGACACCATCGCTGTTCCTGGGCATGGGTTTGTTGTAGGTGTCGAGTAGAGATTTTGTCTAATCCTTCTCTAGATTGGGCCCTTCCATACTGTGCGCGCTGTCTTATGTCCACATGGTGATGATACAGGAGAAATTCAACATACCGGCGACGCTCTGACGCTGCAAATTCAAACAGCCAGTTTCCCCCCTCAACTCCCCTCTCTAATTCTTCTCCCACGTCTCCTTGGCAATCTTGGACAGCACAGCCTTGTCAACATACTTCCCCTCGTCGTCCCAGTTCTTGCCCAGTAGCTCCTTCATCACCTCCCCCTGCTTCTTCCCACCCGCCTTCGCCTCGCGCACCACACCCTCCACGATCCCCCGCAGCTCCTCCTCCTCGACCACCTTCACCCCGGTCCCGGCCACATACTCATCAATCACCCGGATCTGCGCCTCTTCTTTCTCCACCAGGTCCTGCCGGCTCGCCTTGAGCGCCTCCTCCCGCGCCTCGTGGTTGCCCCGCGCCGTCTTACGCATCAGCGCAATCAGCTGCCCGTCTGTCCGGATGGGGCTCGATGTCTTGGCCGCGTTGGTCGTCGCCGCGAGGATGTTGCGGAGCACCGACAGCCGGGGTGCGTCCTTGGCGCGCATGGCTGTCTTGAGGTCGGCCTTCAGCTTGGACAGGAGCGGCGGCGGCGGCGCGTCTGTCGTTGTCTTTTCTGTGGAGTAGGGCCGGGTCGACCAGAGACATCTTGCGGAGGAGGAGGAGGGATGGGAGATCCGCAGGGCGGAGGTGCGCATTGAGGAGCACATGTGCCGGCGCAGGGCCGTGTTGATGGTGGTGGTGGTGGTGCTGGCCATTGTTGTTGTTGGCAAAGTATCGAAGGAAAAAGGGAGAGCTTGCTTTGGAGCTGCTGCTTGTAGGTACGGGCCTCCTATGGAAAGCAGGTAAGGTAACTGCTACCTTGTCCGGTGCGTATCGTTCGGTGACAACCGCAGCTGAGCTCTTAAGCCGGCAAATGTTGAATCAATCGCACAATGGGGGGAGTCGTGGTTCAGTACTGCATAGTAAAACCTCCGTTTTGATGCTTGATTGGCGAAAATTTTGGGAGGGCGGGAGCGGGAGCTTGGGCCAGTGCTTGCAGCACGCAGTACTACTAACAGGGCCCTGCTCCTAGGCCCCAGTGGCCCCCAACGCTGCTTCCCCCCCCCCTCCCCCCCCCGCTGTGGGGCTGACTATTCGAGGACCCTGGCACGCTGGCAGATCGCGTTATCCCTGCCTCCACGTGGTAGGGAAAAACGGGAGGACCCAGGGGACCCGTTTCTGGCCCCCTCCAAGAAGGCTTTCATCTCAATTTCCTATTTGTCTGCCAAAGTTCGTTCAGAGTATGATGATCACTATGGCCTTTCTCAAATCTTAGGAGGACAAACAAACCTCCCGATTGAAATTACCCTGCAATGACTTTCCAAGGCAGAATTCATATCTCTTCGGGGGGAACTCCCTCCAGAGACTGTCATTACTTCTCTAGGAAAGCTTCCTGATCATAACAAGACGGTTGGTGTAGTAATATCGCCCTTTGACTCTCACTATCTACATCTCGAAACGAATCAGATCCTGCATTCTCTCCCTCAAGACGGCGTCTTTTCAACACATACTCAAGTAAAATTTAACGGAAGATGCGTTCATTGTACGCTGAAAATTGAGGACAGCTGAGGCTACATTCACTTTTTATTATACTCAAATTCATCACTAACTCAGCCACCCACTTTAATAGCCGATGCCTAGAGTGTGTGTGAGTCTTGAAGAATCATGAGATTATACGTGCTGTCGACCTTGAACATACACTAATTGCCCCTCAAGAATCCTCATAGCATCTACTGCCAGCGAACACCTAGCTTAGAGGGCCCCGCCATTCGTCGAGCTCGCTAGGATCGTCCACGCTTTCGACTAGGTGTTCCCCTTTTTTTTGGGGGGGGGGGGGGGTAATTGATAGAAACATCTCGGTGGAGAATTATGCTAGCATAATTGCTGCAAGGGGTAGAGAGAGGGGCATCAACACGTTGCATCTAGCGAATCTGCCGTTGATCTCACTCACTGGTCGCCCGTCTTGTTGTATTCCTTCGAGACTACAGATGAAGAGAGAGAGAGAGAGATCCACGATGCAAGAGAAACACCTCATATAAACCCTGCTGACCTTACGCCCTTACCCTCCAAAGAAGCACAACAACAGTAACCACAATACCACCTCAACACCACGTAAAGACAGGATTCCTCGCCTTGACGGGTTCCAGCCTCTCTACAATGACCTTCCGCTGGTTCCCCTCCATGCCCTCGGCGGCCGCATAGCCGAGGTCGCCCGACACGTCGTCGTCATCATACCTCGGCCCGCTGCCGCCGTACCCGTGCAACTGCTGGTAGATCGTGTGGCTGTTCCGCCGCCCGATGGCCGTCGCGTACGAGTATCTGCGCTCCCGCCGGGGCGTTGAGATATTGATGATGGAATTGGACCGGTGTGGTCCGGGGAAGCTGGCCCCACCTGCCAGCGCACGCGGCAGCAGTGCCGGACGGTCCTTGGTCGCCCGCGTTGGCGACGATGCTGCCGTGTGTTCGCTGTTGAGGATCAACGAGTCTTCTATCGATGGCGTCTCGGCGTCTAGCGCTGTGTCGGTGACGTTGCCCGATAGCTCAAATCTGCCGGCGTTGGGCATCTGAGTGGCGGGGCTGGACATGCCGAGCAGGTCAGCCGCGGATGGTGATGTCGAGTTTGCGGCGCCAATGTCCATCTCTTCTTCGATGCCCTTCTGGAAATCATCTTCCGCGCGTCGGCGCATCTCGGAGGATGTCACCCTCATAGGAACGGCGACTGGCACATCCACCAGATCATCCCACACGCATACCTTTGCGCGCCGCGTCAGCTCGAGTGGGCCGTGATCCGGTGTCTTCAGTGTCTCGACCACATTCCATGCCTGGCCCTTCATGACAGCGATCTGACGCGAGAACATCTTCTCCTGGAAATCAGGATCGACCTGGAAGATCTTCCTCAGGGCGTGCTGTGTCTGGCTCCACCAAGCCGTAGATGTAAGCAGCGGGAGAAAGTGATCCCGTGTCTTCTGAGAGAACGGTCTTCCGATGAGGTCCACAGGCAAGAACAACCATCCAAATGGGAAGCTATTTATCACTTTGTCAGCCCGAGTCGTGCCCCATCGTCTCGAGATCCGAGCAGCAGCAGCAGCAGTACTCACCTCCGCCAAGCATCAGGGTGTTTCCAGGGCCACGACAGGGAGTTGTCGATGGCTCCTATGCTGATCTTCGGATCTCTTGGTCGCTCTCCAGGGCTGGAAGCATTCATGGGCTTCTGAACCTTGTAGGGGTACGAAGCGCGGTCCTGTGGTTTTCTCTGCGACAAGTCCACCGGCCTAGGACCCTCTTCTTGTTCCGTCGTGTCCGTGTTTAGCTGCACGGGTTCTGATACTATCGAGACTTCCTGCGTCTGCCAATCCACCTTGATCATCCAGTTATCCAGGCCTCGATCCGTATTCCGCATGATGTAGTCCAAAATAACAAGTTTCTCGAGCTGTTCTCGGAAGGCCTGTTTGAGTGTCTCGGTCCACACGAAGTTATCGGGGCCGGGAATGCGGTCTGGCGTGTTCAGCCCATCCTCATCAGCACCGTCATCTTGAGTGCCTCCAGTTATCGTGCGGCAGTTGTCACCCCATCCCTTGCGCTTATTCCGATGGGTTTCGTTGGTCCGGTACCCTGAGAGGTACTGATCTGGCCAGGGATGCTCCCGCAAAAAGATATTGGCATCCTTGAAGCCCTTGAGGAAGACCTGAAAGCTTCCAGGCTTCTCCGGTAATGGCTTTCTGTTTCTGGAATAGTTATAGCGATCCCAGAACGGATAGTGAAATGATTTAGACGAGAGCCACACGACATCAGTATATGGTACCATATGTGTCCGCAGTTGGCAGTCCAGAGTGTAGGCCGCTGCCTCACTCACGTACGAAAGGTTAGGAATGAGACTTGCCGTCACATATGTCAGCCAGGGTGCCTAGTGGAGAGAGTCAAAGTGCGAAAGAGGGGGAAAACATAAACAAAGAAATAAAACAACAACAGGTTTCCCACATACCATGCCCTGCCGAAGCAGCAAGGGAAAAGGTTCCTGTGAATCCACTTGTTCCATTTCGGGTTTCCCGCGGCATAGGGTTCCTCGTCTTTGGGCTTGAACACGCCTACTACCTTGCCGTCCGGGTTCCGGGCAAAGTAGCTCCCCGAGCTGCCCTGAGAGATCATGCGCGGGTGCACGCCCTGCTCGATGGCCACGCGCACGCCCTCGACAATAACCTCGAACTCGTCCCTGGTCATGACACCCTCCTGCGGCACGGCCAGGGCCTGCGCGGTGGCGGGCCTCACGCCCTCGGGCGCCTGGAACACGCTGTAGTGGATCTCGAGCTGCTCGTCATCCTCGCCGTGCCGGCCCTTCTTCCCCCTCTTGAACTTGCCCTTGATCTCCGCCGTCCAGCGCTCCAGCCTCGCGTTCAGAGCGCCCATATCGATCCCCGAATTGCTCCTGCCGCGACGATTCGGCCGGGATTTGCCTCCTCCACTCCTGGCGCCGTAGCCGCGTGGCGAGGTCATGCCCGAGTGCGGACGTGGCTGGCTCGTTTGATTGCCTCGAGGGGCGGCCGGGTGCTGCAGCGACGCGAAGCTGTTCACCATAATATCATCGTCGGAGTCGTCGCTGGAGTGGTCGGCCTGTTCCAGGCGCTCGTAACCTGTCGTGGGTGGGCGGCTTCGAGGCATCGTGGCGGGTGCTGACGAGTGTCGGTTTCAGGTAGAGTTCGTAGGTATGATGAGTTGGAGGGATCCAAGGTCTATTGTAGAGTAGGTATTGTTCCAATTTTATGCCATCATCTCCCCAAACAGTGGATGTCGTAGCTTATGTGGAAGAATAAGGCCAGCACAGCACAGGCCCTCTCAAAGAACAAGGCTCCGCGTTGGCACAAACAGAAAGAGGACTACTCGGTAGTTGCTTCGAATTAATTCATAAAGGAAAAGAATAACACAAGTCTTTGCAGAGAAGAGAATCAAATACCAAGTAGAACGAGCGTCTCGAAGATGAGCACTGGCGTCCGAAAGTGGAGAGATGATTATTCTGTAAAGGATGTCATTTGTGGTGTTGTCAAGAAAGACAGAGAGGTTAAGCTTTCAGCGTCAAATACCACGCTGTGACGTGCTGTTCCCGTCTCACCCATCCACACCATCTCAAGCCTGTGCCGGCCGGCGCTCCGCCCTCAAGTATTGGCTCGCTACAGTAGGACTCGCGCTGTAGGTTGTTAATACAACCCCGAGCCGCCGCCCCTATCGATAACTCACTTACTCAGGGGTCATGCGCCTGAAACTTTCCCCTGCTGAACCAAATTATTCGCAGATGATTTGGGGAACACACCTTTGCCCCTCTCTTGGCAACCTCCACCAGGATTGATTCTACATTGTTTTCTGGTCAATATGTGGTCCCCGCTCTCGTACCTGGTATCATGATTTGAATCTACAGCATTGAGTGTAAAAAAGCCGCCGCCGCCCCCCCTGTCCATTTTGACCATCATCCATCCATCCGTCATTTTCGAACGCCCATATACTTAGTTATAGTCAGTCAGTCAATCAGTCAGTGTGCGAGTAAGACCCGACGGACCGAGTAAAACGCCACTCAGCAATGCAAGTCGTCTCCAAGCCATATGCGTAATGCTCATGACCACACCAATTGCTCAACCAATTGTGGGGTCATCGTCATTTCTTAGTGTGTTGTGCTCCGTTCCCTGGCTCGCGGCACTCAGTCTCGCACAGAGGCTGAGAAGGACGACTGTTTCCGTCGCCGCGTAGTGATTCAAGGCATCGAGGAGGATCTTGAGATGCCGGCCAAAGTTGTACTCCCACGCCTTCAGCGTGTCCATGATCATAGTAAACTGCGCTTCGGGTGTCTTGGACGACTCGCCATGCGCCGACTGCCATTTCTCCCGATTCGCCTGTATCTGCTTCCACTGCTCGTCTGTAACGTTCCTCGGCTTGGTCGGACCCTGCAGGTCTGGATCCGCCCTCTCTAGGTTCCTCGTTATCCAGTCAATACTTGTTGTGAATGTATTGCAGTTGTTCATGAGCTTGGAGTGGACCTATAAAAGACAGCTGAAGTCAGCCTTGATCATTTGTCTGCAGCATGTCACGGCGCGCGCGCAGGTGCTTAGACTTACCCTGAGAAGCTTGCTGTTCGTCAACATGCACTCCTTCAGGCAGGTATCCAGGAAGTCCACATGGTCCTGCATCAACTCATCGACCGTCCGATCGAGAAGACCCTTGGACGTCCCATTATCCTTCGTCTTGAGCCGGGACATGAGCGACTGCCAATTCGGCTCTATAACCTCTGCCGTGCAGAAATACAGGAGCTGTTGGACAAAGACAAGCATGCGAGCCCTGAGCGTCCAAATGCGCCTCTTCCACAGCTCGAGCTCCTTGTTGGAGCTCTTCCGGTACCACACAAAACCTCGGGTCTGTACCTGCCATGCGATGGTCAGTTGCGCCTCGAGGTGGCGCAGAGACAAGAGGTACCGGAACAAGGCCTGGTATCTCCAGATTGTCTTCCGACTGATGACAAGCGACACTGGAAACGGTAGCGCATAGTCCAGCTGTAACGAGGTAAAGCCGTTGGCTCTCTTGTCGCTCTCGATCGGTTGGTCCTTCAGAGGCTGCAGCGACCCGCCCTCCTCAATTCCGGTGATATTAACAACGCGTTGGAGAGACTTGATGAGGGTGATCTCGTTCATCTGAACCTTCACATCCTCCTTGAAGGGATCCATAGCGACAATACTGCCTGGTTGTCTCAGTACCAAGTCAAGCAGCGACTGCAGCTTGACGGTATTGACAACCTGAACGGGCTTTCGCAGCTCGGAGGCCCCAAGCTCGAGGAAGTAGTTGAAATAGTCGGACGGGTCGAGGAAGAAGTAATGTTTTAGAGACCGCAGGCGGTCGGGCAGTGCATGTGTCGTGAGCAGCAGCTGCATCAAGGACTCGTTCGCGTGAGAGTAGGCATTGTTGACATTTTCCTGGAACCTGTTGTCGTCAAAGGATTTCGGCTTGTCTTTAACATCTTTGCTGACATCCACGCCACCACACTCCCGCACAACATTCAGGTACTTCCCGGCGAGGAGGCATTTTTCCTTGACCCCCTCTAGCTGCGGCGGAACCTCCTTGTCGCGGATGGTATACCGCCTCTCCCAGTACTCATCCGTATAGTCTTGTTGTAGCCTCTCCCGCCGCAAGCTTTTCTGCTCCTTGATCAAGAACTCGCCATGCGGATCATTGATGCTGCCATGATGTAGCCATTCGTTTAGCATGACCATGTACGGCCTGCTCGAGTCTCTGAGGAGCGTTGTGAGCAGCTCTCTCGCGGCTGGGTCTCCAGACATGTTTTCTAATCGTTTAGTGATGAGGCCGAGCACCACTCCTCCTTTACAGATCTTCTTGCCGGTCATATTACCCGGGACGAGTTCTCCACCATCCCTCAACTGCTCTAGAATCTGATCGAAGTCGTCCGCGCTGTCACTAGATTCGTCGGTCTCATCGTCCAGGAGAGCATTGCGTTTCAGCAGCTCATGTGCCAGCGAGTAGAGCTGGAACATCATATGACTCGTAGGTAGGATGTGGATATTGAGAACGTGTAAGGTGAAAGCGTCGTTTGTGAGGAATTGGGTCTCTAACTGGGCGATCAACACCAGGTAGTCCTGTAGGAACTTTCGTATTGAGGCGCACAGCGCATGGTTGACGGACCCAAATTCGTCGCGGCTCTGGACATCGACAAAGGTTTCCAGCGCCGTGTAGTACGTAGCCATCTTCAGCATGGACATCGTGAGGTCCTGTAAGCTCGGATCAAGGCCTGGCAGGATGCGGTATGGTGGACCGCCTAGCCGATCTCGTTCCTCGTTCGGATCGTATCCCTTGCCGAAGCGCACGTACTGACCCTCATAGCCCATGAAGACATATAAAAGATCTTCTAGTATAACGGCCTCTTGCGCTTCGAGCGACAATTCGGACAGCGGTCTGGGCTGTACTGACGAGGGCGCTTGTGAAGCCAGCGGCGGTATCGATATTCGAGAAGCCAGCGGCGCAGAGGTGTGCGGTACAAGGGTCGCTTCCGGTTCCCAAGGAGCTGTTGCCGCGCAGCATTAGCACATACACATACACACACACACACACACATCACGATCCATCATGCACATGTGGCATAGGCTGTTTGGGGCGCTCATGCCTTGCGGGGCCACCTCCTGCCTCACTTCCTTAGGTCTTGTCTCGGCATTCCTCCTGCCATCCGGCATCCTCGCCTGGGCCTTGGCCATGGATGGCATGTGTCTTCGGTCAGGGCTCTTCACTTTCGAGACCATCGCCTCGCGCGTCGTCGCCGTGTGTTTGTCGATGCGCTTCTCCCGCTCCTCGAATGACCTCATACTGTTCGTTCGCGGGTTGCCTGACAGTGTCCTTTTATGCGCTGGCCTCTCTGGTCCTGATGCTGGCGAGTTGCTCCCGGGTTTTTGTGTCCTAGAGGCAGTCTCCTGGGCGCTCATGCGGGGCGCCCGCGAGGATGTCTTGTCTGCCGCTGAGCCATTGCTTCTCCTGTTGTCGCCATATCTGGTTGGGGCGGACATGGCGACGAATCACATCTGCAGTCGCGACCATGCACTCGTCACCATGGCAAGTAGTGCGGTACGGTAGATGTGGTGCTGCGGCGGGCAGATTGTCTGATTCGTTCTGTTTACTATGGGAGCGGCAAGTCGCGATAAATTGGCGGGCACGGGCGCGTCACTGCTGCCAGAGCATACTACTATGTACCACCCCTGCGCGCGCCATAGGGGGGGGGGGCCTACTGCTGTGGTCAGTGCTTGCAACAGCAGTTGATCCGCTGGGGTCTGTAAACCCTGTACGTAGCTTCCGCAGCCAGCGACAGGGGTGCGTCACCCTCCTGCCTGGAGCTCAGCTTCAACAACGTCAAACAGCCAGCCGACCTTCCACGACTACTGCATCTTCCTGAACTCATTCCACCTTCTCGTACCCCTCCTCCCTCGCAGACTATTTCACTCGCCCAGCTCTTGAGAGAGCTTTCCCTGTGTCCTCCACAACGCCCATTTCTCCCTTCCAAATTCTTCACAACCAAAGCCGCCAAGATGTTTATGGCAAGATCAGAATACGGTCAGTCCTCCTCCCAACATCTCCTCCTCATTCTACCTTTGCAGTCTTCCCTCGATCCCATCCTCGCACCTTGGTTCCTGCTAACCCCACCTCTCCTCCCTACCAGACCGGGGCATCAACACCTTCTCCCCTGAAGGCCGCCTTTTCCAGGTCGAGTACTCCCTCGAGGCCATCAAGCTCGGCTCCACGGCGATCGGCGTCGCGACCAACGAGGGCGTCGTGCTCGGCGTCGAGAAGCGCGTGACGTCCACCCTGCTCGAGACCTCCTCCGTCGAGAAGATTGTCGAGATTGACCGCCATATCGGCTGCGCCATGAGCGGCCTGCAGGCCGACGCCCGCAGCATGTTTGAGCACGCCCGCGTCGAGTGCCAGAGCCACGCCTTCAACTACAACGAGGCCCTGCGCGTCGAGTCCTGCACCCAGGCCATCTGTGACCTCGCCCTGCGCTTCGGCGAGTCTGCGGACGGCGAGGAGAGCATCATGAGCAGGCCCTTTGGCGTGGCCCTGCTGATCGCCGGCTACGATGAGGACGGCCCAAGCTTGTACCATGCCGAGCCTACAGGAACCTTCTACCGGTATGATGCCAAGGCCATTGGGAGCGGCAGTGAGGGTGCGCAGGCGGAGTTGCAGAACGAGTACCACAAGGTGTGTTTCCTTATTTATCTCACCAGCCAACCAACCAATTTCTTCCTGCATTGATCATGAGTCTGCCGTCTCGATTGATACTAACAACCACTCCTTCTTTTTTTTTTTTTCACAGTCTCTCACTCTCACAGATGCAGAGACATTGGTGCTCAAGACACTGAAGCAGGTGATGGAGGAGAAGCTGGATTCCAAGAACGTGCAACTGGCAAGCGTGACCAAGGAGAAGGGCTTCCGGATATACACGGACGAGGAGATGGCTGCGGTCGTGGAGCGTCTACCCGCAAACTAATCACGCACGGACGTCAACCAAGAACACAACAATACCTAGTCATTGACAGGAGACCGAGATCCGCAAAAAGGGACTAGAGAAAGCGTCGGTGCCTTTGTAAGTAATGGCCTTGAGCATGGGCCAAAGAAAAGAAAGGGACAAGATCTCGCTTCATCTCAAATGTATGACGATTAGAGCAAATGTGAAACGAGAACTCATCAAGAAGACAGGAGGACATGATCCTCAGAAGGACGATCTGTATCATTATTCCATTGACAATTAGAAGGCACTGAAACCCACATCTGCATCGAAGAAGCGTCCTGTAACCCGCTCCGTGGAAGAAGACGCCTACACCTGGTCAGGAAATATTGGGGAAACACACAACAGAACCCAGTAAAACACCCCCCCCCCCCCTCAAGCCACCTCAGTCTTCTAAGCTTAACCTCTCCAGATCCTCATCAACACTCAGCAACCCGAACGCCACATGTGCCCGGTCCTTTCTCTTCAAAACAGGCCTGCTCTGACCATCCCCAATCTCCTGGATGCGCTCATCGATGCGGCGGGTCGTATAGCCATGCCGCAGCGCAGCAGATTCCGCCTCGGGCTCGTAAGGCGGCGTGACGCCCATCGCAGCGGCCTTGCGCCACGCGCCCTCGCATCCGTTGGCGATCTGCTTGCCCGTCTTCCATCCTGTCATGCGCGTGATGTCGTGAAGACGCCGAATCGCCCACTGTCTTTGTAATCTATCCCGAAACTGCCGAGGGTAAAAATAAAAATTAGCAAAGTCACAAGAGCTCATTTCTCTCCTTCTTTCACTGGGTGGACGCGAGGGGAGGGCAGAGGAAATGGGTCATTTTGTGTTTTTTTCTTTACCTGGATCGCACCCACGAAGAGTGGGAAACAGCACTCAATATACGCCGAGGCGATCAGCGAGCTCACCATCGTCTCGGCCGTCCAGTCCTCGGTGATGCCCGCGACGATCCTACCAATCTCGTTCGAAAAGGGCTCCGTCTGTTTCGCGCACATGTGCGCTGCGATCATTGCGAATGGCGGCATGCTTGGGTGCGACCTGTGCAAAACCACAAGGCCCATGTAGAAGTTCATCCAGATACCCGCGATACTATACGTGCGGTACGTACACGTGGGACCAAAAGGCGATTCCCGGGCGGGCTGGACGTCCTCGCTCAGGGCTTGAAAATCGGCACCAAGGCTCTGCTTGAACAAGTTGAACGCCGCAAGGATGGCGGTCCACTCTTCCGTGGCTTTTTGGGTGGACGATTCCAGGTCCAAATCTTCCCACGCCTGCTCGGCGGCAGAGACGAAGCTGTCCCGTGGTGGGCTGAGCCCGCGCGGGAGCTGGATGCTGCCGCGACCGGGAAACATGCCTGCGAACATGGGTGGAGAGTTTGGGCCTTTGGGCGATGTATTTGCGCCTCCTCGCTCGCGGGCTCTTGCTCTATGCTTGCGCGGGAGGTCGGTGGCGGCGTAGTTGGCCACACGGCCTAGGAGGAGGACCAAATGGTCGAAGGTGCCGAATCTGAGCCCGCATTAGCTTTATTAATTTTCACTCTCTAGAAAGCTGGAAGGGAGGAAAGACAGGAATCGAGCCAAAAAATTGTATCTTACATCTGGTTGATTCTGTTCATTGGTGCTCGTGGCGGACACTGCGTCCAGAGCTCATATTCCATACTGCTCCGGTGTCAGTCCCTCCTCGTTCGGTTCGATCGACATCACTTGGTTTGGGAAGGGGGAATAGGTGGTATGTCAGTACTCACAACAGCTTGGATCCGCCAAGCATGGCCTGATAAACATCCATCTTACAAAACCACCAATATAGGTCGGCGAGATGCTCGTAATTTTCAAGGTCCAGCGCGGTACAGCTCCGCATGTTCGGTTGCCACGAGCAGCCCGCTCCCTCCGCAAAGTAGACCTGTTTGCCAGTGAGGGTTCTCAGGAGGTCCAGGTCCACCTCCGCAAGCTCGTGGCTCGGGTGATCAGCCTGCGGCATGAAGGCCGCAAATGGATTCTGTGTCTCCAGTTCTACCCACTGCTGATAGCGTTGTCGGTGGATTGTCCAGATCTGCCTGCTCATCTGCCGAAACGGTGTCTCCCTGATGATCTGCCGCGCTCCCATCATATGTGTACACCACTTGTCGTGATTCGAAGTCCACACCTCGAAGAAGGCAAGTAGTAACGTGGCAGCCAACGTAGAAGGCTGGGCCCTTCTTTCAGCACTCTGATAAATCTTGGCGATCCTGCTGATACACCGACTAGAGTGTACCCATGGGGCCGTGGGAGCACCGCCCGCGAGCTCTGCCATCTGCAGGCTGCCCAGGGCGAGGATGGCTTGCAACAGAGCGGGATGATGGAAGGATTGCAGAGGGAAAACATCTAAATCATTGTCAATGAGGCTGCTTTGAGAGAATATGGATATGATTTGTGGCAGATAACAACTTACAAGTCCAGATATGCTGACTAGATCGTGGGATCGGTTCGCCGGAGAATGGTCGTGATGGATTACGCTCGTACGGATTGATAGCTGGAGCGGTGATGTTCACAAAGTACCAGAAAATGTCCCGCGTCTTTGCATCATTCAGCGGCGTGTCTGAGAGAGAGGGCATATAGTTGACCAGAACATTCTCGTGGGCAAGGGCATGGAATGACCTGACTTGTGTTCCGTACGGATCTAGCGACCTGTCGAGATCGTTCGTCATAATCGAGCCAATATCGTTTGCATCCAAGCTTGTGAGATGGTTGTTGGCGAGGATTTCGTCGTCCTCTGAATCCAGAGACAGATCTCCTTCGTCAAACACCCAGGACCCAGCTTCCTCGGATGGTTCAAGTCCTGTCGCGGAATATGACTGTGCTATGGGTGGATTCAACGTCATTTGGTGTAACATCGGGGCGGGTCTTCCTATGATAGAATGGGATGTATGTCGACGTTCAGGCAACGTGAAGCCATTCGGAGGCTGCTGCTGGGGCGTGGGCATCTGTTGCAAATCGAACAAGGCCGGCTGGCTCGTTCGAGTCGGAGAAGCTGTCATCTCAAGGCCTGACTGCGCATAGTAAGTCTCGGTTGGGATAGCACCCATGACGTACTGCGACTGATGGACTCCCAGGCCAAGAGAGGCCGTCGAGTTGGCTCGATGCAGGCCTGGATGGCCATGGATATAAGGGTAATGCGCTGGATTGCCGTATTCTAGATTCGGCGGTTTGGGCGCGATGATTGGAAGTGGACCCTGGGCCGAAGAAGACGTCTTTCCCTGACTTGCGGTCAATTGCGCATTGACGAGAGCCTCGGTCGGATCGTGATGATGGTGATACGGCAAAGGTCCGAAATGACTCCCAGGTATCGCACCCATTGGACTCTTGAAAACAACCCGCTGGTTGTAGCCCTCACACTGTCTCTTAGACTTGATACAGTTGTTGCATATCGGCTTGCCCTCGTCGCATTTGATGCGACGCTTTCGGCACGCTGTTGTAAGTCAAGATCAGCATTCACACGATGTGGAATAAAGTCGGTAGCCCTATCCCAAAGGACCACCACCAAAATAGTTTCACGTACTCAAACAGCCTGTCTTTGTCCGCTTCCTGATGTTTGGCTTCTTTGGAGGCGAGTTCTCCTTGTTGAGCATGGCAGGCGACGCTTCTCGAGGCTTGAAGTCATCGACGAGCGATTGTTCAGGAGCCATGGCGGCAACATCCATCTCTGGGGACGATACTTCTTCTCTGATGACTTGGTTCCTTCTTATGCTGATGTCGAGCGTTTTGTTCGAGGCCAAACGGTTGTCGTCGTCGTCGTCGTCGTCGTCGTTGTTGTTGTTGTTGTCTTCTGGCGTTGAACGCGATCTTGGGATGGTCTCCTTACATCGTCGGCCGGGGAATGGTGGCACAGGGCGTTGATCGCCCCAGGACCGCGCAGGTCAGGCTCAGACCACCTAAGGGGGACCCGGAAGTGCCGAAATCTGGGGATTTGAAAATACTAACTGGAGGGTCCTGGATATCCTAGTCGCAGCAGAAAATATCTGACCGAGACAACAGCTAACTGGGATGATTTCGAGAGGGAGCAAGACAGACCAATTATTTTCCGCCGTTGTGCGCAGTTACGTGTAGAGACCCAGGAGAGCAGGAAGCAAGCACCGCACTGGGGTGAGCAGCCCAGAACGTTTATAACGCACACCTCAACAGCGGCGACTGAAACAAGTCGGTGTAACTCGAGGTCTCCCTGGGGCGTGTCGGTAGAACAGAGGTTGGCTGGCCGCAGCTGTGGTCGTACCCGGGGCTTTGTATCTATACTAGTGGCCTGATGGCAGCCATGTACGCCCCTCTGCCATCTAGTCCTTGTGCGTCTTGCCCTGAGCTGTGACTCCCCTGGCTGTAGCTCGGAGAGTAGAGCGAGAGGACACAGCGCGATGCCAAGGTCAAGTCTGGCAGGCACAACGTTATCACACTGCAGACGCTGCGGCCACAACAAGGTAGAATGAGCTGGGCCGACGTTCGAGAAGGTCTGAGACCTAGGGTATCAGGCTGTTTGTTGATGGATGAGGGGACTTGATAGTGTTCTTGGTTGAGCCGCATTGGGGACGAGGTAGAACTCTTGCGGAGACTTGGGCACAAGTCGAGTGAGGTAGATGGGTAACGGTACACAGCAGCTTCTTTTCTTTATTTGAAATAATAATAATAATAATAACAAAAAGGACCGAGTAGATTACGATACCGTAGCGTATCCAGATTGCGATCCAGGTAAGACTTTTGACAAGAAAGTAAAGGGGGCAACATGTTAGATAGATGGTGCTCTCCCAATAGGCAGACAAGGCCCAGTGTAGTTTAAATACTGAATGCACAACTCGAACAGCTTCCTTCAAGCTCTTTTTCTCGATCTCGATCTCGATCCCTTCTCCTCACTTGAACGGGTTAAGACGCTCTCAAGGCTGAAAAAAAGGAGAAAACAATAAACAAAAGAAGAAAGAAAGAAGTCCAAGGATACGCCGAGATCTTTTTTTTGGGGGGGGGGGGGTGGGGGCAAGGAAGGGGACGTGCATATGAGGACGCAATGGATGTGCATGGCTGAACTAAGGAACATGCAATTCGGGAGCAATTGACCGAGAAGAGAGAAACAGAGAGGAAATGGAAGAAAGAAGAAGAAGAAAAAAGAGGAGGGTGGTTCAGGGCGATAACTTGCTAGGAAGATTTAAGAAGGGGAATTTTGACCCGAACTGTTTGCTTGCCGGAGCCTAAGAGATGACCCAACGTGGTTGGGATAGGAGGCAAGTGACTCGAGGGCACTGGCAGCGCAGAACATATCGAGGAGACTTGTGAAACGCACACGGGGTACTGGAGGTTGATACTGTAGCGTCGTCAACCCGGTACACACTCAAGAGTACCTGCAGGCCGTGTCCAACCCCTCCCTGTGAGCCAAGAAGCACAAGAGACATCTTGGGTACCGCTGTATGCATGACGGCCAGCAACAGCAGTGAGGGCGACAACAACGACTATCGCGTGACAAAAGGTCCGGGTGCCTTGCCTCCTAGCTCGGACGCGGGCTCTGGTTCTGGCTCTGGCTGCCCCTTTTGGTGACCGTCAGGCTCAGAGAGCAGCACATCAAGGCGGCCCCCTGCTTGGACATGCCTCCCCCCCCCCCACCGCCTCTCCCTCCGACCAGAGAAGCAAGACGATGCCTCCTGCCGAGCACTAGGCAAGGCAGACCGCCCTGGAAATGCAGTAAATGGCTTGTCTAGCGCCAGGTCATGAATAGGACTGAGAGACCCAGAAACCGCCACAGTCCAACCCCCGGTCCCGGTAATTTGTGACGATCGGGCGCACGAGGCTTAGCGCGAGAGATCCAGCATCGATGTGTTGTGACTGTCTGACTCTCTCTTGCCGGCTCGTGGGCACTGTGCGCTGGGAGAGAGAAGTGCATCATCTGGCCCCGTCTCGTCTTCTTGTCTCTGTCTCTGCTTGGTCCCCGATTCTCAGTGCTTCAATCCAGAAGCACCTTCCGCAGCAGCCAATCGAAGATGTGCTCATACTAAATCGGCGTTCCACAACGTGATATGCTGTACGACACAAACTCATCAGGAGGGGGAATGGCGGGCCGAAGGGGGGTTGAGGGAGAGGAGGGGAGGGGAGCGAGAGAGACAGACAAGGAGGGAGAATGTGAGACAGAGGAAGAAAAGCAGCAGAAGAATACTTGGCTGTGGAGAAAGTCGGGCGCGATTTCCTCGTCACGGCGGCCCTTGTCGAGAATATCGTACCGAGCAAGGAAGGTGCATTGATGAGATGAGGTCAATTTACTTACCTCATGTATTATGTAATCAACCTAACCTTCTGGGATGACCCTGCCGTGGGAAACATCTCACTGCCTATGCATGGTCCACTATCCTCATTCCTCTTCCCCAGCACGCATCCATTGGGGTTTTGCCCCCTCCTCTACGATGGCCAAAACCCTACAAGATCATATTCCACATGTCAAAAAATCATGGCTTCCGCACGGCCAGAAAACCCCTTCAACAAAACTTTATACTGTGGCGTCGAACATCCTGGCTAAGCGCGAAAGTTTGATAAAACAAGCAAAACGGACCCAGCCGATGGCAGATCTTGGCCCATCGCTCAAAGTCCCTTCCAGATACGAAGTTGGGGGGGTTTGGTCATTCACACCTGTCTTGGCCTTGGCCCCTCCAGAAGAACTATTGCCCACCATGGGTGGAGAGGGACATGACGCACGTTGATGGTCTTCGGATCACCGTTTTGCACCGAAGCCGCTGTCACTTTTCCCACGTCGATGACGCAGAAATTGGTCACCCTTCACTTCACATTGCAGCAAAGTACCAAGCAAAGTGTTCTGGATGCCTCACAGGGCCGTCAACCATCACCTCGGCAAGGAATCTGGACAAGCGTGAGGCTCGGCAGAATATGGTTCTCTACTCGAGGCCGGACATCGCAAGAATACGGAAACATCGGCCCTTCCTCCTTCAACGGTCGCCGTGCTAGTGAGAAGCGCCGGGCATAAGGCTGCTAGTTCCGCTGTCAAAAGCCCATGACAAGTCATTATGGCTTCCCGTGCGTTCCCCAAGTAGGAAACTGCCCCGGGCGACAAGTTCAATATTGGGGTAGACCAGGGGAAACACGATGGAGCTACCGGCACTTGCCCACAAGAAAGGCTCGATGCTGCGCCAGAGAGAGATGGAGGCTGAGGGACCAGACCAGTCGGCTTTATTCCTGATGTTGTAGTGAGCAGCCTTGCTCAAAGATGACGATGGCAGGCTTGTTTCATGCCACCTCAAGTCCGAGGGAAACGAACTAAGTTTTTGAAGAGGTCGACCACCTCAGGCGAACGCTCAGCCTGCAGCTGCCTCCAGGGGGTTTGTTTTGCCAGCTCGACCTCGCCCTCCGCAACCATTTACCTCATCTCGTCCTCCCTCATCACCATGGGATGGCATGGCAAGGCCCACACGCGTGCACACACACACACACACACACACACACACACACAGCGGTGGCGAGGCGCTTGTGCGACTTTGGGCATTACGGCCAAGCCGTCAGAGACATGATGTGGCTTGATCTCCTCGGGGGGCTTCTTTGAGCTTACCCGGCTCCCCCCCCCCTCCCCCCTCGGTCTCTCTGCCAGGCGCCAACAGTCATTGTAAACCCCAGAACCATCCTTCTTCGTTCTCGCCCACCCCCACCCCCCCTCCTCTCCCCCAATCCTTCTCACTTTCTCTCTCTCGGGGCCCACAGGTGCCACACTGAGGGGGTAGCGCAATCTGGTGTTGCGTTGCCCATGATCCCCCTTTCAAGTCATGTCAGGACCTTACGTCCGAAACTAATAGTAGCTCAGAGCTACAATGCTAGGCTCATCTGTTAGGCTCCATTCTTGACAGCACGTTCCATCACTTAGCCGTCTCCATTTCTTCTATCTCTGCTTGCTCCGGCGGACTGCAGGACTCTAGGCAGGCTCCGAGAAATGCCGCGCCTACTTACCTAATATTTGAATCCAGGCGACAGGATCGTCAGGCCGGTCGAAGATGGATTCGGCCCGGACAGTAGCTTACATCGGCAGACAAGACGAAGTTTATTCGTTCGGGACCGAGCCAGCCAAAGGGCCCATCTATACTTGTCCATGTAACCACCCTCGAACCCGATCCCGGAGAACCTTTCGACTAATATGAACAGCATTTTATGCTGTAACGTCACTAGCCAAAGCCGGCTCAAGATCTCAAAGACAGAGCCTCTCTAGGAAGGCGAAAAGGATTCCCTCTCAGAAGGGACAGATCACAAACCGATTTGTTCATGTTGAGAACACGACGACTTTCCAGGTCTCGTAATTCATGATCGATGGACGAATAGTGAATTATATATCGTTTTACTCAGCAAACGTCACACCTCTTTGCATCCCATGTCTAACGTTTCCTCCGCCAGTAGACGAGATGGAAGAAGAGAAATAATGATGGAAAAGTATAGGGGAAAAATCCTTCTAAGAAGTCAGTGCCCAGTTCCCACCACTCAAGCCAGTTGCCACGCCATCTGTCAGAGCGATCGTCTGTCCTGAACTAGTCGTCAAAGACCCCGCAGTATCGCTCGGCAGGACCACGTCGCCTGTGGTTCCGGCGGGCGTCTTGAAGCTCAAAGCTGTGATGCCACCGCTGCCGTCCGCGGTGATGTCGACCGTGAAGTTGCCCAAGGTCGTGGCCATGCCCGACGAGACGGTCGTGAGGTCGCCCACCGCAGGCGCTATCTTCCACTCCTGTCCGGCCGCGCTCACGATCTGGATGCCGGCGACGTAACGGCTGAGCAGGCTGGTTGGACCAGTCGACCAGCCGTGGGCAAGTGAGACCCTGCGAGAGCGCCCGAGGTCAGCTGTGGTGGCCCTCCAAACCCATCTGGTGTGTGAAGAGAGAAGGGGAGTGTGGTTTGGGTAGGAGGGGGCAGCAAGGAAAGAAAAGGAAAACACCTGGCCCTGACGGCGGTGGACTGGGACGCACGCACCTTGGGTCATTGGTATAGGGAGAGTAGTGTAGACTGCCATCAGCACTGTACCCCTCGATGAACGTCGAGTTGGTCATCCTCGGGTCGTCCAACATAAAGTCACCCCACTGTATACGCATAAGCTCCAGCGCTGCCTCGGCGTCACCCGCAACAAGGTGCGCCTCCAGCTCAAATCCACTAGCAAAGGGCGAGATGGTCGCCGGGGTGCTTGCACACTCGGGCGCAGGGGCACCGTACTGGCCCCACCGGGACTTCAGGTTGCTAGAGATGGAGCTGACCTGCGAGGAGTTGAGAGTCAGGTTGGCAAGCGCTGGACGACGGGGAGTCAGCAAACTGAGTGGTCACTGCTTGGTTTGGGCCAGCTCTGATAAAACAGCGTGCTGGCGAGGCGAAACGTACCAGCGAAGCTATTCCCATCCTGCGGAGTCATAGTCGTGGTCTCGTTATCAACGTAAAAGCCCAGGTCTTCCCTCCATAGCAACGAGTTCGCTGCCACCTTCAATCTCGCCGCCGCAGCACTCCACTCCGTCGCGGCCGTGGCATCGCCCAACACGCCGGCCAGCTCGATCCCCAGGTTCAGAACGTAATACAAGATGGCATTCGCTTCGATATTATGTCCACCCATGCCACTTCTCAGCCAATCCGCGCTGGACGTGACATCCATCAAGCCCGTGTCATCTACGTTGCTGAGAGACCAGCCCACGCCAAGCTTGAACTGGTCCCAGTATTGGGTAATCCAGGCCTGATCACCGGTATAATGGTAGTAGTTGTACATGCCGATCAGGTTGTGGAGATGATATGTGAAGGAGACTGCGTTGATGATACTAAAAAAGGGCACACCGACGTAGGGCAGGAGACCTGCGGCGGTCTGGAGGAGGAGGAGGGATTCCATCGAGTTCTTTATGGCGTCCATGTCGTAGGTGCTGTAGGCAATGGAGGGCCCGGAGATGAACATGTCGCCTGGCCAGACGAGGGTGTCCCGCTTGGCGCCGTCCACGAGGCATACTGATCCATTAGTTATGGTGTAGTTGTAGTACCTTGGAGGTGGTAATGATTCCCTTCATTAGCTAGCTGCATCATAGACTCGCCAGGATTCATGCAATATAGACACATACCAGGTCTGAAAGGTTGGCGGGTCTACTTGACCATTCTCATGAATCAGCGCATCTCCGTATTGAGGGTCAATGCTGCAAAGCTCTGTAGAAAAATGCTTGTGTCAGTAAATTTTTTTTAAATTTTTTTAAATTTTTTGGCAGTTTACAATGCATCGCTCGAAACGACCGTCCGTGTGAGTTTGAGAATAGTACGTACGATTTGTATACGCTCCTGCATACCAGACCCTGTTGATAAGCTCATCATCACTGTGAAAATATCCTGTATAGCCTTGCAGGTCCGAGGTAGGCGAAGCTGTATAGTAGACAGCAAGGCCAGTCAGCTCAATGTCGCCGGTCCCGTTGTTCTTGAGACTTAGGTACCGATAGCCGCCTCTCGCATGCTTTCTGTCTACCGTGTATAGGCCAGCGCCCTGTCCGACGGGCAGGAATCTGCGCACAGAGTATGAGCCGAAAGTCATCTCCAGAAAGAGACAGTGATCTCACATGGGTTCATCCAGACCATAGGTAGCCGTAGAATCGCTGGCATTCCCGCTGATCCACTCGCTGGACTCGGTGAATGTGATCCATATCACGGCATCCTCTGAGTAGACCGAATCTCCAGCCACGAGAGAGACCTGGCCAGCAATGTTCTTGCCAAAGTCGAGGGTAACGGCAGATGATGCCTCGAATGTCACTGTGCTGTTGGCACCGTTGAGCAGCCCCTCGGCATTGCTAACGGTACCGTTGACATTATATACGGAGACTGGATAGACAGTTCGAGAGGAGGGAGCCAGGATGTACTCGCTGTAGGGCGCCGAGGATACTACACCCAAGAAGGAGAAGAAAATAAGGGCGGGTAGTCTCATCATATCAACGACTGGCTACGGCGCGGTAGGAGAAAGACAAAGCAGAAGGTTTTCCCGCGGGATGAGAGGAGACAGGTCTCTCACAGTTTTCAAGGGAGATACCTAACGATATATTGTGCTAAGGAGGACAAGAGTGTGACTCGAAAGGACACAGTGGGGAACAACCATGGCTACCCTCCTCGCACAGATTTGAGTGAGAGTAAACCTACATTTTATACGCAGACTTGCCGACCGCCCGCCGTCCTGGCGGTGTCCAGGAATCTGACGGGAGACAAGCCCCGAGCAGGGCACAAACCTAAAGACGAGAGGCCGGGAGAATATAATAGCGAGCACGACGTCAGACCGTCACCATCTCGGGTCATCTCAAGAGCGGCGATAGTTCTCGTGATGTCGTCTTCGCTCTGTACTACTTGAGAAGGCAGAGAGGGCGGTGGTGAGGAATGTCCATGCGGGCGGGAGGCACTATCTAGTCGCGTGGGCGCCCGTCTCCTGCAAAAGTTGACTAGTAGGTCACCATCGGCAAGATGACATATGCAAGCAGAAGACCAGCAGACCATGCGTTGGTGGCTCCTCTCTCGGCCTGGATGCTGTCCGAGCTGGGCTGCTGGGTCGCATGCAGGAGCCGGCGTCCGGGCGTGATAGACTCTGGGGAAGGGAGCATCGAGTGCGGAGAAGCAAGCAAAGTTGGGTCAGGCGTGCTACCTTGTAGGCCGAAGAACCTGCTTTCCTTTTTTTTTCTCTCTCTCTTTGTTTCCTTCATTTGTCATGGCGTATCCGGCACGTTGTTCATGGATGTGAGGAGAATGGCTTGCGAGTCTCTGGTTAGAAATGCTGCCATGCCGGCGTTTGTGTCAGCAGCGGGCTGACATGTCTCTGAACTGGAGGCAGCATCGGGAATGAATAGGCCAATGGGAGGGACAGAGGTTGAAGCAGGCTGTTTTTCAATTCTGTAAATTCAAATGTGCGTGTGTGAGTTCCTGAGAGTCAGTGCCCCATGTGATTTGATCTTTTGGGATGCAGATTTCGTTCACTGTTGGTATGTCGGTACCGTGTGCAAAAAGAGGAGGTGCGTATGATCAAGGGTAGTAGAGGGTTCTATCTGCTATAATACCGTATGTAAGTACAAAGTATTGCACTATAGTCCGGTAGATATGACAAGGTAGTACTGACAAGTTTATCCACCTGGGAGACTCAAGAGCACTGCGTTGTGACTGGGATGGTGATGAGAGAGCAGATCTTGTGTATTTGGCGAGTGATTGGTTGCACGAAAGGAAGAGGAGAGGGCCTGGTTGGAAGAGGGGGTGATTGACCTGACGTTGAGTTTGTGAAACCAGGGGAGGGGAAGTTAAGACCGATTGCCGTGAGAAAAGAGAGGGTACTATGGTACCGTCATGTACTACGGTGCTTGATTCTCTGCGCTAGGCTGGGACAAGGGGTCGCACATTACACCTTGAAGGGACAGCGCTCAGTATAGCAATCAAATTGATCAGATCAAGTAAAGTTCGTTGGCAGAGAGAAAAAAAAGCTTAGATCTGCAGATTCAATCTCATTCGAGGTAGGAGTATTGGCATATGCTCATTTGGGAAGATTGTCTTCATAGTGGGATTTGCTGAATGCTTGGACGATTCGACCTTAGAAGTTGCCTAGTTGGGCATGGACAGCCTGTAAAGGCACCCCTGCTCACCAAGAGCGTGCGTGCCCACTGCAGGTACCAAGGCTTTGGCGGCCCTCCGTCTCCCCAAAAGCCAAAGTGGGGCATTCCAAAAATTCCTCCTAGCATCAAATAAATCTCACACGGCTGAAATGCAACTCTGCTCTTAAATACACATCGTGGCACATGATGATAATTGTCACAAAATCCTTACCCACATCTCACAATAATCTCTCTATCTCTTCAACAAAAATCCACACCCTCCCCAGCGGCTGAACTTGACAAGCAAAGTCTCGTCTGCCCGTCATGTTCGCGGTGAAAGGATGGTCCGTCTCAACAGAGAAGCTGAAGCCTGAGGTCGCCAGTGCGGCCCCAAACGCTCCCGGCCCCAAGAAGTCTAAGAAGAGGAAGAGACAGGCTGGGGCTGACCAGGTCACGTCCTCTAACGTGGCTGATCTTTGGGAGCAGGTCATGGAGCGCGAGAATGCCCAGACGCAGGCGGGAAAGCCTCAGCAGTCGCAGCCAGGGGAGAAGAAGGCGAAGAAGGATAAAAAGAAGCGGCAGAAGCTGGACTCGGACCCAGTACTACCTTTGGAGGAGAAAATTGAGGCACATGGGAACGATAAGGCCTCCAAGCCTGATGACAAGGCGGCCAGGAAGGATGACAAGAAGGAGAAGGCAAAGAAGGACAGACAGATGCCCAAGGACGCCGCAGCGGCAGCAACAGCAGCCCCAGCGCCATCCGAGCAGGCCCTTGTGCCCTCAGTACCACCAGCACCACCAAAACTCACCCCTCTCCAGGCCTCGATGCGCGAGAAGCTGATCTCGGCACGCTTCCGCCACCTCAACGAGACGCTCTACACCCGGCCCTCTGCCGAAGCCCTCTCCCTCTTCGCCGGCTCTCCAGAGATGTTCACAGAGTACCACGAGGGTTTCCGGCGGCAGGTTGAGGTCTGGCCCGAGAACCCCGTCGAGGGCTACCTCACCGACATCCGCACAAGGGCTCGCGCCCGGCACCCGCCCAGGGACAGCAGCAGGAGAGCCGCCCCTGGGGAGAACGGCGCCGCCCCGCCCCAGCCGCAGGCGCACCTCCAGCCCCTCCCGCGCAACCGCACGACCAACGTCTGTACCATCGCCGACCTCGGCTGCGGAGACGCCCGGCTCGCCGCCGAGCTGCAGCGCGACAAGGGCAAGCTCCGCCTCGAGGTCCTCAGCTTCGATCTGCACAGCCCGTCCCCGCTCGTGACCAAGGCCGACATTGCCAACCTCCCGCTGGCAAACGGGTCCGTTGACGTCGCCGTATTTTGCCTGGCGCTCATGGGCACTAACTGGGTCGACTTCATCGAGGAGGCCTACCGTGTCCTCCGGTGGAAAGGCGAGCTGTGGGTCGCGGAGATCAAGAGCCGGTTCGGCAGCGGCGCGGCTGGGCCTGGTGGCAAGAAGGGAGGCGGCGGCGGTCGTGTTGTAGAGCATAGCGTCGGGCACCGGCGCAAGCCGGCTGCGGGGAAGAAGATGGCGGGCGGCAAGGGCGCTGGCGAGGACGGCGCTGTGGACGAGAAGACGCTGCTGGTTGAGGTGGACGGCGTCGAGGACAACAGACAGCAGACGGACGTCTCGGCGTTCGTTGACGTTCTGAACAAGCGCGGGTTCATGCTGGTGGGCCAGGACCAGGGCCAGGGGGCGGCCGCCATCGACCTGAGCAACAAGATGTTCGTCAAGATGCGGTTCATAAAGGCCGCGCCGGCCGTCAAGGGGAAATGTGTGCGGAAAGAGGTCGAGAACGACCGCAGCAAGCTTGGGGGGAAGCTGCCGACCATGGCCAAGAGGCCCAAGTTTATTGATGCGGAAGAGACGGTGGATGAGGCTGCGGTTTTGAAGCCTTGTGTATACAAGATCCGGTAGACAAAGAGAAAGTACGACAGCAAATATCAGAAGAAAACAAGACACGACCAGCACAAGTGACAGTATAAGTAGACCCATGGTTTTGACAATATTAACCCGGGGCTATAATCTGCGCTTCTATGGCCTCCACTTGAGATGAGTACTCCTTACGGTTTCTTGTCCACATCTTGACGACAGGCTCACGAATATTCACAATGTATACACCACTACCTTTTCCCTTTGGCATTACAGTACCTTCCATGTGGCTCTGTCCGCTATGCACATGCACATTGTCTCGAAGAAAGACAGCAAAAAAGAGAGGGATCACCGGTCACAATCATAAGGTTTCCCAGCTGTGATTGCGACGGTACTTGACGCTGAATGTCTTGTCGTTCATTGGTCGAAGAGCAAGCCGGCGGCATACTCGACGTTGCCTCCAGTGGCGTGAAGGGCGTTGATAACCGCCTCTCTCGAGAATCCCAGCTGCACAAGCTGCTCGATGGCCTCGTTGGGGAAGCTCGGCTGTGCTTGCTCTGTTTGCTGTGCTTGCTGTGCTGGTTGCGCTGGCTGCTCTCGTGCCCGACTCGGTGGCCCCAGCAGTGCCGCAGCTAGTGGCGGAGGGGCGGGAGGTCCCGGTGCTGGCGATGTCGGGAGGGTTGCGGACAGGTCTGGATGTTGACGACGTGGTGTTCGGGATGGACCTGGAACTGGAGATGGTGTGAAGCCCGATGTTGACGACGACGAGGGTCCAGAGGCGCCAGGAGCCCCGGGGCCGGGGCTTGTGCCAACTTGAGAGACGGTTCCAGACTTGGCACCAATGGCCATACCACTCGGACCAGCAAGCTTCGGCTCCACGGCGAGAGCCTCCTCAACCTCCTTTGGGATATCTGCCTCGCCGAGGAACGGCACCTCGACACCCTGGATCAAGAGCTTGTCCCTGCCGAGGTCGAGACAGGCCTGGTGCCGCTTGAGCATGTCGAGCCCCAGCAGGAGCTCGACGTTCTTCCCCTCCATGACGGTGAAGCTGCAGGGCAGGAAGAGGCTGCCAATCTTGATCTGTGCCGAGTGCACGCGGCCCATGATCATGGCCGTGCCGACACCCTTGGCTATGCCGGCGAACCGCTTGTCGACCAGGCGCATGATGTTGCAGGCTTCTGCGCACGCTGGAGACATGATGGTTGTCTGTGCACCAGAGTCCACAAGGGCCTTGAGCTTGTGGCCATTGACCTCGACGTCGACGTAGAGCATGTGCACGCGGCCGAAGACTATGGCACCAAAAGGGTCAGTCAGTGATGATGAATAGTCGGACAGCCTTAGACCTGCCGCACAGCGAAACAGAGAGGGGGGAGGGATATGACTCACCTTCGGGGTTGTGCTCCATCGCATTCTGCAAGTTCTCCATGACCCTCTCCTGGCGGATCATTTCTTCGATCTTTGCCTGTGCCTCGACGTCAAACGGGTCTGCATTCAGTGCTGCTATTTGCCGCTGTCTCTCGGCCTTGTCCCTGAACTCTCTGTCCGCGGCATTTCTGAACTCGGCGGCAAACTGCTGTGGGTCGTTGATGTGATCGGCCAGGCGCGGCTGTGTCCTGCGTAGCTCTGGTATCAACGAGGGGTTCCCCAGGAACTGCAGCCTGATGACCTCGGGATCCGTCTGCACCGCAGACCGCGGGGCGCCCGGCTGCTGCTGGTTCTGGGTAGAAGACCCAGCTTGGCCGCTGCTGGAGGAGTTATTGGTAGGTACACCGGTGCTCCCGCGCATGTCACGGACGTGGAGGGCGAGCATCTCGCCGTCGCCTATCGACAGCTCCTCCATGGTCTTGTTGTTGTCGGAGATCAGCCGGCCGTTGTGGTAGAGATGCTGGGCGGCGGGGTCGATATGGGTTTCGCCGTGGATGGAGCTGCGGAGGGCCTCGACGGTCATCTCGGGAAAGACCTCGAGGGTGAGGAGGTCCTGGTCCTCCGCATCGGGATTCGTGATACTCAGCGTAATTCTCCTGTGGGGACACGAGGCTTGGTCAGCTTTCCAAGATATCCCCGACCAGACGACGGTAAACAAAGGGTCTGATGGGGGCCTACATTGTAATCAAGTTCGTGTGAGTGACAGGGCAGGAGAGCCTGAGATCTCGCGAATGTCTTCGGAGTAAAGGAAAGGTTCAAGTCAAGCTTGTTGTGGAGGAGGAGGAGGTGGTGGTGGTAGTGGTAGCGGTGCGGGCATGACAATGATTTATTACACCGATGGTCGCGAGAACGAACGTGTGGGTTCCCAACAAATACGTCAGCGGACGGGGAGCGGTAGTAGGAGGGGCACATTCAAACGGCTCACGGGCCTGTCCTTCAAGTTCTGGACCACCCAAGCAGCTGAAGGTGGGGCACCTTTAGTGGGTGGGGATAGGGCATGTACCAAAGTAGGGCGCTGTGGTGGGACCCAGGGGGCAATGCTGGTGACCTGCGGGAGGGTGCAAAGAGGTCCCTATTGGGGACGAGGCAAACAAGAAACAAATGACCACAGGAATAGCGACCGTTCGAGACCATGCAGGCAACCGTAAATGTGTTCCATCTTCTCTACACCAGATCATCCGGCAGATAAAGAGACGAGCTGCATGCCTCATTCGCAAGTTTCTTAAACAAATGCTCCTCTATAGAAGGATGTGCTCTGGATAGAAGGCCTGAGGACGAGGTTTTAAAAGATGGTAGGCGTGTCGGGCTAGGGCTCGTAGAGGCTGACAGGGCCTCCACCAGACCAATCCAGCGCCTGTGGTTCCCCCTGGACCCGAAGCTAAGTAGTAAGAAAGCGGCAGAGTACAGTATGGTGCAACGTTAGAGCTGGGGCACGTCCGGGGCTGATGCGAGCTTCCGATCTCCGTGTACCCCTGTGCCCGGGAGATATCCTTTGATCGTGAAACGCAGCCTTGGAGGTCCCTTTCTTGAAAGCGGCCAGGAGACACGAAAGTGCCAATCACGTAGAACTCCGATAGGCTGCAGGACCAGACATGAGGAAGATGTATTATACAATATACTACTGTCTCAACCAATGAGGTAATTTGTTAGTCTGTTATATATACGAGTAACGAAAGACTGGTGGTAACCGGTATACAATTGTAGAACCTCTTTAATCTGATCCCCTCACACAACTCTCTCCTCATCTTGAAATCTACTTTTCACTGGCCAAGATTGGAAGTGGTGTGAGGGGCCAGGTCGTTCCATCTGTTTGTTTTTCTTTCTCTTCTTCTTTTCCCTCGACGCACGCTGCTGCCCAACTCCTGCCGATCACCTCAACCTTTTTCCAACATCACTAAAGCATGCATCGCTGCTACTAATCTTTTCAGCCCTCTCTATCTAATTAACTATTTCGTCCAGCATTGCCATTCTGAGCTACCTGCATAGAATACCACCAAACCTAACAAGAGCCGACCGTTGCACGCTTCCCATGTCTTGCAGCTCCCCCTCTTCTTCCTCGCGCCAAGCCCTTGAGGGGAAGATGCGAATAGGCAGGGTTGGTTTTTTTTTAAGGGTAAAAACCCAGTACCTCTATTTTCTCTCCCTCTTTCTACCTTGTCAATCTGGTCGTACTATGGTACCTGCTGCAGACCGGTCTGCTCGTTTCTGGCCTGCGGGCTATGCCGTGCATATTCCGACTTGCAGAAGCGCAGACCAACATGGATAAGCCATTGAAACGTACTATGGTAGACAAGCAAAAGAGCCCGACTGGGAGGGTCGATCAATGGATCAGGATTGGTCAGCCTCAGAAGCGAGTTTAATCTTTGGGTGGGGGAAGGGAAGAGGTGGGGGGGGGGGGAGGTAACGGGATCAGAGTTGCGAATGATGAAGGGGAGACGAGCACAAGCGCCCCCTGCCCCGGCCATTCTCGCAAAAAGAACTTCTTCTGATGTGCTCGAGGTTGCGTGGCAGGCGGCAAAAGTGAAGGAGAAGAAAATGGAAAGAAAATCTTATTCCCAGACATAGACAAGAGTGAGTGAGTGAGTGACCGACTGGTCCTATTCCCAAGCCAGTCTATCTTATCCTTCAACGACCTGTATAGGTAAAGTGGAACTCCTGGTTATAGGCTCTCGTCCGTCCTCTCTAGTCGCCTGTGCCGGGTACAGGGGTAACAAGCCTCGTGACTGCACTAAGCCCCACTGCCGGGGCGATCAAGAAGAGTCTCTCCAAGATGACCGCAAGAGGCCATGTAGATCCGTCCGATGGGTCACGCTGGCCGGCCTGCATATTTCTTATTTCTTTATTCCTACTTCGTTTTGTATTTCTTCCAAAGCGAACGAGTGAATATGATTGATTGATTGTCTCTAAGGAGTCTCTGGGTGTCTTATCAAGACATCCGCGTATTGAAAATTTTGAAGCTCTCAAGAGAAGGAAAGAATACCCTGGTGCTATCTGGTCATCCTCGACCTTGGCTCCCCTCCTCGCGTCTCGGAGAACCTCGATTGACTGAATCGTAAACCTCTCCTATCACGTCGACACAGCAATTGCGCTGGGGGGTTGACTGCCCCTGCGGTGCACCTTTCTGCGAGACACCCTTTAGGGAAGACGAGCATACCACCTCCATCTCAAGGAAAACTCCAGGTCTATCGAGCACAATCGTCCCACGTGCTGCCTCGCTTCCCCACCCCCCCCCCCCATTCTCTCCACACTATCAACCCGTCCTGCGGTCCCACACGGCATTCGAACCTCGAATACCTTCTTTCCCCACATCCCTGCTGTCTCGCGACTACGTCAACCCACGGGTCGAGATACTTCCCAAGGAATCAACAACCTTAGGTGTCTCGGTCTGGAACAACTCGGCCTCTGCGTCAATTCGTCATTCCAGGACAGAAGTTAGCAAGGTCGTTGCACAGACCTTCGCCTGTCTCATCCAAGACACGCATCCTTCCTCCCCCCAGAGGGTTTTTCAACGGTTCAACACAATAACCTGGGTCGCATGCAGTAGTGAGCAACAGCAGCAAGCCATGGCTCCAGACTCAAAGGGCTATGGCCCCTCGACAGCCGCAAAGTCACTCAAGGACCTTATCAAGAGCGAGAACGTGGAGGCCTTTGACGAGGATGACGAGGATGTGGACGACGACTTCGCCGAGCTGCAGCGCATCCAGAGCGCCAAGCGTCGCGAGGCCAAAGACATGTCCCACAAGTCTCGCATCCAGGAGGTCCTAGGCATGACCTTTTCTCCCAACATCCGCCCTCTGGGTATTTCTGACTTGCAGTCCGTCATCATGCTCGAGAAGGCCTCCATGCCCAAACCTGAGCACCAAGCCACGCCCGACAAGGTTCGTCGATATCAAATTTAGGAAGGAAGGAAGGAAGAAAGAAGAAGCTCCTGACGGGATGGGGATCCTGGGTTGTTGGGTCTCTTTTTCTTTCCCTCTTTCTTTCTCTGTTTCTTCTTTTTCTCCCGCCCTCTCTTTTCTTGCTTCGATGGGCCTAACGTGTGTCACAGTTCGAGTATCGCCTCACCGTGTGCCCCGAGCTGAGCATGGGTATCTTCCTCACCGTTGTCCCGAGCCAGATTGAGGACACCGACATCTTCGCGACTTTCGATGCGGCTCACCCCGTGGAAACGGATCGCCCCGACCAGGCCAAGAGCGTCCTGTTGGCCCACATCGTCGCCACGGCCTCCAACTCCAATACTGTCCTGGACAGTGACATGGAGATTCCTGCCGACTGGAAGACGTGCAAGGGCAAGGACACCGGCGGAAAGGGCCATTTGGAGGGCGGTCATACTGTCTGTCTACACACTTTGGCCGTCTCGCCCAAGCTGCAGGGCTGCGGCCTCGGCAAGCTCGTCATGAAGGCCTTCCTCCAGCGGATGAAGAACATCGGCTTCGACCGTGTCGCTCTTCTCTGCCAGGATGTACGCTTACCCCCCCCCCCCTCTCCCTTTCTCACTTTCTCATGAGCTGGTTTAAGGCGCGCGGGGAGAGACCTCTACTGACGCTCCAGGGCTAGTACCTCGTGGGCTATTATGAGCGCTTCGGGTACAAGCACGCAGGCAAGAGCAAAGTCCAATTCGGTGGAGGAGGCTGGCATGACATGGTCTTTGATTTGGGAGCAGTCTCCACTCCTCCCGAGGATGCTTCGTCTTCCTAGATTCGCATCTGCATTGCATCTGCATTGCACGCCATTCGAAAAGGCGAACCTCTCGTGTGGGTCTCAACTCATTCTCTCAAGATTCCCCCACCACCCCCCTAGCCAACCTGCTAACCGCCTTTGCTTCCAGGAAATTTTGGGAGTTCATGGCTCTCGGGTAAATTTTGAGGATCTGATCTGCATCGGCTGCTGGCGAGGCGTTAAGGATGTTGGCATTCCGATCATATCGAGACTTTGAGACTTACTCTAGTTCAGGGATAGACGGACATGGAGTATTTAAGAGGATAAAAAATGGGACTTACTTGGCCGGAACATGCTAGGCGTCATCATGGGAACGAGGGGCCAGTGTGTTCAGTCACTGGCCTTGAACTTGGTCCGGTACTCCTCTATGCTCTTGATAGTCTCTGCTGACGTCAAACTCTTGTTCTTGATGCCGTCAATGATGTCGTCCAGGGTCAGGATCGCAAAGACGGGCGCGCCGAGCTCCTTGCGCAGCTCACCCATCGCGCTGGGCATGGGCTTGCTGTCGTCTCCATCAGGCGAGGTCAGCTTCTCCATACGGTCCACCGCGACCACGATGCCAGCCACGGTCCCGCCCTCCTTGCGGATCTTCTCGATGGCTTCCCTCTTGGCCGTGCCGGCGGTGATTACATCGTCGATGATGAGCACCCTCTTGCCCTTGAGCGGCGCACCGACGATGTTGCCGCCCTCGCCGTGGTCCTTGGCTTCCTTGCGGTCGAACGAGCACAGCGTGTCCGCGTGCGAGGCCGGGTCCAGCTCACCCAACTTGAGATTAGTCAGCGTCGCGAGGGGTATGCCTTTGTAGGCCGGACCGAAGACGATGTCGAAGTCGAAGCCGGGAATCTGCGTACGCGCCTCGATGATAGCCTTTGCAAAGGCGGTGCCGATGGCGCTCTGGAGTTTCGAGGTGTAAAAGTCACCCGCATTGAAGAAGTAGGGCGATATGCGCTTTGACTTCAGCTCAAAACTGCCAAACTTGAGAACTCCACCCTCAAGAGCAGCCTGGAGGAACTCGGCCTTGTAAGGAGCAAGAGTGCTGGACATCTTGTAGTGCTGGTAAAAAAAAAAGGAGTGCAAACTATGCTATGGTGTATTGTTACATGAAAAATCACACTTTTTTTTTTTTGGGACCCCTAGGAGGGTCTGTTAACGACGCGGGGTTGTACTGTGCTCGCCTTCTTCTACCCCTGCACCCTAGTGGGAGCCTTACTGTATCGATAAGCAGTAGTGCTGTGAGTGATCAGCCTCCCTAGATGGCTGATTTTAGCTCTGGCGATTTGAGTATGCATCGAGTACTTTTACGTACCAGCCAAACAAAATGTATTTTGAGGTCCAATGTCCAGGTTCGCTTTGATATAGTTCATTGCTACCTACTGACAGCATGCGCATGCCCTCATCAAAAGCAAAGTGCAATGGCCACCACTTGACAGCCTCAGAACACTCAGTTTGCTGCTTGACAGTCATTTCCACTAGGAAATATTTGAATCCTAAGGTATATATGTTATCTACACAGTGAATTCTGTTGACAGCAACACGGAAAGGATACACCACAATCACCACTACCACATCCCACTTGGGTCAGATCACCTCCACAATCACTGGCATGCCACTCGGGATTTCTGCGAGGATTCTTTCTAGACCCTCCAGCCCCTACAGCATCTAGGATTTCTGACTTCACTGGTGCTGAGGAGGCTCGGGTTCTCATACCTGCATTCCGCCAACCTGTCTGTGTCTTTGTCAGTTTAGATTCATATGTAGATAGATACTTCTAAGCTTTGATTCTTGATGTACAACTCGGTAACTCTTCTCTTCCTCAAGCAACCACAAATACCATCCTGGAGACCATCCACAAGCCATTGCAGAGTTTATCATCATCACTATCAATGTAAAATATTTACTCTCGGCTATCCTCAAAGTCACCACCACATTCCTCACCATTGTTCAATTCCCTCTCCACTGAAGGCCAGCACGAAGGGCCCGTGATCAGTGCTCGCAGTCAGAGGCCTCTGCCAGTCCAAGGTTGGAGGAAAAAATTGAATGCCAAGTATCCCCATCGTTCCATACCAATACCTCCTTGTATCGAGTTAGAACAGCTTGGATTATCATACATTAACACGAAGCTACAGACACACAATCCTGACACACTGTCAACATACTGTCGAGATACTGTCAACGTTGATGGATCGAGACATACAGTCTCAAAGAAATTGTCGGTCCACATACATCAAATTCCACGGGCAATACTCTCGCAAGCATACAGCTCTGTCCCCAATTCCATATACCTGAATCTTTGAATACAGAATCTGGTGTTGTGTCCAATGCTCAGGAATCGATCATGAGAGAACACCAAATCATACCAATACAGTGTGGCGTCCGAATCATCACCGTGTCTCAGCGAAGAAAAAAAGTTCTCCACAGACCCCTAGCATCTTATCTCTTATCGCCGGTAGTGCCAAAGTCCCTGCCATTTTCCTCCCCGCTGAACTTTGGGAACTTTTTTCTACAGACTTTTTTTCGGGCCTGCATCTTGGCCACTGAGCTGCATCTCATCAGGGTTTTTACGATTTACCCTCTTTGACTGGCTATTTGGGAAGCAGCTCGGCGTCCTTTTCAACCGACAGCTTCATCATCGGTTTCGCGCTCATCACATATTCAGGCCTCCGACTCCTCGCCCAAAGTTTTGCCACGCTCCGCTACCTTACCGCCACCCTCATCACCGTCGGCCGCTATAGTAGGCCTGACGGTCACTCTTGTCAACGTCCGTTAAGATGCCTCCAACGAAGACCCAAACCCAGTGGAAAGACATACCTCCGGTTCCATCCAGCGAAGAGTTCCTGGACATTGCCCTCAGTCGCACACAGCGACGCCTGCCTACGATCATCAGAGCAGGCTTCAAGATCAGTCGCATCAGAGCGTTCTACACGAGAAAGGTCAAGTTTACCCAGGAGACATGTATGTATAATGAGTTCAGTCTGGGAGGTTGTTTTGGGAGCGATTCTGACAGTGCTCTCCAGTCTCCGAGAAGATTGGAACTATTCTCGAGGCCTTTCCTCGAATCAACGAGATACATCCTTTTCATAAGGATCTCCTTCACACCCTCTACGATGCCGACCACTTCCGAATTGCGCTCGGACAGCTGTCCACTGCCAAGCACTTGATCGAGACGATCAGCCGTGACTATGTGCGCCTCATCAAGTACGCACAGTCGCTCTTTCAGTGCAAACAGTTGAAGAGGGCGGGTCTCGGTCGCATGGCTACCATCATCAAGCGCCTCAACAACCCGCTGAAGTACCTTGATGAAGTCCGGCAGCATTTGGGCCGTCTGCCCTCGATCGACCCCAATACCCGCACCCTCGTCATCTGCGGTTATCCGAACGTTGGAAAATCCAGCTTCCTCCGTTCCATCTCCCGCGCCGACGTTGACGTTCAGCCCTATGCTTTCACGACCAAGTCTCTGTTTGCTGGTCATTTCGATTACAAATACCTCCGCTTCCAGGCTGTGGATACCCCTGGTGTCCTGGACCATCCACTTGAGGAGATGACGACCATCGAGATGCAGTCGATCACGGCCATTGCACACCTGAGAGCCGCGATCCTGTACTTTATGGATCTGTCTGAGCAGTGCGGATACTCGGTCAAGGCGCAGTGTGCGCTATTCAGGAGCATCAAACCTCTATTCCAGAACAAGATCTGCTTCATTGTCATCAACAAGATTGATGTCATGCGCCCAGAAGATCTGGACGCCGAGACGCAGGCAGACCTGCAGTCGCTGTTGAAGTCTGGTGAGGTCGAGATGGTCCAGGCCAGCTGCAACACTCAGGAAGGCGTTCAGGCTGTAAAGAATGCAGCGTGCGAGAAATTGATCGCAGAGCGCGTCGCGACCAAGCTGAAGGCCGGCCAATCAAGCAGCGGCGCTGTCGGCAGTAGGTTGCAGGAGGTCATGACCAGGATACACGTCGCACGCCCCATGGAGGGGTCGACACCTCTGGAGACCTTTATCCCTGAAGGTATCAAGTCGATGAAGAAGTTCGACAAGAACGACCCAGAGAGACGGAAGCTCGCACGGGACGTCGAGGAGGAGAACGGCGGTGCTGGTGTCTTCAATGTCGATCTTCGGGCAGACTGGGACCTCAAGGACCCTGCCTGGAAATACGACAAGATGCCTGAGGTCGTCAACGGCAAGAACGTGTTCGACTACGTTGATCCAGACATTGATGCCAAGCTCGCCGCTCTTGAGGAGGAAGAGGAACGCTTGGAGAAGGAAGGCTACTACGACTCGGAAGAGGAGATGGACGATGATGAAGAGGAAGATTTGCTGGAGAAGGCCAAGCTGATCCGCGAGAAGCAGGCACTCATTCGCAATGAAGCTCGGATGAGAAAGTCTCTGAAGAACCGCGCCATACTGCCGAGAAGCAAGGTCAAGAAGCCTCTCTCACAGCTCGCAGACCACCTCGACCAGCTCGGCATCGACGCGACAGAGATCGAGGCTCGTGGAAGGGCAGCACCGAGCTCTCGTGGTCGTTCTCTCAGCCGTGCTGCTACTGAGGACGTCGACGGCATGGATATTGACTCCCCTCGGGAACGTCTGCGTTCCAAGAGCCGGGCGCGCAGCCAGGCACCCGCCACAGACAGACGGCAGGATGGTGTTACAGACGAAACAGCACGCACCAAGGCAGAAAGGGCTGCCAAGCTTGGGCAGAGGAAGATGAACAGGATGGCACGAGCTGGTGAGGCCGACCGACACGTTGCTGCCTCCATGCCGAAGCACTTGGTAAGTTTCCTTGTTATTGGTCTTGTTGTGTCACTTCTTTGTCATTCGAACATGGGGATACTGACTTCACGAAATAGTTTGCTGGAAAGCGTGGCATGGGCAAGACTTCTCGTCGCTAGACAATGGAAGGATACGGAGGCTTCATGTGGGATATGGCGTTTGGCAAGGTTGATTTCAACCAAAAAGAATTTTTGAAAGACTTGGAGGGCTCAAGGACATTGCTCCATTTCGGTGTCGGGATAGGAATGTAAAGCTCTGTTCTTTCTCCTGATGGAATCCGATACTTTGCCTTCACACTTTCGATGTCTAGTAATCCTATCGATACCAAATAGACAAGGAAAAGTTTCTTATCGGACTTATGTTCAGGACATCACGACGGTCGTCACATCAAGCGGTTCGATGAATATCATAGCCATGAACATGTTGCGTTTCTCTTGTTGAATCACCCGAGGCAGAATTCTTGTAATATCACACAAAGTCAAGCAAGGCTCGTGCTTCTCGATCAGTCTTCTGACGGGCCATCCTCCAAGCCCCCGTCTCCGCCCATTATGTAGTATTCATCTTGAGGTGACCTGAACCCGAGTACTGGTCCCGTGACTGCTTCCGTCCAACTATATCTCGTTCGGATTCTCTTATACCTGCTCCTCCCTACTCCTCTGCGACCTGGATGCCCTCTCTCAGACCCTCCACCTTCAGCTCCTCACCCGCACAGCGGCGGTAGATGTCCCTGACATCATCAGTGGTGGTCTCGAAATGGCTGGTCGCATCGTAGCTCTTGGACACGAAGATCTTGTCCTTGGTGCCGTCATCCAAAGGCTCATACAGTGGGATAGGGGGTCCCTGCGTGACCAAGTCAGTAACAATGTTTTGGCTCAAGTCTGTACATGGATCAGCTAAACGTACCAAGAACTGCTCCTCGATCTTGCCAAGGCGCTCCAGGCCAGGCTGAAGCTCGAGGTGGTGGTTGGCCGTCGTCTCGGCAATGGTCGAAACAATGGCGATCCAGTAGCCCTTGGGGCAGACGTTGTGCGCGGAAGACACGCAGGCAATGTAGATGTCTGTACACAATGTTGATCAGCAAGTGTGTCCCAGAGGGGGGGGATGTCGCGGGGGCCCAATGGTCATGACCTACCGTTCTTCCGGCCGACCTGGGACTGGGGAATGATCAGCTGAGCAGAGTCGGCGTCGTGGGTTCCGGTCAGGGGGTGCTTGAGCACGCAGATAGCGCGCAGCACGTGGCCAGTGACCTTGACCTTGCTGGAGAAGTAGGTTGGGTCACCGAGGATCATCTTGGCCTTGGTCTCGAACTTCATCTCGGGCTCGATGCCGGTCATGGTGGCCTTGATGCCGACGGCCACGCCATCCTCGTACAGCACCTCATCGACGTTGGTATTCAGCATGTAGGTACCGCCATAGATGGCAGACAGACGGGCGAAACCCTGTGGCAGCTCGCCGAGGCCATACAGGGGGTAGATGTACGGCGACTTGCCATAGCGGGCGACGGAGTTTCCGTACAGGCGGATGCGCTCGATGGCCTCAGGAGCGACGCCCTTGGCAGTGATGTAGTTGTCGTCAAGGTACAGGGCCATGGCATGGCCAATGAAGTCCCGAGTGCCGTCCTCAAGGCCGAACTTGTCGTAAACCTCCTTCATGGTGCAGTTTGCGATATCCAGGCCTATATATTCGTGTTAGCATGCTTGGCCGGCCGCCCCCCCGTATTCCAAAGTGACTCCTCGAGACTGACCCTTGTGCGTCGCCGTGTCCTTGGCATCGAAGGTACCGACCCACTCGATGAAGCCCTTCATGCGGCGCTTCTCGAAGATGCCCATGAGGGGCGACTTCAGCGCCTCACCAGCATCAGACGGGACCTTGGCGACGGTGGCCTTGGAGCCAGAGCCTTGTTGCACGTAGCTTCCTGCGACCTGCTTGAACTCAAGGTATCTGGTGACATCGGTGGAGACGAGGATGTTGGTCAGCTCGCCCGAGGACATGAGGAACTTGGGGATCAGGTCGATGTTCCAGTCATTGGCGCGGCCGTATTTCTTCCATGGCTGGTCTCCCGAGACATTGCCATACTTCTTGAAGAGCTGCGGATGTGTACGAGGTTAGATATGGAGCAGGGACAGGGTGTCGGCGGAAGCAGGCTTTCGAGCAGAGGACGTACAGTCTCGAGGTTCACGGATGCGGCCTCACTGTGAGAACAACGGTTATTAGCGTGCCATTTCTGCAAACCACCTTGTCCAGGCCGTCAGGTGAGAGAGAGAGAGAAGAAGAGAGGAGAGCTCACCCGCCATAGTGGTCGTTGCGGTCAATGTGGAGGACCTTCTTGCCTTTGACACTGAGCACACTGTTGTGTAACCAGCAACGTTAGTTCCATATGCCAATGTAGATGTCCCTAGAGACCCTATTTGTTCGAGGATAAGCTTTACCCAGAGAGAATGCACTCAGTCAGGCCTAATTATCAAGTTGCCACAGTTAGAAACAATATGGACCCAAAACAGGATGTGATAGCTTCATTCAAGGGGCATAACGCCCCAAGCAAGCAAGCAAGCAGCACCAGTACCAGCACAACCCCACATTGCGGGGGTTGACGTAGAGGGGAGAGAGACAAGCGCTTACCAGTGCCCAGCACAATGACATCGTACTCCTTTGCGATCTCATCCATGATTGCAGTTTCTGTCGTGGAAAAAGGTATGATGCTGCGAGGAGAGAGGACAGTTCGCAGAGGAGGTTGAAAAACAGGAAGTTCACAGAGAGAAAGAGAAGCACCAGGAGTGTCGGTGAGTTCGGTTGTGTGTGGAATTGTTCGAGGTCGACGTGTCGGATAGTCTCCAAAGGCTAGTGACTGCTGCTGTATTGTACACCTGGGCAGCGCCAGCAGTGAGACCCCCTCCCCAAAAAGAGCTCCATGCGAGCCCGCAGCTCCCCTGCTGTTGAATGGGGCTTGTCTGGGACCCTGGGCGAATAGGAGGGGCTCCGGCCCCCCTGACCGGCCTCTCACCAGCACTGTCTCGTCCCTCTAAACAGAGCCTAGACCACCATGCTCCCAGTGCTGGCCCCTAGGCGAAATAGGAGTCGGCTTCACCGTAACGACCCATCCCTTTTGCTTCAAAAAAGAAGAAAGGAAAAAATAAAAGGAAAAAAGGGTACCATGTAGGAGAGGGACTGTCGAGCGTGTTTCGACTGCCGAGGAACAGATAGGACGGCATCGAGATCGGTTACTCGCACAATCTTTATCCGGTCAGGCATAAAATCAAGCATTGATGAGTGTATACGCATTACATGGCATGGCCATCATTTTTATTTTATTTTAATACAGCAAGATCTGAATGCAGTAAGACCATTAAGCCCGTCCGAGCGCTCTCTTCATCTTATGCTACCTTCTTCGAGATGAGATTGGCTCCGGCCATGCCGCTCTCTCGTGATCCCCAAGAATGTGATGAGGAGGTGAGCTGTGTGTACCCTCACGCGCGAGGCGTATCCTGCTGACTCTTTCCGGTGCTCGATGGTAACGAAGGGTCGACGTTCTCAGGCTGCAAGCCCTTGCCCTCCTCCTCCATGAAAGTATCCAGCCCTTTGACATGGGCAGCGCCCACCTCGTCCTCAAAGAAGGCCTCAAAATCATCCCCATCCCCGCCAGGGACATACTGAACACCGTCTTCCGTGAAATTGATCTCAGGGTCCTCCTCGGCCAGCTTAACCGCATCCTCCCACGCGTAGAACCTCTCCGTCAGGGCATGCTTGATAGCATTCTGCGTCTTGCGAACCTATAGAAGACGTAGTATGCTTAGCATCCTGCCTAGGACCCTTCAAGGAACCGTTTCCTCTCTCTCTCTGGTCACGTAGATTTCCCCCAGAGCGTGAGGAAGAAGAGAAAGGAAGAAAAGAAAAAGGAGGGAGAGAAAGATAAGAGAAAAAAGATGAACATACCTGTACCTCCCGCTCCCGGCTCTCGACATCGCCATACCCATACCCACCCTTCTTCCGCTCGGCATTGCCCGTGCTGATCCTGTTCCTCTCTTTGCAGCACACCCACCACAGCCGGTGCAGGTCGTCCCAGCTCTTCCGTCGGAGCTCCTCCACGTTCCACGCCCGCCCGTGCTTGCTATCCTCAGCCGGCGTGTTGAGCGGCTTGTCGGCCGAGTAGAAGAAATCCCACAGCCCGTGGTTCGGATCCGTCTTGACCGCGGGGAACTGCTCCGGGCTGATGGGGCGCGGCAGCGGGAGCCCCGACACGGAGAGCACCTCTCTCGGCCCCGTGCGCCGCATCACGGACAGTCCACGCTGCTTGTTGTGGTCGCGGTTGGGCCGCCGGCGCACAACGGGCAGTTCCTTCTTCTTGGCCTTCTTCTTCTGCTGCTGCTGCTGCTGCTTCTCTAATGCTCCTGCTCCCCCTGCAGCAGCTGCGGCGGCGGCGGAGGCACCTGCATTGGACGGCGGGAGGGGTGCATTCGAGGAGGCGAGGCGGATCTGCGCCTGGCTGGACGTGATCGAGGGGAGGAAGGCTGCTGGTGGTGGGGTCCGGTTGAGAGGGCTCGGTCGGCAGGCCTGCAGGGCGCGCTGCACACACGGCCGTATGGCGCCGTGGTGGCTGGCCATTGTGTTGCGCTGGATGGATGCTCCAAAAAGCACACTCGGCGATGACTCTAGAGTAGAAAAGTTCGGACGAGGGTCGTCGTGGTGGTAAGATGGTAAGCAACGGCGGTCTGGGTGTTGCGGCGCCGTCGACAGACAAGAGAATGCTTTCGCTTCCAGAAATTTTGGCGAGCGGCCTAGCAGTAGTACCTGGGGACTGGGGTCAAGCTACAACAGCCAATCAGAGCCCACCTCACTACTACGTATGTGCCATGTACTGAAGTACTAACCACAGCCGCATCATCCCGCCTTGAACAAATCTCAACACGAGCGGAGAATTCTCTGTCACTGCATCTTGCAAGTCGAAAACAAGAAAAAATTGAGGTGAAGCGGGAAGAGAGAGGAGAGACTAACTTGAAGTCTTCAGATAACCAAGTAAGTGCACTACCTGTTGTGGACGTTCCACTTTATTTTTCTGACAATTGCAGCCACTTTAGCCAAGCTACAGAACATGCACCACGGGTGGTGATCAAAGAAATCTTCTCAAGCATGTCTCTATTGAAGTTCGTGACCTTTTCTACTGCAAACAAAAGCACACACTCCTCCTCTTATAGAAACAGTAACTCACATTCTATGCCACTTCTTGTAATCAGGGCATACCAGGGCTTGTCCTCCAAAGCGAAGCTCGGCGTCGGCGTCGGCCTGCTAACTTGGGGGGTCATTGGCCTGTACGTGTCCGATCGTGCAGAGGAGAAGTTCGGCTTCACTCCGTCCGAGAAGGATAAGGCCGAGCTCGAGAAGATGAAGCCCAAGATCCGTGTTGTTGATCGGGAGGGTCGGTCATGAAAACTCGATGACGAGGAGGAACACGGGGGGGGGGGGGGGAGAGTCAACTCTGGCTCTCGCATACGCTGTCTACAATTGCTGGGCATTCAATCGTGAACCGCACGCACTGTTACTTGGGCAGGCTCTCTCCAAATCAGGCGTCTTTTCTCTTGGCTTTTCGTGTCCCTCTTCTGCGCTGTCAACTGTGCCGTGGACCGACCTCTGTACACCACTCTGGTTCAATATGGATGGCAGCATTGCGTGTCTCTGCTCCAAGGACCAGTGTCAGTTGGTTCGCAGTCTTCATCGCCGTACTGCATGATGAGACGAATTTTTCGTGTAAAGGACACCGAGTGCCGAGAAAGGAATTTGAGTCCAACAGAACTGGGGGTTCCTTATGCTGAATCCATACTAAAACACACACGGCCATGCTGAATCGGTAGGCTTTTGAATGGGGGATATAATAAAGCTAAGCAGTGCATGAAGCCACTCTTACCTACCCGATTAGACCGTCCAACTTCATTTCGATATTGGTCTGTCAAGTTGATTTTTCTAGTTTTGTTTTTGTACAATGGTTTCCATTCAGTTGACTGTGCAACAGGCTGTTCCTGTCACAATATCTATGACACCTCAAAAGGTGTGGGGATCAGTCTAATGCAAAAGCCCACGACGTTACAGGGCACAAAAGTCTATCATCGCGGACCACCTGAAAATGCAAAACAACAATGCAGCCTCCAAACCGCCTCCGCCGCCACCTCATGCAAAACGGGAATCGAACTTTTTGAAATAGGCCGGAAAGTCGTTCCGAAAACGCCACGAATGCTGACGAAGCCCCCCGATATGGAAGAACATGGGAAGGAAAAAAAAAAAAGGCAAATAAAGGAAAGAGGGATGAAAGCAATAAGAAAAAGAGATGAGCAAGGGAAGAAGAAAGGAAAAGAGGGAAACCACAACACCGCAGACGAAATCCGAAGACAACGAAATGCCCCCTTTTGGACTGGCTCCCGATGTCATCACCTCGACTCCTCCTTTGACCTCGACGCCGACCATCAACAATTTGATGGTTGTAGTGACCTGCCATCCCCCGAGACAGAGACAAATGTATCTCCCAACGTATTTGAATGTCATGAATTTTGCAGTCGCCCGCCTCCATCGATGTCTTCTCTCATTGACCACAGCTTGGCCATCGCTCGCTGTTCCGTCCATTTTCACCCACAAACTCAGACACACAAGACAATCTCTGCACAAACTGATTATTATCCCGCCCAAATTAATCGTGTTATGCCGAGCTGGGTGTGAGGACCGTTTGTCAGAGTGCGTGTGCAGCGCAGGCCAATCCAGATTGACCTGAACAATTCCATTCCACGAATTTCTTCTTGTCAAAGACCGCCCAAGATGCATGGCGCGGGTTCCGCTGTCCAACCATGACGGTTTCGAATTCAATGGCATCTCGAAGAATCATAGAGCACGAGATGCTAAAAGTAGATTGATGCAGCAGATGGGCATCTTGGCGAGCGCATAACAAGATTGGTTTTCAGATCCTGGTCGAAACGCTTCGAAGCGACATCAGACAGACAGGCGAAGATATTGCGTGATCTTATCGGACAGCAATTGACAGTTCATTATGTCGGTGGGGTTGAGGTTGAGACAATGATATAGTGGCATGAGAGGTGATTTCGTTTTGAGGCGGGCGAACCAACCCGTAGGTATTATTGTTCACAAAATTACTGAGGCTTGCGGTCTGCATAGACACGAAAGTTAGGAGGGAAGGGTGAACTAGTACGGGTTGCTTGGGTAGGTTGCGCACCGAACATAGCCTGCCAGTCCAAATTCGACTGCTGCTGCTGGCCGTTGGACCCTCCATTGAACATGGGCACACCGTTCTGGTTCTGCGACATGCTGTAGGGGGCCATCTGCGGGGCCATCTGCTGGGCCATCGAGGTAGGAACGCCATTGTACTGTTGCTGAGTCGATGGGTTCAGGATCGGCGCAGGCCCACTTCTGCGATCTTCAGAGTGGCTGCTGGACCGCGACAGGTGCTGAGCCTGGTCATTTGGGTTAGAAGACATATGCATCTGATCCGCCGGAATGAGTCCAAAAGGGACCATTGATGGGTTGTGCACATTATTCATGCCGTTGAGGTGACCCATGTCTCCCTCATGACCATGCCCCAGCTGGGCCGCCGTCTTCTGGGCGTTCTTCTTAACGTGAGCAGCAGGGTGGCTCAAGTGTGAGACACCAGTGGGATTGCCTTTTTTTTTCTCTTTGGTCAGCCTCCGGAAGCAAAGTATCATCGAGTATCTTCGAATTTATATGCATACCTCGGCGGATCGAGCACTTCTGAAAGTGGCGCTTCAAAATGTCTGAGCGGCTGAATGTGTCTCTGCAGAGCACACACATGTAGGGGCGGTCACCAGTGTCTGTACAAATCAAACATTTTGTCAGTGTCGGTATTCGGCGGAAATTCATGCATAGTAGTGCGGAATCAGCGTTGAAACGTACGGCGGAGCATGTGACGCTTCTGTATATTCACTCTGTTAGCGACTGAGCAGATTGCTGCAAATTGGGAGGGGGAGGGTGGAAAAAAGGTCACTACTGACAAGATGCTTGGCATGAAGATATGTCTTCGTGCAGTGAGGGCAAGGAAATTTGCCGTCGGCGTCCTTCTGGGGGATCTGGGCCTTGGCGGCAGCAGAACCGGCAGCAGGAGGAGCAGGCCTGCCGGGCGCGCTGGGGAGGATACCTCTACGGCCTTGCGACCCGACGACGTGGGTGGGCTGGTCGTTTTCCTGCATGAGCGAGGGCTGCGCCATCATAGGGCTCTGCGCGTAGGGAGAGGCCAGGCCACTCTGCGGCATCACACCACCGGCTGGCATCGGGCGCAGGACGGGCGGGACGCGACCACCAGGAGACGGAGCCGGCGCGATAGGCTGGGGGTGAGCCTGGGCACCCGAGCTCTGAGGCATCATGCCGGAGGAGGTCTGGTAGGACTGCTGGGGCTGCTGGTACGGGTTGTGCATCATGGGGTACTGCTGCCGGGTGGCCGTCTGCTGCGGAGGAGGCGGCGCATACCCGCCCATGGAGTTGGGAGTGTTGGGCGTCGCAGGCGTGCGAGGTGTGTGGGGGTGGCTCGCGTACATCGACATGGCGGGATTGTGATGGAGAGAAGGCAGAGTCTGGTTCTGTCCGTTCTGGAGATGATTGGTGGGAGAGATGGTGGAAGGGGACGGGTATGAACCCGCGCTCGTGCTGTTGATCACGTTCGAGGAATAGTGGTGGTTGTTGTCCATAATCCAACTCGTTGCCTACCCTGTTGCGAAGAACGCAGCGGCAGCATCCGAACCCAAGCTTGTTTGTAGTCTTTTGACGTGAAGAAACCGGGACTCTCGAATCTTTGGATCGAGGTCGGCGAGAAGGCAGTGCAGGTGCGGTGCGGTGCGGTGCAGCTGTCGTGTCAAGGAGAGTTCGCGCGACGATTCTCTCGAGGTTGTAGGCTCACTTGCGCTCAATTGTCCTCGTGTATCTCCAAGGTCGTCGACGCGGTCGTTGTCGAGACGCGTCTGAGAAATCTCCACGGTTGGTGGAGTTTGTTTTGGCGGGTTGGTTTGGAGGTTGCTGTCGGTAGCGTCGCGGGGCGTATTGGTGGTCAAATGTGGATAGGACCAGGAAGATGAGGCTCAACTTTCCAGACGGGTTGGGTTGGTGGAGTGACCAGAGGCGGTGCTCCTGTTTGGGCCCGGCAGAGGTCGAAGTGGGGACTAAACTTTGTCAAATGGGGATGAATGAGGGACAAGAGGGGTTGGCCGGGTGGAATGGGGTGTGGGTTGGTGTACCTCAAATATTCTTGGGTCGTTCGTCCGTTGATTCTTAGTCGGTTCAGGTCGCAGCCAGCTCAGAGGAAAATTCTGCTACCAGGTACCGACCGGAACAGGGTTGGTAATTTGCAAGTGGGTTGATCCTCGACGATATCCACCAGTGGCGGGAAGCTTGGGATACGACGCCGCTAAGTACCTATACCAAGACGCTGTTGGTAGGGGTAAGTGGGGGGCGAGGAAGGGGCACCTCGACTTCTCCTTGTCCTGTTATTTTTTCCTTTTTTTTTTTTTTCCACCCCCTAGGATGGTTTGTCAAGGGACCAGGTCGGGCGGAGAAGTGGAGCGAGTCCAAACCAGGGTCAATAGGCGGACGCGTGGATCAGAGTGGGACCTCGCAGTTTGACGGTGGCGGTGGTGACGGAAGAAAGAAAGAAGAAAAAATAGAGCCGCAACTGATGTCGATACCAAAACAAGACTGGTCGACGATGGCTTCAATCGGCCGGCTCCTTTTCGAGAGGTTCCTAGAATGACTCTTTGGTGTTTCCTATCAGGACCAGGCTCTGGTGCACACGCCACGCAGGTGTCATGAAAGAGGATGAGAAATTTTTGAAAAGGAAAATTTTGCACAGCGGGCAGCGTAGCGCAGCACAACAGGAGCGCGAGGGCGACCACCGAGAACCCCCGAGGTATGCCCAGCCGCGGCAGAAGCCTCTGAAAGCTGCCGTGCCACTACGGTAAAATCCCAGATGCGGACTAGCAGGGCGGCTTAAGGGTCATTCACTCAAGCTCGAGAGGAAGGTCGCACGAAGGGGCACGGGTCCTAGCTGGTCTGGCGGGCAGAGGGGAAGGCGAAGGGAAATGGCGATGGACCGGATGGGAAGATGGAAAGAGATAGATATCATCAAGTCAACATACCTGACGACAGACGCTCTCCAACTCGCGTACTGCGCGAAAGGCTCTCGATAGCGGCTAAAGATGTCGCGATGGATGTGGAGCAGAGGAGGATGATGATGCTGAAACGAGGCAGAGAATCTCAATAACAGGACCAAGTCGTCGGGAGTGGATCGATGCAGTGGAAAAGACTAAACATGAATAAAATAAAAGGGCTGTGCTCTGTCCCGCTGTTTAGCTGCTCTGATATGGAAAGGGAGGGAAAAAATGAACGTCTGGACGTGCTGGCAGACGGCAGTTGACAAGACGACCAGGAGGCTTCAACCCAACGCGAACTTGGTTTTTGCTTCTGGTCGAGCTGGGGGGTGGGAAGGGGTGGGAAGAAAAGGTGAGCCTTGGAAAGGAGGAGGCATGGGACGTGCGTGCCTCGCATGTTTGTATAATAAGAACGGGAAGACATCCAGGGGGGGTGCGATGGGCGCCTGGCTGGCTGACTGAGTGACTGATTGATCAGATCAAACTCTTGATCTCTGCATCAAATCAGAAATTGATAACTTACCCCCCCCCCCCCGCGGGGGAGCTACCTAGTCTTGACCAATTGATCCATCATTCTTCACCTCAGTAACAAGGAACCAATCTCTACCAGCCATATCCGCAACACGAGGAAGGGCAGGCAAGCACAAAGACACACACACAGATGGCCCCCCTCTATCTTTTGACTGACGCCCTCCATTCCCCCATAGGTCTCACCCAGGCACGAAGCAGACCTGTTCGCATCGACTCTCAACCGCGAATCCTTTCCTCTGGCGGCGTTTCTAAGGTTGCCGCTCTAGCCAGTTGTGCCGGGCTAATTTACTCGCTACCTAATCACCGCTGTACATCACGGGCGAACGGGCATATCCCTCCCTCCCTTCAGCATGACTTGGTAGTGCATTCTAAGTCTCTTGTACATGAGATATGATAAAGTCTATTCTTCGCATTCGCTCAGCGCAACCCCCCCCCCCCTCCATCCGTTCTTGCACACAACGTCATGCCACCATGAGCCCAGACGCGTATCAACAGAGCATGTTGCGTCTCTGTGACACTGCCAATCTTACCCTGCTTAGGCCTTCAGCCCACGCCTACCGCATGAGGAATCATGTCCATGCCAAGGCCGCGCAAAACCTTTTTCCGGTGCTGCAGAAGCCCCTGAAAAAAGTTGAAAAACACCAGAGAAAGAAGAACGAACCAAGCCGTTTTGCGTAAGCCGATCTAGCCTCATGAAGCATGCCAGCATGCATTCTTGCAAGGGTGTTCCCCGCCACGACGCCCTCCCTGTGAAGGGCGATAGAAAGTACCGCAGTACCTTCCTCCCCCACTCTAGAGCAACCGCAGTGCCTGCTGTCTTAGGTACCGTACATCGTATTTAGCAGTCGAGAAACCTCGAACGAAGACGTCGTCGGATGACAGTGTCCTGAAATGTACCCCCGCGAGCGCCACTACCATAGTACATAGAAGTACTGAAGTAGCCCAGTTTTGCGCTTCTTGTCGCGAGCTATCCGGATCAGATGAAAAGGGAGAGGGGCAGGCAGGCAGGAATGGAGGGAGGGAGGGACAATAGGAGAGGCATGCGGGGGCCAAGGTGACAGCAGATCACTGCCGCGGCAAGAGGCCGATATCATACTATACACGATGCAATCTGCATCAGAGCCCAAGGGCGGCGGGTAGAAAGGTACTCCTTCTTGCCACGAATCGTTCACCCGACGCAACCGACAAAGGCCTCAAGGCTAGCGAGCAAGCGGTCGCATACGGAGTACACACTATGTACTATTACTACTGCTATGTAGTAGTGAGCTCGTGCTTCAGTACAGTAGCACTTAGTAATGGCTTGGAGGGCAGGGGGGTAACCAACGTCGTCAATCCCAGTTGCCAGGGTTGCTCCAGCGCCAACCCACGCCCACCCTATTGCCGGCTTCTCGACGCTCAGTGGGCCGCGGCCCCGGCTCTGGCTTGCAAAGTCAGGGTTCCCTGCAAGACGCGCGTAGCTAGGTATCGAATGGCCAAAATCCATGCGACGGATACATGATGCGACACTCTCGGCAGAACCGTCGGCTGTACTGTAGTACCTCTTGCGCAAGTATTTGAACTCATCATTTCCGGCGCCCTTCCGCCGCGGCGGTACTGCTAAGTAAGTACCTTGACTGCTTGGTTTCGGTTCATGACCAATAGTCGTACTGTGAAGACAGCAATACACAACGCATCAGTACTGCTACAGGCTGAGGCCCACATCCGAACTAGCATTATTAACGCGTTACAGCCCGCCTCGATTGTTCTGTTATTATTTTTATTCTATTTTTTTCTTTTCGGATTTGTTGTTTCGTAGTTGCAGTTGTTTTGGCCCTGAGTCATGGTGCATTCATCGCCCTTGCAAGGCCGCCCTGATCTTACAAAGAATAATTGTGAACATCAACCGTGTCAGGAAAATATGCGCACGACTCGAAGGACAATTCAAATCATGATAGTGCACGTAGTGTCATGGTTGACCAATTTCTCATGAAGCTGGCCGCCAGCAACGCTTCATCTGCGTACCGACTGTTGGTCAAAGCCCACCCCGCGCCTGCCTGTATTCCTGATGCCCCTGAGAGGAAGGTAGGCAGGGCCGGATTCACCTTCCGGCATCGTCGATTTTGAGAAGCTCGCCCCTAAAGCTGTTGCTTTTTGACCATGCCCGATCTCGATAAATGCATCTTTGCCGAGTGCATCGTCAACCTGCCATTGGACTGGAAGGGCGCGCTCCCAAGTGAACAGACGCACCTTGCCTGCAGCCGAACATGCCAACAGTCCCGTATATGTCAAAGATCCTCATACTGCACAGCCGGGTTAGCCGAAGGATTGCGCTCTGCGGTGTGTCTCAGGACCTCATCCCTTTTTGGATACCGATTCGCCACGACGCAACGGCAAGCACTTACTTTTCTTTCTCTTCTTTCTTTGGTCTTCCTTTCCCCCACTGGAAAGCCAAGGCTCCCCAACTACAGCATACACTAGCATCAATCTCAAAGAAACTCAAATGTTCATTGTACTACATGGCATCCAGTGCCTCGGGGCCCATTACAAGCACGAGTCCCAATGCCAAGGTTAGCCGTTATTCTCCTGGGCTTCCAGAAAGCGTGGATCGGGCCCAGTTACTCGGTCCTTGATCCCGACCTGGTGCCCCTTGGAGTCAAACATGTCATCTGCCAGCTGTCGTCACAATGCAGTCGTGAGAGCAACCGCCTGAGCAGGAGCTGTGATGCCAACTCACGACAATAGGCATCTGCAAATGCAACATGTCAACCTTCCCAAGCCTAGCAGGACTTCACCTCCAGTGAAGATGCAGCCTTGAGCACGAGGCTATTCTTGTGCGCACGCCCCGTCATCACAAGCTCGGTCATAAGACTCAACAGACAATACACTCGCGAGGTGCTCCTGGCTTTCGGCCTTGACAGGCACGGACTTGGCGAGTCTCGAGCAATAGTGTAGGCAGACATCACTGCCCAAGCGCCTGGAAAGGCTACGGAGTAGCCCAACTACCCGAGGCGAGTCAGGCCCGCTCAAACCCGTCTTGCTGTCTGGGTACGGCTTGACTCGAGGTCGCCGGTGCAGTCCAGCGACCGACAGGCCGAGAATGACCAGCACCGCGTTGGTTGACGATAGCGTCGGCAGAAGAATCCCTTTTCTCTTTGCCCACCTCATGACATGTTGGAACCAACGCACCATAGAATTCGGCCAGTCTGTGCACAAATTTTTTCCCTTCCCGAGGCCGGAGCATAAGCGATGCCAGGCGATGCTCGCCTGCCGCACCTTTTTCAGAATATTACTGGTGCTACCAAAAATTAGCGACAACGCGAAGTTTTAGGTTAGCCTTCAGCAACCAACACAGTAGCAGCAGCAGCAGAGTATTAGCATCTCACTATGTAGCAGTACCTCGGAGCCTGAGCTGTTTTTGAAGCCTCGGGGCTTCGGAGATTTCGAGGATTTAGCCCACCGCTAATGCGGTCAGTATGTGTCGACTGGCGAGATGCAGTAGACGACCTCCTCGAGGCATCGAGCTCGCATCCGTTGCCCTCACTCTTCAATTATACTGCAAGACACTACTAGGTGTTCGTGGGAATGGAGCCAATGCGCCAGCGGCACGGCTCGCCTATCTCAAGATGGAGCACAGCGGGCGTTGGAGTTCATGGTCCATCAAAGATCTCGCAAATCTTGGGGAAGTTTGGGGTCGTCCTCCCCTCCAGCATCAATTTGGGGTCCAGTGGGTGGGCTCTTCCTGCCGCCAAAGGTGGTGAGCTGCTGCTCTTGGCGGTTTGTCTCCAACGGCTCGAGAGACAGGAGAGAGGATAGGTGGGATGGAGGGACCC